TCAAGCAATATCAGGATTCCCTAGTCTTTACTTTATCAAGCAATATCAGGATTCCCTAGTCTTTACTTGATCAAGCAATATCAGGATTCCCTAGTCTTTACTTTATCAAGCAATATCAGGATTCCCTAGTCTTTACTTTATCAAGCAATATCAGGATTCCCTAGTCTTTACTTGATCAAGCAATATTAGGATTCCCTAGTCTTTACTTTATCAAGCAATATTAGGATTCCCTGGTCTTTACTTTATTAAGCAATATTATTTATTTACATGTAGTATATTAGTGAAACGAGAACATCCAAGTTATTGACATTCTAGTTTTCGTGTAATCCACTCAAGGTTGAATAACTGTTTTATTCTGTCTAGAAAGCAGCACTTGTCTGATTCCTTTGACATTTCTAAAGTAAATTTGCTATAAAGATTTTTGAATAACCAAAATGTCTTATATGGTGTTAAAAAAACAAAACATACTAAACAAAGGTTCTCTACTCTTAAACACAAAGGTGAATAACTTTTATAACCTGAAGAACCATAACTTGTATCATGTGGCATCAGGTCTTTTAGTGCACATGCTACAAAACTATGGAATGGTTTTCCTATTAATTTATGCAGTTGTCAAACTATATCTTTACTTTTAAACATTGTCCAGAAAGTATTTATCGGGTGGTTATTTCTAATAAAAGTATGGCAAATTTGATATATACATGTATGGAAAGTATAGACACAATCTTACTAGAAAAATACTGGACTACCTGAAAAACACCCATGGGGCAAGCACTGGGAAAAAATGTCAGGGTATCACTAACTGGCAACCTGACTGTTGTCTGCCAGCTTATTGTGTGCTAGCTTGACTGACGGAGTGGTTGTTATTTCTTGATCAAATGGTTAGGCGGTTTTGGGAACATTGTACAGTGTCAACGTACAAAAGACTGCAGTTAAACGGCAAAAAATGAAGTTAACAGAAAATAATTAAGAATTTACTTATACCTCAATATGTATGGTAAATGTACAGTAAGTAATGAAAAATACATTCTGACAAATGGACCCTCCCATAACAAAGCAAGGTGACAGACATGGCGTCTAACAACAGTTTATTTATAGCTATAGGTATCTCCCGGCGATAACAAGGTTTTGGGAGGGATTTGAAACAAGTGTTTGATAGATTAATTTGTTTGAATATGTTTTTAATCCATAACATCAAATCACACAGTTTGTACGCGGGGAAAGTATCTTTAAGAAAACATTGAACACATTTATTTTTTTTGTGGGCTATCAAAATCAAAATATGAACAGGACTTAGAAAATAGTCTTAATTCAATCAAATTAAAAAGAGGTCCATGAAAAGATTTTAAAGTTTGAATGACCTGAAACTAACTAATATTTATGAATTTATGTTACAATGATAATGATCGTAGTTTGTGTAGTAGAACATATCTAGAAAATCAGCTGCCGTCATTCTACAGATCTGATTGAATAATGTCATTTGCAGGAATTGCGTCAATAGATAAAAAGTCGATCAATGATTGTATTGGGTATCACCGTATCAGCTAGACGGGGATTGTTGTCATCAAGCTATTTTACAAATTATGGCGTGAAAAATATAACTTTAAAATACATTACGAAACTTGAAACAAGATTTAGTGAGACAAGTTAACTCAGTGTTTCTCTTTTGTTTTGAAAAAGGACGTGGTCGAAAATAAAGTGTGACACTATACATGTAGATCCATTTTACTACAGCATTTTTCAAAAACACTTCGGCTGGACTGTAGGAAAAACCTGCGAAATTTGAGACTAACAGTAGTTAGCTATGATATTAGTGGTGGGTGTCCTGTACAAAGCAGTCCACCATTTTGGAGTTTATGTTGTGTGAATATAGCATCTCTATAGGCAGGGGGAGCCATGGTGGCTAAGAGGGTAAGACGCTGGCCTGGAGCTTGGGTGTTCGATCCCTGCACTGGCCGAGAAAGTTCATCGGGATTTTCCGATGTGGTTTCCCCTTGTCAGTGGTGCAGGAAGGAGGGCCTGACAAGGACAGTTGTCTAGTCATTTGTATGGGATGATTAACTGAGGTCACGTGTATACATTGGCATGCACGTAAAAGATCCCTTTGCAGTTGGAATTCGATATAAGAGTAGGCCATAGTGCCGCTGCCTGGGCAAAATTTCCCTCATAGCTCACTGTCTGGCGTATGCCCATCTTCATTGGCCCAGTCGGAGCAGAAAAGTAGGACATTAAGCCCCATTTCATTTCATTTCATTTCAATAGGCAGATTTTGCTTGTACATAATGCATCTTCAATGTTTGCATTGTATGTTTTTTGTGTGATTGTTTTCCTGCATTATACAAAATGTATTTAGCAGATTTGATCGTGTTGGATTTCAAATACTCTATAAATACATTATTACATTAAGTTGTTTTTGGCTCAGCAAGAAAGTTGAGACTTAAACCAGTCAAATCTCCTGGACATATTTGGCTTCTTTGCAAAATCCTTTCATCCTTTTGACCCATCCACATGTTGCAATATTATCAACATTATGAAAATTAATTATGAATGTCAAGGTTAATTTTCGTACGATTCTGTAAAAAAAAATTTTGAGGTACCAGTACGTGAATAGAAAAGTGATGAAATTTCATAATTGTCTCTACTGCTAAAATGGCTATGAATTTTACTTCCTTTTGTGGCAGAAAACGAAATGAGGAAAGAAAAAATTAGATTAGATGTAGCCATCAGTTTTGCCTTGATACAATTTAATCATTTGATAGAAGAAATGTGTTAGGAGTACATCACATACAGACAAGTACAAATTAAAAGAGAGAGAGAAATGGGGTTTAAGGTCAACTCGACACAAACTAGGTCATTTAGGGACTAACATGGTCTAATTTTATTTCAACAACTTGCTTGCACATAGGTGTCTTTAGCAGTGGGAGGAAACCAGAGGACCCGGAGAAAACCCACGAGGTTGGACAGGCGACCCTACTCCTTGTCACATACAACCGGGGATTCGAAACCACGCCAGTCGACTCAATGACAGACTTTATGATACAGCGCGCGCACGCTAACCATTCAGCCATCCCCCCCCCCCCCCCAAATTAAAGGAAACTGTCGGCATAGATATTTGAATATTCAAATTGAATAATTTTCCAAGATTATTGAAACTGTTTTTTGTCTATCTTAGGCAATATTTAAATATATTTATTTATTCAGTGAAAAAAATTAAAGAGATGAAGAATATTGGTTTGACTGTTTAAAGAAATCTTAACATTCACTATAAACAATTCATAGATTGAGCATTTGAATAATAAAATTCAGATATTGATTTGCAATATTGAAATAATAATTGGATATGATGATTAGTTATAAGATTGTTGTATATAATCCATCGGAGTTGATATTCATATCTCATCTTACTGTAAAATGGGTGTATTTCATATATTTATGTGTTGTGGGATGACAATCTGACTTGATTGAATATTATACCTCTACAGATCTAACTGATTGTGTATTCCTCTGTCAACATAGTAAGTTAAAAACAATGGTGTGCGGAGGTTTGCTGATGCCCGGACCAACTTCTCAAATTAAGTAGGGCAGCTTGTACACCTAAGTTAACAGCGGTAATTTCAAATTAAAAAAAAACTTAATTTAATTTCACTCTTTGAATAGATGACCAACTGAAATGCATGTCCAGGCCTTTCTCCCCACTCACTGGTTGAAAAAAAAACTAAATTTATGAATCTTGCAATAACTTAATAACTCAACATACATGTAATGCACTAATTCAATTTGATCAAACTCCCTTTTCAAATTGCGTTAAAAAGAAACAAAGCGAAAAAAACAAATTATGTACAAGAAAGGATTTGCTCTATGCGTACTTTTTCAAAGAGATAAGCTTTCTGTCATTAAAGCTAAACCGTTATATACACCTGTCAATCATTGAATAATAAACACCTGTGTTGTCCATGGCCTCTGGTAGTGAATCTATAAAATTAATATGTTTATATGGTGTAAATAATCTATAGATAGATTAATCATACACTTATTCATATTGTCAGCTTTTGAAGAGGGGTTAATATCCATATTAGTTTGACAGTTATTTTCATTTGACAGGAGTTTGAAGGATTTGTGAGATTTTGTTCTGTACGATAAATATATTTGATTAATATATTTAATTTTAAATGAAAGGTGGGACCTTCGTGTGAAGTAATTTCTGTCATGTAAATGTAATTGAATATATATTTCTAAAACTTTATGTCAGTTTCATATTTGATTATCACAGGTTTATTTTATAAAACCACATTAACTCTCCTGTCTATCACATAGACTTTTAAACATAGATATGAAGCATAGAAATTAACATAAAGTAACCTAAATCTACTTTTGAATCCATGGCTTACTTGGAAAAACTGGATATTTATTCTGCCAACCGTGGCTTCAGCAAAATGTCAAGTAAAACTTCAGAGAATCTTAGATGCATCTGTTCTTGTGACCTAATTTAGGTGTATTTTTTTAAAAAAAAAATGTTAATAGAAAACATTCTGATTGGCTATGGATTGATCATTGGGGAATTGAGTGAAATTACAGCCCCACCCCCTTCAGTAAAATAAAATTTCAAGACTCTCAGTTCTCTAAATTAACCAAATCTACACTTCATTTACGTGCTCCATGAGACACTCAACCAGTTTGATAAAGGGCTACCTCCTGAAACATATCCTGCATTAAACTTATTTCATTTTGAATAAAGTCATGTCAAGTTTGTTAATTAGATTGTTTTAGGAAGATTATTTCCTTCCTAACCTAGCAGTAGCCTGCACTCTCCCTAGGATTCTTTCACCCATTTTCTGTATAATTAATATGAAGAATGACGTCCGTGTTATATATAGTTTGTTATATTTCAGAAGCAGACAAACTCCTGCTGTTAGACAATGATGAACCTTTTAAACATTCTATATAGATTGTTATATATTGTAGACAAGTTTTAGAATAAATTGATGTTATTTATTTTTCAGGCCTATGAGAGAATGAATGTTGCAGATGCTCTACATTCGGTCACATTTCAGGATGGTGATATTATAATTCGGCAGGTAGGTTCTTTGATATTACTCTAAAAACCTTGGCGCTTACCTCAAAATACTTCATTGGTCGAAATAAAATGAAATAAAATGGAGGTTTAACATCCTATTTTTGTGCACCAAGAAGACTCAAAGATTGAATTCAATGAAGAACATGCTTAAACACTGCAGTCCAGACAAAATGTATATCATAGAACACTGCATGGCGTATGCCCATCTTCATTGGCCTGGTTGGTAGAGAGAAATAGTCTGAATTATCTTGTGTACTTTCAATATTTTAAATTTTAAATAGAAACTTCCCCTTGGTTTGAAACCACTGGATTAAATAAAACAATTGGTGAGAACCAGGCAGTGATTGGTCGTAAAAATTATATTTTCTTAGACAAACGAGTCAACAAAGTGGCCTAAAATTGATAATAGTAAATTGTTATGGTCATACCGTGTTACATATTGTAGCGTAGAGATGGATTAATGGTAACCTGTTGCCATAACCAGTTACATATATCATAATTACCGTCCATATTGGTCAGTATTTGAATCAATAGTCAGTAATGATTTATATACTAGTCAAAGTGGTTAACATTCAACTCAAGTAGCTCTCAATAAAATCATACGAAAAACAATTTATCTTAGAAAGCTCAAATACGTGACATGTAAAACACTTTTAATGTCAGAAGATGGTAATGAATAATAAATCTAGTCTGTTACAAGTTGAGCAAAATCTCAAAATTATCTTATTTGCTCTTTGCTAATTGAGTTACGTGTAATTTGTTATAAGCTAGAGATATAATTAGTTAATCAGTAGGTCAAGAGTTTTACAATAAAAACAAGTAGTTTACTTGTAAGTCTGTAAATTTCATCAGCTTACAAAAATAACACATCATAAGGGAAGAACAGTCTATAAAATTTTATCTTCTTTTTATTTGGATATTTTGGGGTTTCCCCTTATCAGTGGTGCAAGACGGAGGTTATTCATGTGGGGAAAAAAAACTTAGGTCCCATGGCCTGCTAGTAAATGAACCCTTGAATGTTGGAGTTAGACTAAGAGTAGACTGAAATGTCACTGCCTGGGCAAACATTCTGTCATAGCACGCTTCATGCATGTATTCATTTGTCCGGTTGGTGCAGAGAATTGGATGTTAAACCCCATTTGATATATTTTTTGTATATTATAGGGAGATAATGCAGACTGTATGTTTTTTCTACAAGAAGGGGATGTCCGATTTACAGTTAGAGTAAGTTTCTTATTTTGTTTTTATATCAAGAACATTTTTTTTATGGGTCATTGAGGTGTTGGAAGAATGATATTAAAATTGCTGATTCCAATTTTAGGATGATATTAATTTCTTCAGGACTTCCCACACTAGAATGTACTCAAATTGGTTATTTAACATTTAATCAAAAAAAAACCCAAACAAAATACCATATGTAGATAATCTTGGATACAAATGGATTAAAATTAATATTTTGGAGGTGGCACTGGCTTGTTTATATCATCTGTAGAGTATTGTGTTGTGAATGTTGCAAAATTTTCATTGCTCTGTATAATATTTTCTTCTCTGTTTTTTTTTTTATTATACTTTTAAACAAGCTTTTGTGTAGTTTTCCAAAATCTGAAACAAAAAAAGAATTTGATAAGAGTCAACCAAATCATATGTGTATAAGATTATAGATAATATCAAGTCAGACACAAATTCAGACTTTGTTAAGCACAATCCCTTGGGTGCCTACTGTTAGTCTGTTGTGTCCTACACAGATGTGTCTTCTTACTTACATGTTTTAATTGATATATCTGGCACAACGTTCAATCAACCTGTTTACAACTAAAAGTGATATTTCCTGATCAGCAAGTAAAAAAATCATATGCAAATATAGTTACTTATTTGAATGTTTATTCAACAACTGCTATGAATTTAAAAACACTCAGAAATGATTGGAAATAAATAGGAATAAATTTGTGGATATTTTATACCATATTTTCTATTGAAATATGTTAACTAGACTGTAGACTACACCGAATGATGCAGAAGCTATAAAGTTTAACTTACTGACATTTAATATTTGCTTTGTGGTGAACCTACGTGAGTTTTCTCTTTACATAAAACATCATCATTAGCTTGATCGGTGTTTTTATTGATTTCTTGATCAGCGTTTTCTTATCCTGTTAACTAATTGAACTGTTGAATTTGTCATAGATTTCTCAGGAAAACTGTTGTTACGAAACATGTGAACTTTTAACCTGTTTGTAAAATAGATTAGGTTGACTGTAAGAGTTTAAAAAAATCATTATGTAGCCATCCGATCTTTAATGCTTATCTCATACCTGGGCATGCTTAACTCTTACCTTAGTATACCTGGGCTATACTGGGCATGCTAAACTCTTACTTGAGTATACCTGGGCATGCTGAACTCTTCTTACCCGAGTATACCTGGGCATGCTGAACTGTTTTTACCTGAGTATACCTGGGAATTCTGAACTCTTACCTGGGTATACCTGGGCATGATGAACTCCTAAATGACGCTGGATAATGATAAAATGACACTGGATAATGATAATTTACACAAAATTTGCTTCGAACCCTGCTTGCACTCAACTCAGAACTATTAAAATGGTTGAATAACAATAACATTTCAGCTCTAAAAAGGAAAAAATAGAAGAGATGACTTTGTCATATTTAAACTGGAAATAAATTCCAACTTCATTAAGACACAACTAACAAACTAATCTCAATGATGATTATTCATCATCAGTTATCCATTATCTTAGTTCTAGAAATTTGAGTGATGCTTTGACACTAATCAACAAAAAAACAAAATTTGATGCTATTTTAATCAGGTTGTTATTATAGAAATCAGCTGGAGGTTTAAACAAGACTTATGTTTATGTTTTGTAGAACGATGCTAATGAAGAAAAGGAAGTCAACAGGTGTGCAACGGGTGGCTACTTCGGAGGTAAGCAAAATTTATTTCATAACATTAAGCGGCACAGGAATAATCTATTTATAAATTTTTATCCAAGATGTATCTCTGGTTCAGTTGTTTCCAAAAGCAATCAATAATCATTTGTTGAATTTTCTATTTCATATCAACGCTGTAAATTGTGAAAAAATACTACTGCATGTTTTGGGTTTTTTTTCCCTCCCTATTTAAGTGAAAGTTGTTGTAGTAATTGACATTTACATTACTGTATCTAGCTTCACTCAATATTTAAAAACTCTACTACTGGGTTTAGACAGAACCATGTTCTAAATTGTGTACAAGAATGGAAAGTGTTCAGACAAATCTAATTAAATAGTGATGAATCACTTCCACTGAGTGTTGCGCCAGCTATTACTAGTATTACATTTAGTGGTTAGCATGTGTGCGCACGCTGTAACATAAGGTCTGTCATTGGGTCAACTGAGGTAGTTTCGATTCCCTGGTTGTACGTGACAAGGAATAGGGTCACCTGTCCAACCTCAGGGGTTTTCTCTGGGTCCTCCGGTTTTCTCCCACTGCTAAAGACCCCTACATGCAAGCAAATTATTGAAATAGAATTGAACCATATGTTAGTCCCGAAATGACAGGGTGGATGATAAACCCCATCTCTGTTGGTCGAGGACGAGAACATTCCTCAGGATTTTCCAGCGAGGTTTCCCCTTGTGAATGGTACACAGTTGCAGACCAAAGGAGCTGGCAAGACAGTGTCTAATTGATTGCGCAAGGTCCTGTGTACACATTGGTGTGCATGTATAAGAACCATTGACAGTTTTAATTTTGGAAAAGATTAAGCCCTAGCGCTGCTGTCTAGGCAAAATGTCCCTCATAGGGCACTGCATGGTGTACGCCTATCTTCATTTTCCCGGTTGGTGTACAAAAGTACAATGTAGAACATGACACCTCATTTTATTTGATTTTGATACTTGCTAAATTAGCATTGTATCAATTTGAGGACACACCAAGTTTTCTGTCAGTGTTATTGGATCAAACCAGCTGGAATTTTGTATGTTAAATTTTAAAAAATATAATTTTAATAGAATTTAAATCATGTGACCATCAGAAAATGAAACTAGGCAATTAAGTTTAAACAAACATTGTTTTGTGAACTGACTGATTAAGTTAAAGAACTATAGATTCTCTATTTCAATAATGTATTATTTGCCTTGATCTGAGACATACATGTACTAACAAGCTGAAATAGCTTTTAACTTGATAAATCAGTTGATTATGTCTCAACTATCCTTGTCCACGTTCGACATACAGACTATTTATCTTGACTCTGGGAAGATAATCTTTCCCTTGATGTTGGTCATGTCTTCTATTTAATGTTTGTTGTGTAACATAATGATAAGACTAACTGAATATTATCATCATAGTTAAAATATTTTCTTTTAATGCTCAAACAAAGTTATATAATGGCATTATTGTTTCAGCTTTATTAGTTTTGGCCAGTTACCAAAACTAGATACTCTATTTCAAATGAAGAAAATAAACATTCCAGCTGTCGGACAGAATGAAAGCATATCTTTCTCTATTTAAATGTTTTCTTATTCATTAATAGAATAAACAATACAATCTGCTGAATTTAAATAACTAAATCCAAGTGTACTGTTCCTAACCTTGTTGAACTTGTGTGGCACACTGTGAAAGCTTCGTGGTCTAAGGGGAATAATTTGTGGTCTGTGAAGAGTTATTTCCCCTTTATCTTTCTGTGAAATATAATAAAAATGTTTTGATTTGATTTTACAGAGCTTGCACTTGTAACCCATAAACCCAGAGCTGCCACAGCACACTCTGTTGGAAAAACTAAAGTAGCAGGTAAGTTTACAAGTCAAATAAAAGTGCTTTTCCAACAGAATAGATCGATGTTCTCAATTAAAAGAAGTTTATCAACAGAATAGATCAATGATCTGGAGCCTTATTCCTGCCAACAGTAACTTATATATTTTAAGAAAGCAATAGTTAATGTTCTCTGGAATCTTGATTGTATAACGGGATAGTGACTAATTGCAGTTATTGATCTTAAACTCCGATTTCTAGCTCATTAATGTTCAAAAGATGAGTTATACTGTAAATATTACAAACTAATTCATAGTGTAACATAAAGACACTATACTGAGTTTACATATGTAAGATCAATCTTCTTACAGAAAATATTGTGTTAAATTTACATTGCTTTATTAGAGGAGAAAAATGAAATAATTTATTTAAATTCCTAATCTCTACTTTGCTGTAATTGTGCCTTGAAATTATTATTTCTATTTTTTCAGTTTTGGCAGTTGATGCTTTTGAACGTCTAATGGGTCCGTGTATGGATATTATGTCTAGAAATATAGATGAATATGAAGAACAGTTAGTTCAAGTTTTTGGTTCTAAAGCAAATATTACTGACCTACGATGACCTGCCCCTCCCCCACAAGTGCTTCCGTTAGATAATCTCTTCGGTATTTTATTTTTTGGCCCATGCAACTGCTTGTTTTGATTGGACAATTGATTGGTTGAGAATCAATTTGAACCAATCAGAAGTTGTTTTATTGCCGTACCAGTTTTGGAGTGTTCATATGATTTGTTCAACATCTTAAATCAGTCCACAGACAAACCTCAGAATCTTTGTTTTTATTTCTACCTAGCGAAAGAGAATTTCTATAGATGTGTGTTACATAGACAGTAGCACATCTTTAGTTCAACTTTATTTATGTATTTTTATTATTAATATTATTTGATTATGATTATGATATGACTTTATGTTCTTAGGAGATGATATTCTTAAAGTGCGGTTGTAGTTTGGGTAGGCAGTATTTAATATCAACTTAAAGAAACTAAACCTCTTTGATTTAGGCCCAAATAAAGTATGGAATTGATTTGATCCAATATTTTATTTCTGTTAGTCATGGGGTAAGGTCTATCCAATGAAATTTTTGTTTTCAAAGATTCATCAGCAGAAGTTGACTGGTTTACAAATTTGAAATTTTACTGTGTCGACATTTTTATGAGAAAATCGGTTACTTGTGACCTGACTTTATCTATAGACGTTAAATTTTCTCAAGATCAAAGAGGTCTAGTCATTTTAATTTTAAGAATAAAATATTTTCTGTGTTAACGTTATATTAAGTGTGCTAACATATTCACCATTTAATAAAGAGTGAGAGTGTGTATAAATGATAATCTATTATAGGGCAGGGGAAGAAAATCAAGTATTCACACAATTAGTCATACATGAGTTACTAAGTAAAGATCAGATATATATAAGATCAAGATTTTATAGGAAGCTTCTACACTATGATTAAATTTTTGATAATTTGGTGTTTCTGTTTTGGGTTTTTTTTTTTTTTCAAAAATGATGATGACAACTAAATTTTATAAATACAATTTTATCTTTTTGTATGCACTTACCTGTTAACCACTTAATTCTATATGTTTTCACACAACTAAAGTAAAGTTCACTTAACTAGTCAAATGTGTATGTTTTACAATATATGAAAGATATTGTGGAAAATAATAACATCAGTTTTTATTTAGTAACTCATTTATTACTTACTGGATATATGTGGAAATTATTACTTTTAATTGAAAGTTTATAGGCTAATGTGTATTAAGTATATATTTATATAATTAATTTACGGTATATGTTTAATATAGGTGGACATTTATTACAATATTTTATAAATGGTATAAATTATAAGTGTTCTCATATTATAGAAATAGATCACCCACTTGTGAAGTTAAAAATGTGTTATAATTAGAGATAACTGTTAACCATCACTTGAAAATCTTTTTCCCAATTGTTAGGATGTTCTGGATTTCTATGTCACAGACTTCTTTATCACAATAATGATTTAAGAAACTTGAAACATTTGCAATGTACATGTGTTTTCTGGCATTGGACAGACTTCATTCGGGCATGTCTTTGTTTTGTAAATTAAGCAGTGATGTGCTTACTCTTGCCAGAACACTTTTCATTTAGATTATTACAGATTGTTGAGGTACATTCACGACTAAGTAGCATAGGTGGATCACTAATAAAATGTACTGATAAACTTTTTAGAGTTAGATTCATTTAATAATTGTATCACATATATTTTTAAGAATCTCTGGGATGTTATATGCACTTGTTCTTCTTTTCCTTTCTTAATTGTATTTTGATAAGGCATACCAGCTGATGAACAATTGTTTGCCTTTTCTTTTTATATTTTCGGATCAGTGTACATGCAATAATGACAACATAATGTTGCCTTTTATACAGAAAGTTTCAACAAATAAATCTTTTAATTTATATCGCTACATTATTTGCGCAGTTGTGCAAGGTGTGTTGAAAGAATGGTAATTGCCCTCCTGTTGTCATAAATGTCTATAAATGAATGTTGAATATGTATTTTCATTCTTATGCCATACATACTGTGTTATGTGACTGATTTGGTTAAATTGTTGTATCACTCTAGGCTTCATCAGCTATAATAATTGTAAACATTGATTGATTGAAAATTGGTTATGGATATCTTATTGAATGATCAGTATTTTGGAAAACGTTGACTAATTGTCTTGATTTTGTGCTACTCAACTAAACAGAAAGTCTGTTATCTTTTGTATTCAGAATTAATTTATTCAAAATTACAGGACCTAAATGTTCCAGATCTAACAATCAAGTCAGAATAACAATAGTTCCTTAGATCAAAATATTTTCTGTCCTAGATTTTGGCCAGTCTTCTTGCCAGTTTAATGGCCCCAAATAGAACTGAAACCACCAAATATTTAAAGTTATTGTTTAATCATTAATAATATATATTTTGATTTGTTTAAAGAGTGAAGTTTACCACAGATCTCTTTATTTATGAATTGTATTGTAATAAAATTATTGAAATTGTTTTAATGTTAAGCACAAATATACACAATAATTAAAAGTCTATACTGCTGTATAAAAGTATTATCTTGTGTACAATATGTACATGTATTTCAATCATGGATGTATATGTCCTCTTTGGATATTCTTAAAGGCACTGCTAAATATATCTACAGTCAGGTTATTTTATAATGTATACCAATAATATACTAAAAAAAATAAATGTTAAGTATTAATGTACACTATATCTTAAATCATATCATTTGTTTTTAACAAAATAATTATGATAACAGCTCTTCAACATTTTTTGAGTTTAAGTTTTATTTATGGAAGTAAATGCTATCAGTGTTTGGTAAAAGTAATGTGTATGATATGGATATATGTATTAAGATATATAATATCTTGTCACCTCCCCCAACACCACCACCTCCAAACCCCATTCCCTGACAACTGCTCAATTCTTTGTACATAGACCAGCATTAAGGTTTTTTTTTTAATTTCTGAAATTTCACGTTTTGGTTTTTTTTTTTTTATGAAACAATCTCTTCTTAAAAGTTGTTCTAAATTTTTGTTGTTTGTAAAATTCCGATTTTAGTCACTCCTAGTGTTTAGGGTCAAGTGAAAAGCTTTATGTATACAAGTTGTGTTAGATGGAAAAATCTAATTTCATTAAAAAAAAAAAATGTTATTAAAATTAATTTGGTGTTGGGTTTTTTTTTCATCAGCATGATGAAGGTAACTCAATTGTGTATGATCGAACAAAATTCAAAATTTTGCTCCTATTCTTTCTTTTGCCGCAATGAAAAATCCTACCAAACCTGAAAATATAATCTGGGAAAAGTAACTCGGATAAATGCAGTGGAAATTTGCAATCGTAAGCAATTTCAAGTGGGTTACTTAAGTCCCAATGAAATATAAAACAATTCCACTGAGAACTTTGTCCTATATTGAGGTTGGGTGGGAGCCTCTGTGGCTCATTGAGTATGGCCTGGCTCAGTAACCTATGTAAACCAAGAAAGTTGTCAGTGGTGCAGAACTGAGGGTCTTTCATTTCAAAGTGTCTGGTTGATTCTGAGCTCAAAAGTAAACATTGATGTGCATATAAATGAACCCCTTGGCAATTGGAATTTGAAGAAAAGTAGGCAAAATAACTGTATGGGGTATGCTCATCTTCATTATCCCGGTCGGAGCAGAACATTAGGACTTTTAACCCCATTTCATTTCATTATCTTGGTTGGTGCAGAAAAGTAAGACATTAAACTAGATTTCATTTCTGTATTGGGTTCACAAGATTTAAACATAAATGGGAAATAATACTGCAAAATGTGTTTGAAAATAAAGATTTAAAATGAAAATATTTGTTGTGTATGGTGTTCAACAAAAATGGGGAGGTAATGCCTATGACGAGGACTTGAGTAAATTTGACTTAAACAGTCGAATGTTAAATGTGAGGAAGTAAAAACAGGATTCATTTAATTTATATAAAATATAAACATTTTTAATGTATAAAGCTTAGATCTCATACAATAATAAGGTACACTCCATCAATATTGCATATACATTTATAAAATAACAATAGGAAATTATTATTCTCACTGCATGGATTACAAATTGCAAGTTTTCTTTTATATTTCAACTGCCAACAGGGCAATCTTCATAAAATTTCGCTGACTTAATTATTAGAACATTGATGAGAACAAGGCTGTGATTAATCAACAATTTAATAATTTCATTTGGTAGGTTAGTACAACATACTTTTTATATTAAATAAAGACTGTCGCATTTGTACTATGAGTAAAATTACATTTTGTATTCCATATAGTGGGAAGGTTAAAGTAAATCAGTAAATAGAATAAATCAAACAAATATAATTCTTTAAAGAGGCACCATCTCTTAGTACCACAGTTTTGAATCCTAAAACATTTCCTATATTTTAGTTCATATATATCATATTTTTGCCTAGACAGAGAGACAAAAATATATATTTCATTATTCACTTTAAACAGGCCTAAAATAATAAAACACATAAACTGTGAAACAAATATTGGTGTGGGCAATCATAATAATAGCAGGGATTAATTAATTAATGTGATGAGCAGTCATAATACTAGCAGGTCAAAACAATAAACTAACAGTGATGATCTGTTTTGTCTATTGATAAAATTATACAAATTAGCATTTCATACCATGATCCATTAATTTGATTCCAGACAGGGCTATTTCTTCACGTTTTGGTGTCCTGTTTGTATATGAATATCCATCTTTATTAACAGTGTCCTGTGAAATCAGGAAATGCCCCTCTATGTAATAAAGGTTATCAAAGTTAGCAAATTAAAGAGACAAATAACTTATTTTTATTGGTAATTAGTAAACATCTGATTTCTTGTAGGTGTGTTAAAAAATATGTACAAGATTATGTCCAACAAGAAATCAGAAAGACAAAAGTCCATGTACATAAATTATTGTAGTGTTCTTGATAGAAAATACAAGTTTTTGATTATCTGAGACTAAGAATTATGAACAGAGGACTTAGTTCAGGCAGAGCTAACCTCATGATTTTGTATGTTAGAAAATTCTGTTTATTTAGAAAATTTTAACTTGGTTAGTGAATCTTTTATTTTAAAGCTTATTAAATCGTCTGCTCCCGAATCTTGTTCATTAGATCGTGTTCCGACTCCTGTTCTTAAGGACCATCTAGACAAAGTTATTCCAGTTTTTACCAATATTTTCTGAATCTGTTTTGTCATCTGGGGTTTCCCAAGGTTCTGTTCTTGGTCCGATTTTATTTACCCTTTATACGTCACTATTAGGTGATGTTGTCAGAAAATATGGACTCAGCTTTCATTTGTATGCCGATGATACTAAATTATATATTTCATCTACACCTAATTGTCCATCTTCTTTCAATTTATCAAGATTGCAACTTGAGAACTCTATTAGTGAAATTAGAAAATGGATGTCAAAGAAATTTCTAAAATTGAATGATGATAAAACTGAATATTTGATATTAGGCTCAAGGCATCAATTAAACATACATTATGCAAGAGCTAATTCTGCCAATTCTTTACTGGATTAGAACCCCTGTCTGCTGCTTCTAATTAAATCAAAAAATGGATAATGGAGACTATGTTTTTTATCGTACCAACTTTAGTAATGATGATCAAGGCTAGGTTCAAAATTCGATCACTAATACTTGGTTCAGGGCGGATCAATTTGACTGAGATTTTCTGCAAATTTCCTTTACATTATCTAGTTTTTAACTATTGTAGTGAGAACTACCAGCTCTTTATCTAATCTTCCATAAAGTATCTTTATGTAAATTTATACATGATAACCCCCCTGTTTTAATTGGTAATTGTGATGTATTTTCATATTATTCTACCCGTAATATTGCTTATGGGAGCTCTAGTAAATAGTATTTGTAAATTGTGCTATTTTGATATCAGAAATATAGGTAAAATACTAAATTTGTAACTGTAGAGACTACTTAGTCACTTGTTAATTCTCTTTTCACTTCTCGATTAGATAACTTTTATTCACCTTTAGTTGGTTTACCTTAAAAGCTTTTAGATAAATAACAAAAAGTGCAGAATACTGTAGCTAGACAAGTTACTTTAACAAAGAAATGTGAACACATCTGTTTTAAATAATTTAGACTGGTTACCTGTTAAATACCAAACTGATTTTAAGATTTTATTACTTATTTTTAAATGTTTAAATAATTTAGCTCCTGTTTACCTCTCAGATCTTCTGGAACTTTATATACTTGGCCGGACATTACGTACATAAACTACTTTTAAAGCCTAAAACTGTTCAACTAGTCTCTTATGGTCAACACTCTGTTAGTTTTCAAGGACCTGTTTTATGGAATAATCTACCATTTAGTTTAAGATGTTGTACATCTCTACGTTCTTTTAAAAAACAACTTAAAACACATTTATTTAATAGTGAAAGGGCACACTATAAATATGCTCTAATAATAATATAGAGGATCCAAATTCACCATTTATTTTACCTTAATCTCTATACATTTTATTAGTATTATGGAATTTTATTTTTGGATTAAATCCAAGTATAGATATCTAATTTTCATAGTAAGCCTTGATTGATTTTCCTTTGCCTCTACTTACCTTATTAGACAATATTATAGTGCTCTATATCAAATACTGGTACATAAAATACATCATGTGGCCACCCTACTCTGGTTGTAAATTATCACATTGTTAACACTCTAAAGCTAGATTATTAATCATCACAGATAAATACAAACATAAAATATAACACAAACATGCATGATAATCCATAACTATTATTATGGACCTTATAATAAGGTCCATATGCTATTATGAAGTATCACCTCAGAATAAATAATCATTTAGAATCTTAATGTGGCCAAATTACCATACCGGTAATTTCTATTGTTTTAACAGTTTCTTTTGTTTAAATTTGCTTTTGTTTAACAGTACACAAATTACCAATAATTTCTTTTAAATAACAGTACACAAATTACCAGTTATTTCTTTTACTTAACATTACACAAATTGATGATAATAACTTCCTTTGGTTAACAGTACACAAATTAATGATAATAACTTCCTTTGGTTATATAAACAGTACACAAATTAATGATAATAATTTCCTTTGGTTAACAGTACACAAATTAATGATAATAATTTCCTTTGCTTAATAGTACACTCATTAATGATATTTTTTTATGCTTAACAGTAGCCCACTTAAAGTAATGGTAAATGTGTTTGCTTTACAGTACACAAATCAAGAAAGGCCTACACAAATAACAATATAAAAGGCTTTGAGTTCTGGTGTATGGGTTAGCCAAAAGAGAGGAATCCATTCTGAAACTTGACACTCATTTACTTTGTCTTCTTGATCTCCCCTCTTTTTCTTTATTTTATGGTGCAATTAAATTATTATTGTTAATCAGAAGTGATATATACACAGTAGGCTTCAATATCTGGTTAAATGAGACACAGAGTTAGGGAATATGCATCAATTAAAGTCCTGTATTCCAAGACCTTTATATTTGTATGTAATGCATGTATATTAGATATTCAGCTTTGAAGCTGGTATTCTTCATAATAACATTTTTACAAAAAATTGACTGAAAATTACTAAATCAGAACAAGACTGACTTAATGACCACCAAAGACAGCAATATAATTTCTGTGACGTTTTGAGCTTTGGAAAGTTAAAAACAGTCATTTTTTTTAAGACTAATATGCTGGAAACTTAAAACTGGCAAAAAAATAAATTTTTTTTTACATTTTGTGCCATATCTTAAATTAGGGCCTGTCTCATTTAACCAGAGCTTATCATCAGTTATCACCTATTTTAAAGTTTGAGAACGAAATAAATGGAATGTGTTAAATAAATGAGATCTGCAGTTAAAGTAGTTATATAATACAATCATAGAAATAAACACAAATAATTCAACAGGTAGGTAGTTAAATTCTATCCAAATATCATTTGGAGAAAATGTCTACATTGTCGGTCTAATCTCCCTCTGTAATTTTACAGCAACTTGTACAGGTATTGTTTCAATTTAAATCTGACTCTTTAAAGGCACTCCACCACTTCTAGTGAGCTAATCAAATTAATTTGAATAAACTTGAATCAGCATCTTCTAATCAATGTCTCTACTAAATTTGGCTTAAATTGAAATCTGTCATGCAGTCCTGAGTAGGCTACAGTTTAGTTTGAAATTTTCTGAAGTGATATATAATGTCAAAAGTAGTGGTGCTGAGATTAAATTTTTGGGGTTTACTACAAATGTTTTAGACTTAGATATCTTAGTTTTCTACTTCTTAAACCTAATTTATATGAAAAATTCAAATATTTCTGTTGAAATAAGTAATATTTACTACAATATTAAACCATAAAAATGTAACAGAATTATCATTTCTTGTAATATGAACCAGTAATGTCATGGATAATAGCTCTCATTTTCTGTGTATATTTCTATGATTTAAAGACAATATTATATCTGTGTTTAAATATTCACTTAATTTCTTCTTACATAGAATGTATCAGGATATCTAAGAGGATTAGGATGCTTCATTCTTTGATTGTAACCTACCAGGAACAAAACAAAGAAAAGAAATATAAGACAATAATATCAAGGTTAATTATCCCACGATTTGATGAAAAAGACATATGTACTGTTATGTGGGTAAATGTACAGCAGCAATGGAAATTGAAATGTGGAAATTTGGTGCTAGATGTCAATTGCCATGGGCAAGAAATCTAGAAACTAGCGTGGAGAGTGCTCAATGGAGAGGTGTACCACAGAGTGTTTTGAAATTTAAAGAGTTTTAAGTGTCCTATTCAAGTATAGCGTCAACAACTGAGGGGGGATAAAACATTTTTACATAGCATTTGGTGAGATCAGGTACATGCTGACAACCCTCTCATCAAGTCACTGTACATGTAATTGACATTCAATTGACATGTAACTATGTAACCATGCAAGTTACATGTAACTGACATGTAATCAATCAAGTTACATGTGATTGACATGTAATCAATCAAGTTACTTGTGATTGATGTGTGATCAATCAACAAGTTATATTTCATTGACGTGTAAACATGTAAGTCACATGGGATTGACGTGTATTCTATCAACAAATTACATGTCACTGATGTATAAACATGTAAGTTCATGTGATTTGATGTGTAATCGCATAAGTTACATGTGATTGACATGTTATAAGGGTGTTGTACATATGTCTTCTTCAACAGAATATTAGAATATTAAAGATAGTCTACAGTAGAGTCAATGTCTGGTTAAAGATCTGAGAAAACCTGCATAACCAAAATAACGGAGAGTAACATGACAAGAAATGGAGAATAATCACCATCTTGACATCATTTCCTATGGTTCCTGGATGATCGTGTCTAAACATTTTAGTCATCAGATTAATTCTACTGTAGGAAGATAGTCAAACAATTTATCAGTAAATTGTTGGATTTAATTATTTCAAAGAGTTTGTTTCTAGATTACACCCAATCCCATAGAAAGACACAGATTTAAAATTAAATAGAAGACCAATACCATCCTTCAGATTGTAAATCATTTACAGCCAGTTACAACCCAATCTTTCACACTACAAGCGAATCTTATTTAAAATGTTGTGGAAGTTATCAGGATACAAAAATCAGGTAAGGGCAAGGATGGCAGTTGCCCATCCCCCTGGGCGCCGAACTGCGCCCTTTGCTATGACCGATGTGCCCATATCAATATGAGTGCCCCATAAAGCCGAGTGACATTGGTTGAGCTGCCCCCCCCCCTTGCCCGTTGCTAGCTACGGGCCTGAAATTGCACCTACTGAGGTAGTTAACTGGTTTATGTTTTAAGTGATCATCACATGACCACAAAATGAAGGTAGTTGTCACCATTTGCTTTTTGACATCTAATTTACTATATATGTGCATGCTATAAAACAAGCCAAGACAACCGTAACCTGAAAGTGCTCAATTCTTCTAAAGGTGGGGGACAGCAAATTTCTTCTGGGCACTAGTTATAATTCATAATCTTCTTCTGATTCTATGAGGTATGTTGATTTCTTTCATGCTACCAGTACTAAAGATATACATTGCTTTAACTTTGTTCAATATTATATGCCAGTGTGAAAGATATACGCTGCCAGTGTGAAAGGTATAAATCTGCATAATCATGTTAAATATTATGTTAGTGTGAAAACCTCTACACCAGTTCCAACATTTCAGTTATAACCGATAGTTCTGAACCAGTTTAGATTTTAACTAATGTGAACGGTTATTACAAAGTGCATGATTAATATAATGGTTATTAGAATTCATACTCTTATATAAGTGGTCATTTGGGTTCTAATATTAAAATTTCCCAATATTATTATTGTTCGATTTATATATATATAATGTTATTTTCTGATAATACTTGTAATAGATTTATGTATTTCCACACCATCCAAATACTAAAATCTGGTCGGTACATGTTTTTCTTTGCAAGTCTTGTTTCTTGCCAGGTTTAATCATAGAGCATAATAATTATTATTATTAAGGTATGAAAATCCTCAATCCTGCTTACCAATATTATTTCCACGGAACTGACGGTTATAATTAGGATCAGCTGAAATAAATACAACTGATATGTAGTAGTAGTAGTATCTAATTATCATTAACAATAATATCTACACATGTATATGTACCTATATTTATAGATACAGCAAGTAATAATTATATCAGTTACAATCAAGAGTTCCATTTTTTCCTGGGGGGTTGGATGGCCGAATGGTTAGCACGTGCATGCTGTATAATAAAGCCTGTCATTCAGTCAACCGGCGTGGTTTCGAATCCCTGGTTGTACATGACAAGGAGTAGGGTCGCCTGTCAAACCTCGTGGATTTTCTCCGGGTCCTCCGGTTACCTCCCACTGCTAAAGACCCCTACGCGCGAGCAAATTATTGAAATAAAATTAAACCGTATGTTAGTCTGGAAATGACCTAGTTTGTGTCGGTGGACGTTAAAGCCCATTTCTCTCTCTCTCTCCAACTTTTCCTTAAGTGAGACCCATGTCATGAAAAACAAAATATCAAAGACCACAATAACCAAAGAGAATTTCCATCACATAGGACAATAGTTGTCATCGTAATGTATTTATAATCATACAAATATGAAGGTGATTGTAATTTAATTGATTACAAAGCAATGTAATCAACCCTATGTCGGTTTCAGGAATATGATGACTGATATCTCTCCTCTCCTCTCGGTCCATAAAATTATCCAAAAAAAAAAGAGAGGAGAGTTCAGGAGAGTCAGGTCCTTTGGACTACTTTTTTGCAACTTCAATTTCTCATACAGTCAAATTTAACACTAATATGATACTTACCGTTATATGTCACTTGTTGTACCTGATTTAAAAAAAAAAACCAAAACAGTTGTTTATTTATTATTTTCTAAATGTTAATAAACACACCTATATTTCAATTTTCTAACCTATGAGATTTTTGTTAAATAATGAATCTTTAATATCCACTGTCATTGTGTATTTATGTCTGTTTTAGTCACTGTTTCTTGAAAATGGATGAAGGATTGATAAAATTTTAAGCAGAAAGAAATCTAAGCTATTTAGCATATAAGTAAGGGGGAGCATGTTTAAGAGTTATGCTGTCACCTTCATGATGGTTTATTCAATGCTATCTTTAAATAAAGGAGAAGTCCCATATTTCACATGATATTTATTATTAAAGAAGCTAAATCGCTATTCTCTGGCACCTAGAAATGGACATAAATGGGTCGCAAAGCATATAATAATGTAATGTGAAGTATATAAACTGATTTACATTCAATTGTTTCTGTTTCAGTTATGTTTGACAAAATATGTAAAGAATTTAAATTGAATGTCAGTCTCTGGTATCTGGTTATTCCAGACTACACCGGTAGTAAAATGTTTCAATGGCATTTAGTAATTGAACTAGAGTATACAGGTCACAATTCTATGGAATACAATTACTGCTTTTAACTGAGCGACGTTTCGACTAGGCTTCTCTAGTCATGTTTCAATGGCATTTAGTAATTGAACTAGAGTATACAGGTCACAATTCTATGGAATACAATTACTGCTTTTAACTGAGCGACGTTTCGACTAGGCTTCTCTAGTCATCATCATAGCTTGATAATGACTAGAGAAGCCTAGTCGAAACGTCGCTCAGTTAAAAGCAGTAATTGTATTCCATAGAATTGTGACCTGTATACACCGGTAGTATTTCCTTGTGGGATAAGTTTAATCTCTTTCATCGAGTCGCTTCATTACAAATGGCCAATTTTGTGTGCCAATTTTAAAATGTAAAGAAATAGTTAAAAATATTCAGCATGATCAGTAATTTTTTGAACAGTACCATAGTACTAGTTTTCTAAGAGTCTTACATAAATCTGGGATGATTCCTTTAAAAGTTTACATTAACATCTTTATGATGCAAAAACCACTCACCACATCCCTGATCTGTCAAGAACTGTAGAGTGAAAGATATGTTTAACTGGCATTTAGTAACAGAATGAGAATAACACATGAAATACAATTATATGGAATACAAGTTACTTAAAAGAGATAATTCATCAGAAACCATCAAAACCCCTTTTCAACCCAATTGATGGTTTCTAATTGTATATTAATGTTTTCATTGTTCCAGATTGTGTATGTATCTACATCTTCACTGTATTATAGTTGTCATTCTTAGCTTGTTAAAGAAAAAAAATCAGAAATAAACTTTAAATAACTTGTATTCCATATAATTGTGTCATGAGTTGGTATATTATGCCTATGTATAAAAAGAAAAGAAATATAAGAGTACTTACGATTGGAATGGCTATTTCTTTACGTCCCATTTTAAACCTTATACCACCAGACGGTTGTGGAGGATGATGATTATTAACAGTAATAACAGTTCTATGAACTCCAACACCACCACCACCTGGATGTGAAATCATTGGATTTTGTTGATAATGAGCTTGTGGATGAAGTGGATGTTTTGGTTGATCATGTCTGTGACGATCTACAGGAACTGAGTGAAGGTAGGGGTCCTGATGGCCAGGTGGCATCCTGTGAACTCTAGGACCAGTCCCATAACCAGACACTAAGCGGGGGTCAGAGACATGGTCAGGTTGCACTCTGTGAACTCTAGGACCAGTCCCATGACCAGGCACTACTATATGCGATGTATTTGGTCCTGGCTGACGATTGTTTTTTTCTGGTAATTGTTGTGTAGCTCGAGACTTTACTTGATCTGTCTTAACTTTGGCTTCTGCAATAAGACAAATAAAGTAACGAATCAACAAACTGGTTTGCTATAATGAACTCGAATTAAGATGGTACATCATAAACTCGAATTAAGATGGTATATCATGAGCTAGAATTAAGATGAAACATCATGAGTTAGAATCAAAATGGAATGTCATGAGCTAGAATTAAGATGGTACATCATGAGCTAGAATCAAGATGGTACATCATGAGCTAGAATCAAGATGGTACATCATGAGCTAGAATTAAGATGACATATCATAAGTTAGAATCAAAATGGAATGTCATGAGCTAGTATTAAGATGGTATATCATGAACTAGAATCAAGATGGTATGTCATGACCATGGTATCTTAGTCATAGATGAATCAAGTGCTGTATTACCTTGTGTAAAGTCCTAGTGTGTATGAGACATACAAGCAACTGTCCCTTCTAGAGAAAAATGAATGGAAGCAGGTTACATTTGGAGACTAACATACAGTAAATTTTATTTTTATGGTTACCTGTTCAATGCCAGGTAGAGAATTTGGGTTGAACAGTGGGATTTTTGTATGAAATTCAAAACTGCCAATAAATCTTTATATGCAGACTAATTTGTATACAGGACCCTAGTTTTTCATCATATATATTTTCCTTTTTAACCCCTTCCAACCTAGACTAATGTTGACGTTGAACCTAAAAGGAATTTCAATCCAAAAATGGATTAGTTCCTTTCAGTATTTACAAAGATACGATGAATCGGAAATTTGTCAACATTAGTCATCCTCTAGAGACAATATATAAACAAAATATTCTGATGGGCATCTGTTTTTAATCTGTCTGAGTTCAAACAAGGGGATTATCTATCATTGATATTTTGAATTTGTGATGATTAGGCTGTGAATTATACGATATTGTCCTAAAATGCCAATGATATGAGTAAATTTATAGGAATAAAATGATTTTGGCAAGCAGATTCTACTGAAGCCTAATAGATAAAACGGCAGTGGACAATGGAATTTAGTCAAAAAATACCTTCTTCTGAATAATTTCTTGGTGGTAAAGATGGAAAGCTGCTTTCCTGCTAAAAAAAAAATAAACAAATGTTACAAAGCAATGTTGACACTAACAAACTGTATTACATCTTTTTCATATCGATTTTAAAATCTGAAAGATTTCTTAATTTGTTTTATGATAGAAAATGACAATTTGATGTAATCACTCAATAATAATAATAATGATATTTGTATCAAATAACTATTCAATCCACTAGAGAATGCTCTAGGCACTAGAAAAAGTTCTGACTTTGGAGTGTTAATGACAGTGACTTAAATAACCAAATTGTCAAACTGACAGAGAAATGAATTGACTGATCTTGAAACAGGTTCTGGGACTGAATATTAAAACACAATGCTATCAAAAACAATCTTATTGTCCTGAGGAAGTTGGTATGTTTATTGATGAAAACAATTGAGTAAAAGTAAAAAAATATGTTTTCTTGCTATTGTTATGTCTCATATTTTAATGCGGTCACTGGATGTATATTGTAATCACCAGCTCGTCAGTTTTTGACGTATTTTATTTATTTTTGATAAGCACGATATTTTGAGTGTATGTCAGTTTTTTTAAATGTCTTGCAAACTTTCTCATTATCAAGCAAGCTTACAAGCCGCATTTTGTTGAGAACGTAAATAATGATGCTAAGACTTGTTTGTAACCTGTTGTTTCATTGGTTCATAGCATCAACCTACGTGGCCAATGGAATCATCAAGGGCAGATTATTTAAATTTGTGACTACCCCTTGAATGGACCCAGGAAGTAGAACAGATTGATACCACTGGAGATACCAAAAGATGTAATATGGCTAGGAGTACATGGATAAACACAGAGCAGAAGACTGAAATGCTAACTTGGTTCTTCTGGATTTATGAATATCAATTATAGCATTGTCTTGTCTGGTTTTAGATTAAAGGGCATAATTTCTGTCGTCCACTACACAGAAAGTAAACCAACCTTTTTAACGGGATCTGAAGATCTCATTACAGGTTTCTGAACTTCTAAAATAAAGATAGAATGTTATCAATTACAATAAGTTACAAATATAAAAAGATTACTAGATCAGGTGGATTTATGATCTAACAGACATGTATATGAATAAAATGAAATGAAAAGGGGGTTTAATCTGCTATCTCTTTTCTGCGCAAACCTCGTTAAGCCATGATGTGTGTCACAAGTGAAACAATAGTTGATTTGTGAAAAATTACCAAATTTATGTTTAATAATCTGAAATGTTTGAAGACAATAATTGCAAGTCACAAAATATATCAAATGCGGCTCAGAGACTATAAGTGTATATAAAATTTGAATTGTCGTAAAAGTACCTAAACCTGTTTTACCGTGGCATGCTGTCACCCCTTTATACGGGATGATCTCTCCCGAAGAGTGACGTAATCAGCTTCCATTTTGGTATTGGTATTGTTTTTGAAAATTCAATTTTTCAAGAAAGAACGTTTTTATTCGTTGGAATATCTAATTGTACAATGGATTTTATTTAACGGGAGTTGATTTCAAACACACAGGTAAGTTTATATTAACCAAAGTTAAGTAGTTTGTTCATAATCAAAGAAATCCGTTTAAAATTTACGACGGTACAGACAGTAGAATTGGTTGATTATCAATATTTAACTATTATAGCAGCTGTTGGGTCTTTAATCACTACAACAAAGCATGATACATGACCTAGAATATTACGTGCAAAATGAAATATAAAATATAAAATCAGTGTAAAATTACAAAATTATGTTGCTTAATAAAATAAATTTTAGTTACAAACATAATAAACAGCTTTTAAAACTATCATATATCTGATAAAACCAACTTCTTTTCCTATTTTCAGGAACATACAGAAAGCTAACATAAACAAGTTAACAGTGAGGCTGATGTCCCCCGCCGAAATCCCATTATAAATAGATGACACATATTAATTAATCGCACATTTATTTTTTTTCAAAAGTATCGAGCAATCAAACTATACACTAAGTACCATCACTCTCTATCAGAGAGAATCAAGATTATCTTGTCCCATTAAAGCATCGACCAATGAAATTGATTAGCTCTCCTTAGCTTTAGTTAGCAATGTTAATCATTGAACTCAGTCGAGACATTCAACTAATGAACATCTACATCAAGTTTAAAAATTCTACCTCAGTTAAAAGCAGAGTTGTTATGTTCCAAAGTCTTGGCCAATCAAATTGCTTATTGCTCCTTAGGCTAAGCAGAAAATTCTCATCATCGAACTTAGTCAAGGTAATGATACAATGAATCTATACTCTGAGTTTCATCACTCTCACTTAATTATAACCAAAGTTATTGTGCCCCAAAGCATCAACCAATCAAATTACTCATCTCTGCTTATCCTAAGCAGAAAATGATCAATTTCGAACTCCATCAAGGCATTGACCTAATAAACACCTACACCAAGTTTGAATGTTCTAGCCCAATTAGAATGAGAGTTATTGTGTTCCAAAGTCTTGACCAATCAAATTGCTTATCGCTCTGCTTACCCTGAGCAGAACATGCTCATTATCGAACTTATTCAAGGTATTGATGTAATGAAATTATACACTAAGTTTCATCACTCTCGCCTAATTATAACTATAGTTATCGCTTCCCAAAGCATCAACCAATCAAATTGCTTATATCTGCTTACCCTAAGCAGAAAATGCTCATCTTCGAACTTCATCAAGGCATTTACCTAATAAACCCCTACACCAAGTTTGAACATTCTAGCTCAATTAGAAGGAGAGTTATTGTGTTCCAAATTCTCGGCCAATCAAATTGCTTATCACTCTGCTTACCCTGAGCAGAAAATGCTCAAGTTCAAACTTAGTCAAGGTATTGATGTAATGAAACTGTACACCAAGTTTCATCACTCTCACTTAATTAGAACTAAAGTTATTGTGTCCCAAAGCATCTACCAATCAAATTGCTTATCTCTGCTTACCCTAAGCAGAAAATGCTCATCTTCGAACTTCATCACGGTATTGACCTAATAAACACATATACCAAGTTTGAACATTCTAGCTCAATTAGAAAAAGAGTTATTGTGTCCCAAAAAGTGTGACGGACAGACAGACGAACGGACAGAGGGCGGGGGACAACAAGACTGACATATTAAGCCCTCATAAGTGAAAACATAGGATTGCTAGCCAAATGCAGCAAGAAGCAATTTAAAATGATGGTTTTCATGTTTTTGGGGTCATGGGCAGTAACTATGCATAAAATTGATAGGTGTGTCTGAATTTCAATAAGGTTTTCAGCAAGAAGATGGAATAAAAAATATCAAAACTCAGACCTGTAGGGTGAGTGTTGTCAAGCTTTCAGTTACCTGGGGCAGTAAATCATTATGTGACATCAAATTTTGATGAGTTTTTCCTTAGCACACTTCAATTGTAGAACGCTTATGCTTACATATAAATGAGGGAGTATATTAAAATATAACAATAATAAATCCTTAATGACAAAAAAATTTTTAAACAATTTATTTAAATTAAATTACACTCTAGAAAAACTGACAGACATTTCTAATTTCCTAGACAATGCTTGGTGAGAAAACATGCTTCCACTGCTTCCTGTCATTATAAAATATACTATTCAAAAAAAGTAGGGGATATTTGATTTTTAAGTGTTATTAAAGTCACCTAATGAAACTGACGAAGAAACAAATGACAAAATGAAATGAAGTTCACATTCATCGATTTATTCCAAATGATCGTTAGACTAAGTAAGGCACAGACTGACCATTATAAGGGTAAAATGATACCCGGGGTCAAACAGCAAAGTTACCACAGCATCACAACCAAGTCAGTAACGGGTAAATCCTCCTCTGTTTGCCAAACAAGCATTGATCCGACGTGGCATACTCCTAATGAGACGTCTAAGGTCATTTTGGTCCAGATTGTCCCATTCCTGTTGCAACGCAGCAGCAAGTTCTTGGACATTGGCAGGACATTGTTGACGTTGACGTAACCTCTGTCCAAGCATGTCCCAGACATGCTCGATGGGGGAGAGGTCGGGACTCAGTGCTGGCAAAGGTATGTGGTGATGTTCTGTTGTTGGAGGTAACCTGTAACGATCCTGGCCCTGTGACATCTTGCGTTGTCATCCTGGAAGATGAAACGGCGGCCATGACGTCGTGCGAACGGCACAACATGGACTGCCAAGATGTTGTCCCGGTAGTACTGGCCTGTAACACGCCCTGCAACAACATGTAAAGCCGTTCTTCCAGCAACAGTGATGCCTCCCCACACCATAACAGAACCACCCCCAAATCGATCATGTCTGATGACGTTAACGTCTTGGAAGCGCTCGTTTCGACGACGCCACACCCTCCTACGTCTGTCCAAAAAATCAACAGTGAACCTTGACTCATCTGAAAACATCACATCGCTCCAGCGTCGATTATCCCAGTGTTGACGATCCCTACACCAACGACGTCTTGCCTGAATGTGATGATCTCTCAAACAAGGGATCACGCGAGGACGTCGGGCGCGAAGGTGACCCCTATGCAGTCGATTCCGAATCGACTGGCCACTCACTCTCACACCAGTGTCTGTTTGAAGACGAGCGCTGATCTGATTTGCTGTGATGACACGATTTCTCAAGGCCAAGGTACGGATAAATCGATCCTGGGCTTGAGTTGTCGCCCTTGGTCGACCTGAGCGTGGTCTGTCCTGTACAGATTGTGTATCACGGTATCTGGACCATAGCCTGCTTATGACAGACTGAGAAACATTCATCGTCCGCGCCACAACCGCCTGTGTTGTGCCGATCTGTAGCATGCCAAGGGCACGTAACCTTTCATTTTGGGTAAGCCGACGCATATCAAAATTTGTTTTCTGGTCACTAAAACAATTAAACTGATGTTTCAATGCCACAATGACTGTAACATTCAAAGTCAGAGTCGTGCAAATCTTGGGTTGGACCTCCATGATGATCCCAAGCATCACCTGCATTCCATGCGGTAGCTATTGGTGCGTTTGGGCGTCACATGTAACTGGAAATGTTTCTTCTGTTAGGTTCTATAGTGACTTTTTTCGTAGTCATTTGCATATTTTAGTATTATGCCCCCAAAATCAAATATCCCCTACTTTTTTTGAATAGTATACTTTAATATGTTCAGTCAATATGCTCTTATCACTTGAGAATATTAAACAATAAGATAAATATATGCATTGGCCATGCAAAAATAATAGGTCAAATAAGAGGCAATTAACTAGATTATGAAATAGGTTGCCAGGCAATGCAACAGCTTTGTTGTCTGATCCACCATAATATCTAAGGAAGTGACAAGTACAATAACAAGAGTGATGGTGTGAAATGCATTATAGCATGGGTCAATAACACTGAGATAAATTGTGAAGGTGGGACCCTTAAAAGCGTTAAATGAAGAGTCTTTAAAAGCTTTGGTTGTAGGAACATGCACAACATGATCATAGTGATCTCTAGCAGAGATAATGTATAAACAAAAGGGAGAAATTCAGTAACATCCAATCATTGAATTACAATAACGTGATGAGAAGCACACATGCCAGCACGCACGAAGGTTTTTTTTTATAATATATGTGGAATTATACAATGGATTACATCTGTGTAGGGTTTTTTATAGTAGATTAGGAAAATCATATCACCAAATATACCTTTCTTTCTTACTGTAAAATCTGAATCTAAATTTTCATAACACAGCCCTCTGTTGTTACGGGGAATTAGAGCTGAATTTTCATATACATGGCTACTTTTACGAACTTTGTTTCTAGCTAGTAGTAACTCTGAAATCATGTTTGTTAAAGATTTTCCATGTTCAGTTTCAGATATTACTCAAAACATGAATTGATCAGGCATAGATATTGCTCGGGCAGTGGCTAACCATAGGTCGTGAGGAAGGCAGAAATGAAATGAAATGAAATGGAGTTTAACGTCCTACTGTTCTGCTCCTAACCTGGGCTAATGAAGACGGGCATACGCCATACAGTGTGCTATGAAGGAAATTTTGCCCGGATAGCGGCTCTACGGCCTACTCTTATATCGAATTCCAACTGCCAAGAGATCTTTTACGTGCACGCTAATATGTACACGGGACCTCGGTTTTTCGTCCCATCCGAACGACTAGACAGCTTTCCTTGTCAGCCCCTCCGTCCTGCATCACTGACAAGGGAGAACCACGCCGGAAAATCTGGATGAACTTTCTCGGCCAATGCAGGGATCGAACACCCGACCTCCAGGCTAGTGAGATAGCGTCTTACCCACTTAGCCACGTGATCCCACGTGAGGAAGGCAGCTACAGGTGTTATGGTGTTACAATTGGCAGGTCTCGGGCAGAGCCCTATTACAAAATTGTTACAGACTGGATCCATTGCAAAATATGTGGATAAACAGTATGCCTGACTAAAAAAATATTTTAATACAACATACATCCTAAACAGCATTTGTATCTACTGTACGTGTTGAACCAAGTGCTGGAATTGCAGTTAGTGCATTTATCTTTGTGCAATGCTTAAACAAAACTTATTAGTTGTTGAAAACTATGAAATAATGTAGAGAAAAAAACTGAAATATATGTACTACTTTGAGTAAAGATACAAAAACTTTGCACTGATCTCAAAAAAGTAATGTATTTATATATATTGAGTCGTCCTGTCCTATGTATAATCACATTTATATATACTGACTGAGAGGCTCTACCCTATATATAATCACATTTATATATATTGAGTGGTCCTACCCCACCACGTATAATCACATTTACATGCATCTATATTTATTGAGTGGTCCTATCCTAGGCACAATCACATTTCTTTTTTCTGTAAACAATATTTCATATCAAATGAAATGAAAACGGATTTGGGAACAGGCATAGCCTGCATCACCCCCTCTCCTCATAATCACATTTACACATATTTATATATATTGAATGGTCTTACCCCACATATAATCACATCTATAGATAGTGAGTGGTCCTACCCTGTGCATTATCACATATATTGAGTGGTTATACCCCTGGGCCCTTATTCACGAAAACTTAAACTAAGATACAATCGAAATTTTAAGAAATACTGCAATTCGATTAGCTGGCCAGTAAAATCAATTTGCATATATCCAATTTGCATACTGGTCAGCCAATCGAATTGCAGTATTTCTTAAAATTTCGATTGTATCTTAGTTTAAGTTTACGTGAATAAGGGCCCTGTTACCACCCCTATATAATCACAGTTATGGTATATACATTCAGTGGTCCTATAATCACATCTTATTAATTTGAGGGTAAATATAAGCAAAAATAATTTTTCAACTTTATTTTTTTTATACTGAAATATCAGAAATATACTTTACACACAATATTATACATATTTTGATTTGATGTATTAGCATGTTATCATGATTCTTAACAATTGGTAAGTTTTTTGGTTCTCTCAAACTATTTCTTAAAATCTGAATACGATCTTTTAACCCTGCAGCAACATTATGTCCCTACCCCTATAAAACAAAACGGTTAACCTATTATTAATATGTATAATTAGACTAAGCTCTAATACAAGGGTGGCCAGCCAATGTTACAAATGACACTGTGGAACACTGGATTGAATGATATGCAGTTTAATATTCTACTTTTCAACCAGATACATGAAGACAAGGTGGCATATTGGACCATTCCAAATAATACTTTGCAGCCTGTGATAATAATGATGTGATAATTAATTTGCCCCCAATATCAACAGTTTGACAAAATCGAAACAAACTCAAAAATGTCAGATAAATAAATAATGTATCTATTTAAACATACATTATGCAAGAGCTAAATCTGTCTATTGCAGGTCTTTCTTTAGGCCTGAAATGTTATCTAAATTATTAATTAGACCTTAATTAACTTATCCAGACCATAATCAACACTCGATGCCATCACCAGCCTGCAATATTTCAATTGCTAATATCTCGGTTCAGATGGGAGCAGTTTGACTGAAATTTCCAGCATATTCTATTTACGTTAACTATATTTTTAGCTATTATAGCGAGAACTGTCAACTCTTTATCTGATCTCCCATAATGCCCCTTTAAAGGCTCAATACCACTCTTGTTGTAACTGAATAATATGTCCTAATCTTTATTCTGGTCAACAAATTGTACTATTTTACAATATTCCAATTAATTGATGATACAAATTTCACCTTAATTAACACACCTAATTTAAAAAATTTAAAAAATTCAACACAATGATTTGAAAAGCCTAACGTAAAGCTTTTCAAATGTGACTTGGATTTAAAAATATTTTTGAACCCTTTGGACAAGTAAAATAGGATTTAATGGATAATTTACACAACAGGTAGGACACTAAAACATCTAGTGCTTAGAATAAGGCTATTTTTTGTATTTTCTGGAGCTGTCAAGCCAGCAAGAGTGTTATTGTCCCTTTAAGGTATTTTCCTAATTTAATCATTTGAAGTTAAATGTCACATATATATAAAGTTGTAAGATAATTTGGGGTACATCAAACATAAAAAGGTTTGCCTGCTCTAAATAGATCAATAAGATGTATAATGTACCTTTTTTATTGTCTTGAGAGATAACATCTGTATAAATATCTGGAGCTTGTTTGATTTCAGTACTGGTTGTACTACTAGTACTATCTATATGACTCCTACGATCTATAAAGGTCTGATTCTCATATTCTTGTGCTTTAGAACTAGTATTGTTGACTTTAGTTATGACAGCCTTGTTATGAATTTCATCATTAATAACAACCACAGCATCTCCATCACAGTCTGTATATATATTACCAACATCAACTGGTGAATAATCCTCCTCAAAATCTCCAGTATTTACATAATCATCCTCAAAATCTCCAGTATTTACATAATCATCTTCAAAATCTACATCTGAAATGAAATGAAATGGGGTTTAACATCCTACTGTTCTGCTCCGAACTGAGCTAATGAAGACGGGCATACGCCATACAGTGTGCTATGAGGGAAATTTTGCCCTGACAGCAGCATTACGGCCTACTATATATTGAATTCAAACTGTCAAGGGATCTTTTATGTGCACGCCAATGTGTATAGGACCTCTGTTTTTTTGTCCCATCCGAATGACTAGATAGCTGTCCTTGTCAGGCCCTCTGCCCCGCATCACTAACAAGGGGAACCACGCCGAAAAATCTGGATGAACTTTCTCAGCCAATGCAGGGATCAAACACCTGACCTCCAGGCTAGCAAGCCAGCGTCTTACCCACTTAGCCAAAAATCTACATCTGAAATATTGAACGCTTACAGTGATTTGGGTAAAAGGAAGTTTCCACTGATGTTAGGCCCTTCAGTCACAAGTATGAGTGAATTGCAGAATTTCGATACTAACAGGTTTTCAATTTGGTAGTCCATAAATGCAAAGTGAGAAATTAATGTAAATGTATGTGAACTTTTATTAGTGTAATGTACCAAACTAACTGGTGTACCCATGAAATAGCAATGTTAAATTCTGTAAATCTGGTCTTTATTTGGATAAATCTTAATTTTGATAACATGAAAATATGTGGTATTATAAAGTTGACAGAAATGATAACCATGTGAAATTCCCTCCCTCCTTACCTCAACATCTCGAGAAATCAAGCTGCAACACCTACATTATTTAGCTATTTTTCTTCTCCCCTGCCCTGTCACTTAATAAGACACCTATAACCTATGTATCAATGTAACAAAATTAAAAACTTACTCTCATATTTGCCAGGCCTGGTATTATAATATAACTGTAAAAATAAACAAAAAAAAACTTTCATTGATAAAATATATATATTGTGTTGTGTTTCTTTTGTCGCCACAATGGTTTATAATCATTTCATTTATAATCAGAAGTACAATCTGTTTTAAGACAGAGAACAACAGGGGCTTCAAGTAAAAGGGTTGGTGCTAAAATTCAAAACAGGAGTTGATGGTGTGGTACAGATCTGCTTGTGTTTCAAGTTCCAGGTTAACAAGTACAATATAGCCCTATGATATTAATTTTCCTGTTCATTAGACATATCTGTGAGGAACTGATCTCCTTGTGCTTCAAGTTCCAGGTTAACAAGTACAATATAGCACTATGATATTAGTTTTTCTGTTTATAAGACATGCGTAGGGGGTCCAATAGGATGATCTTTATATAAAAGTGTTGAAATTATTGTTTAATATTAGAAAATGTTTGTAATGACCTGTTCTGTGTCAACTTCATTATTTATGTCATATGTCTTTATCCATTCCTCAAACAAATTCTTCATCACCAGATGCACTAATTTATACTGATCCTGAAATATTTAGACATGTCAAAAAAATACAAATTCATCCATACATCCATTTTCCTGCTGGTTTGTTAAATTTAGTATTGCTATGAATCAAAATTACTATAATATCTACCAATTTACTATAAATTTTTTATCTCAAAGTGAAACGAAATAGGGTTTAACATCCTACTGTTCTGCTCTGACTGGACTAATGAAGAAAACCATACAGTATGCTATGAGTGAAATTTTGCTTGGACAGCAGCACTTAGGTCTTATTTCAAATTCCAATTGTCAAAGGTTCTTTTACATGCATGCCAATGTGTAAACCAGACCTCATTATTTCGTCTCATTCAAACGACTATATATTGTCCCTTGTCAGGTCCTCCCTCCTGCATTACTGACAAGGGGGAACTACGCCAGAAAAGCCAAAGTTTTATTATCTTGATAAATATTTTTATTGTATTGTAATTTGATAGATATCTTTATCTTATAGGCCCATAGTAAGGTAATTTGATAGATATTTTTATAAAATTACTATAAGATAAAGATATCTATCAAATTATTGTCAAATTACTATAAGTTAAAGGTGTCTAGCTAATTATTCGAAGATATTTATCAATTTTCTATAAGATAAAAAAAAATTATATCACTCAGAACTGAAATGTGGTTTAACATCCTACTTTCTGGGCCAATCAAGCTAATAAAGATGACCAATTAAATCTCCAATTGTAGAAAGCTTTTTAATAATAGAAGTGTAACATAAATGTTTAGTTATTTATATAAGAACTTTACAAATAAATGAAATAAGCGGTTGCCCTGCAAGATACGTCCACATTCTGCAAGAGATGGATAGGGAACAAGCTAAAGAAAAGAAAGTGAATTTTGTACAATCATTATGGTCTGAAATTACACACTTTTACACTATTTGCATACAAGGAGTGGCCCTTTTGTTGGGCAGTTTCATTTTGATTTTCCTAAAGTTTGAACTCAACCTTCATTATGGTGTAACGGTGATATACTTAAACAGTTTTTAAAATTGGATAAAAATTGTGACATCTAGAGGGTCCACAGGCTAAAAATGTGATTTTTCATACAATCAGGGGCCATAATCCTGGAAGTTATGGTCTGATATGTGCGAATATTGTCAGGAAGAAAGATCTTTTGGATTTAAACATATATTTTAAGTTTCATCAAAATCCGATAAAAATTGTGACCTCTAAAGGGTCCACAATCTTTATATTACATACTTTTTATACTAATTGCAGCCATTTTGTCAGTCAGTTTCAGTCCAATTTTCACAAAATTCAAACTCAACCACAATCAGGGGCCATAAACCAGGAAGTTATGGTCTGATATGCGCAAATGTCGACAAGAAACAAGATCTGTGGGATTTAAACATACATTTCAAGTTTCATCTAAATCATGAGCCATAATTCATGAAGTTACGGTCCGACACATGTGGGCGTATAAAAATAAATAAAGTAATCTAGAAAGATTAAGCCAATTCTGCCATGTTCACTACAACAGTCACTATTTGCATGACCTTGTGTTTCCAAACTTTCCAGTGAATTTCACCACAACTGAAACTTGTATAAGGACTTAGGTAAACAGAAAATTAGTTCTTACTAATAATAATACATATTGCAATATTACTTACTGGTGTCTGTACCATAGATTGTCTTTGTTCTCGGAATTTGGCAATAATATCAAACAAACTGAAGTCTTTCCCAATTTTCTGAAAGAAGAAATTACTCATATGCATCATATTTTTAAATGTGCACCTTTAATGAATAGATTATATGATGCAGAGTATACTAACATCTGGAATGTTACTTTCAAAGGAGCTGAACCTCTAACTCGATATTTTCCATAATATTTGATAAAATAGAATTCAATATTGGTCCATTCCAATCAAATTGGTGTTGTTATCTTGCTGTGAAAATATGAGATCCTAATATCCAATATTTAAGACACAGTGAATATTTAAATATCAGTACATGAGTCGGTCGTTAATTTTATGGTTTTGTGGGCCATTTGTAATAAACAAAGATAAACATATCCTACAAGACAATGTAAAACTAATTATTAATGGCTGGTTCTCAAAACAAACTAGTAATAAAGATAGATTGCCAGTCAACAAGGGTTGTCCCACATTTATTCTTTTGTAGGTATGGGTAGCATTTACAAGACAATTTCATACAGATCAGTTTATAATTTTCGTCATTTGAGGGTTCACAAGGTTCTTAAAACTAAAACAAGGGCCTTTAGCCTGGAAGTAATTTTCAGAAATTGTTAAAATTTGACAGGCTTTTTCATTTTACTAATTTAAATAATGCATATAAATTTCATACAGATCTGATATCTTTTGTTGTTCAAACAGTAAAAAGGTTCAACAAAGTGAAACAAGGGCTATAACTTTAGAAGTAATTAATGGAAATTGCTGAAATTCACTAGGATTCTTTGTTTGAATAATTTAAATTATGCATTTAAATTTCATACAGATCGGATGATAACTTTTGTTGTTAAAGCATTCACAAGGTGCAATAAAGTGAAACAAGGGCTATAACTCTAGACATAATTAACAGAAATTGCTGAAATTCATAGGATTCTTCGTTTCACTAATTTAAATGAGGCTTATAAATTTCATAAAGATTTGACTATAACTTTTGTTGTTCACAAGTTGCAATAGAGTGAAACAAGGGCCATAACTCCAGAAGATATTAACAGAAATTATTGAAATTAATTAGTGCTCTTCACCTCATTAATGTAAACAACATATGTCAATTTCAAAACAATCAGATGATAAATGTAGTCTGTAGAGTGTTCATGGGGGCGTATAAAATTGGACTACCAGTAAGCAAGCGAAAACAAATGCAGTTTACATATGTTTCACATAACCTTAGCGATTAAAAATTACAATAAATTTTTATAAAAGGGCATATAAATCACTTTATATACATTCATTTTACATTAATATGTGCTTTTAAACCTTGATTCGATAGAATAGAGCTATACACCCTTTAAGTTACAGGTATTTTACATTGATAAATGTCACGTCACCAATATAAAGATAGTATAATTGAAGCTTTTAGCTTCATCATAATCAGTTTTCATTTCCTTTTCCTTTTAATGGTTTATCACTAATAGTCAAACATAATCTTGCCACACCTTTAGAATATATATCACAATAGATTTTATGAGCTGATGTTGACATACCCTATGCTGGGTCAATGTATTTTGGTTATGTAAATAGATATCAAAAGAAATCATTTGTATTGAAACAAAGCATGTTCTAATGGTCCCATATACAAAAGGTTCGAGTCCTCTGGTACATGTGATTCAACAACATGAGCTATATTTCTATTACAAATATATTTCTATAGTGTTAATACAAGGAAGTGATATTAACAGTAGATTGACAGCTGATGTTCTTATATAATCTGAATGTTAGAAGATATAACAAGGACAACCCGCAACCTGTGTTAATATAAAAGTGATACTTACTCCTTGATTAAGCAGTGTCCAGGCATAGTCAATACCACATATTGTCCCTGTTCTTCCACAGCCAGCACTAGAAATTGAAAAGATAAAGTTATTGAAATTTTAAATTCTTAACTGGAAAGTGTAGACATAATGCCTTATTGAAAAAACATAAGGTTCCTTCCTGATAACAAAACATTTACAGGCTATATGTGGGCAAATAAAATGGCATTTATATATATTGCTAAAGCCATCTTCATTTCAGTAGGAGCAGAACAGTAGGACGCTAAATTCCATTTCATTTCACTATTGCTAAAAATAACAAGTAAACTAAGTCATCAACATCCTGTATCCTACGATACCAAAAACTAATTAGTCAAATTTGTTTCTATTGAAACATACATACTATTAAATGAAAGAAATTTCTCATAAGCAAAAGGCACAACTATTACAGTAGGCTGTTTGTACAAAGTTTCATAAGGATATCTTGATGGTATATAAGATATGCTTTAGAAACAAAACCAGGGTTGAAGGACGTACTGACAGCATCTATTTCAGTATTACTCCATTAACTTCGTTCGGCACAAGATATAACACAACTCACCTGCAGTGAATAACTAAAGGTATATCAGGTTTCTTTCTTTCTGCTCTCATGTGATGGATCATTTTATTAATATCTGCAGCATCATTTGGAACACCATGATCAGGCCAGCCAGTATAATGAAACTGAGTCACATAATGACTTTCTGTCCCACATTTAGCACACAATCGTCTTCTATAAAAATCTGGTAATATTTCTTCTTCCTCTACCTGAAAACAAAATAACCAAAAATTATATTATTTTCTCAGGAAATAAAATAACATTGTTATTCTGCAGAAAATAAAATTATAGTTTTCAGAAAATAAAACTACATCGATGTTCTTAGAAAATAAAATGATATTGATGTTCAAAGAAAATAAAATTATATTAATGTTCTCAGGAAATAAAATCATATAGACTTTATTAGAAAATAAAATTATATTAATGTTCTCAGGAAATAAAATCATATAGACTTTTTCAGAAAATAAAATTATATTGATGGTCTCAGGAAATAAAATTATATTGATGGTCTCAGGAAATAAAATTATATTGATGGTCTCAGGAAATAAAATAATATTATATTAGAAATAAAATTATTTGGATGGTCTCAGAAGATAAAATTATATTGATGTTTTCAGGAAATAAAAAATTGTATTGATATTCTTGGGAACTAAAATCATGGTGATGATCTGAGACGGTATTAGGATTGAATCAGGATCAAATGTCGTTTAATAAGTCCATTTGGGTATTCCAAAAGTATTTTAACAGAGGGCTGTATATGGTCTCATTAAATTTCCATAATCTACATGCCCCATGTTCTGTGCATGATTGACAGATCCTTCGCAAACTGTTTATAACATCACAAGTCATTGAATATATTGATATAATCAAACTATACATCACGTTTCATCATTTTCACTCAATCAGAATCAAAGCTATTATGCTTCAAAGTCAGAACTTCTGCAAAACAGGCTCATCATCGAACTCAAGTCAAGAAAAATATCTAATGAAGATATACACCAAGTTTCATCAATGTCACTCAATTAGTATAGAAGTTACTGTGTGCCAAAGCACTAACAAAATCAAACTGCTTACCCTCTGCTTAGTCAAAGCAGAAAATACCTATCATCGAATACAGACAAGACATTTATCCAGTGAACATCTACACCAAGTTTACATCAATTGGAAGCCGAGTTATTGTGTTCAAAATGTGTGACTGTTTCATTCATGTTTAATTTCAAAAAAGTAAATTTGACATTTCATTCAGAAAACATGGGTCCTTTCTTTTTAATTTGTATGTTAACTATGGTAAATTAAATGAGGCCCCAGCCAGAGATATGAAAAACCATCCTGTGTAGGATGTAGGATAACAAACTTATAGTCCTTCAAATTTTAAGAGAAGCAAATAGTACCAAGAACAGCCACTTGTGACTGTAAATACTATGATATGGCTATTGTGAATTTCCAAAACTGTTCCATTATATGCGATATATGGTACTTGCCAAGGTAACTGAAATATTTCCAAATTCTTCTACTTCCCCTGCTTCTGCCCAATATTTTTCACACTTTTTCTGAAACACAAAAAATCATATTAATTATTTTTCTATTTATTGGCGAACATCTCCAAAGCTCTTTAAAAAGTGTGTCACTTTTAAGAATATAGCTATCATATCACCTTTAAGTAAGTGTGTAGCCATCATAAGTGTGTAGCCATCATATCACCATTAGATGTATATCACTTTTAAGTGTATAGCTATCATATCACCTTTAAGGCTATAGCTATCATATCACCTTTAACACTATAGCTATCGTATCACCTTTTAGACTATAGCTATCACATCAACATTAAGTGTATAGCTATTGTGTCAGCTTTAAGACTATAGCTATCATATCAGCTTTAAGACTATAGCTATCATATCACCTTTTAGACTATAGCTATCATATCACCTTTTAGACTATGTCACTATAGCTATCATATCACCATCAAGACTATAGCTATCGTATCAAAATTAAGTGTATAGCTATCATATCAACATTAAGTGTATAACTATCGTATCACTTTTAAGACTATAGCTATCGTATCACTTTCAAGCCTATAGCTATCTTATCACTTTTAAGAGGAGGCCTATACCTACATGTTTGTATCGTATCACCTTTATGACAATAGCTATTGTATCACTTTTAAGAATATAGCTATCGCATCACCTTAAGATCATAGCTACATATATCATATCACCTACGTGTGTAGCTATCACTGTAACAATGGCATTGCGAGGTTGACTTCTGGTGACGTGATTCAAAGAAGATATATTACCTAGGATGTGATTTACCGTTTCCTGATTGTATAATTGCCTGGGACGTGATACATCGATGTATTTGTTAATGTTGGAATTACTATTTTTAATGGATATTGGATAACAATACTACAACCACGATAAGGTGAGCATCTATGGGTGTGCATTTTTTTTAATATTCACCTTTTTTAATTGTACTTCATACGTAAATAATCGTAATCAAAATGAACCTAAACAGATTCCATTTATAAACACTTCTTGGAGAAACTAAATCGTGTGACCTCTATAGGGTCCACAACCTTGATATACCATATTTTTACGCTATTTGAGAACGGACGGCGACCATTTTGTCTGTCAATTTTGGGGCGATTTTCACAAAATTCAAACTCAACTGTCCTTAGGGTGGAACGATAATATAATAATACGTTTTTTTAAATCGGATAAAAATTATGACCTCTAATGGGTCCACAAGCTAAAAACGCGATTTTTCGTAAAATCAGGAGCCATAATTCAGGAAGTTACGGTCCGAAATGAGCGAATATCGAAAGGAACCAAGATCTTTGGGTGATCAACTTACATTTCAAGTTTCAACAAAATCGGATAAAAATTGTGACCTCTATAGTGTCCACAAGCTAAAAACATGATTTTTCGTACAAACAGGGGCCATAATCCATGAAGTTTCGATCCAATACATGCCAATATCGAAAGGAACCAAGATTTTTTGGAGATAAACCTATATTTCAAGTTTCGTCAAAATCGGATAAGAATTGTGACCTGTAGAATGTCCACAAACAAATTGTGGACGGACGGACGTCCGGATGAACAGGGGCGACGACAATATACGTCCACATGAAAATGTGGGCGTATAAAAATAATTTTTTATGTATAATTTAAAACTAATATTATTTATTTCTAAAACTACTTGAACAGATAGAAATTTGATATAGGAATTGGCCTGTTCACGTGACCATTAAAAAGCAATTTTCCTAACATTGTTCAACTTACCACATATCTATTTTTATTATTTTCCTTATTGTAATCTTTGTTATTGGCTAGCTGGATTTACTATCTCAATGAGTTATGGGTTATTTTGGGTTACCCGGTAGTTTTTTTATTTACTCAAAAGGAAAATTCTTGTGTTACAAGTTTTTTGATTATTAATGGGTTACTTTTTTACTTAAAGTTGAGACTCTTGTCTCAGATAAAAATTTTATTCCCCCGAACCCCAAATTTTTTTATTCTACAGAACAACACCAATTTCAAAATATAATTAAACCGAAGAAAAAACAAGGTCATTAAAATGTCTGATTTCTTGTTAAATGAAACTTATATTGCATCAGATTGCACAGGGCAAAATATTTCTGGAGGTGCATGCCCCTTCGCTTTAAAATCTGATGTGTGGTTCTATTTTATATTAATATAAGAACATGAAACAAACCAACACTAATTTTTCAAGTAAATCAAAGGGGAAGCATCCATTTGAGTTCATTTATGTGGATATGGAATTCATCACATCTATATTAAAGGGGAAGTTTCCTTTTAAGTTAATACATGTTGATAAATTTATCACACCAATAATTTTATTCAACTAAAGCATGATGAATTGTTAGGATTGGTTTTATCCATTATAAAAACTAAAACGGAAATATCAGTTTGTTTTAATTCAGAGGAACAAAGTTCAACTAAAGACTGCCCTTTCGATATTTTTATTAGGGATTAACTTTTTAGTTTTTACTCACAAAAAATATGGAAAAAAATCTGCTTACCTTTGGTGGGTGCCCCTCCTCTAATTTGCATGCCATAAATACTATTTCTATTTTTAACTGCCATAACATTCGCCAAAAGTGATTAACTGTATGTGGTAATGGACCCTGGCTAGCAATGTAACCATCTCTTTCATACACATCCTTAAATACAAGAAAAAGAAAACATTTGGACTCGTCATTGCACCTCCAAATTAGCAGGATACCTATAGTAACTGTCTTGGCGCCAACTTAATTGTGTTCCAAAGCCTTTTGATATGAACAAAAGAAAAGGCAGACATGGCACAACTAATTAAATAGCCTATGTTGAATCTAATTAGAGGAAATTTTACAGACATATTATAGATAATATACTTGTTTAAATTTCATAGTGTTATGTTGTGAAGTTAGAATATATCAACTGATATTAGGTAAATTTCTTCAATAATGAGGAAATTACTCATGGTGTAAGAATGAGACAGAAAAGGGAAATTATTGAATACAGTTAGACATCAAATATTGATAACATAATTGTAAAATTCTCCAATAATGAGTTGACTTGACATTTTAAGGTCCAGACAAAGGAAGTTATTCATGGTGTAAAGAAAGGAGAAACTATTCACCTCAATATAACTGGCATTAATATAATCTGATCCTTCATTATTATCATCATCTTGTTTTAATACCACTCTCTTATAATCATCTATAAATATATTATTACTTGACAGTTAGAATATACCATCTTATATATATATACATCACGCTTTCAGTTATTTTCAAATAAATAGAATATTGCTTAAACTAAACAATGGTTTCTATGAGTTAATATATTTAAACATGTCATGTGTAGGCGTGTTATGAAATGAATTGCAATATCTGACAATCTGCATTAGTCCGGTTGGATGTTAAATCCCATTTCATTTCTATATCAAATGAATATTCATATAAAACACTGTTTATGGATAACAATTACTATGGTTTATTACACTGAATGCCATTACTAAATGCTATTCAAATATGCATATTTAGAAAGGTAAAACTGTAAGGTGTTTCAGGAAGAGAATCTTAGTCGTTGTGTGAATTCACAGCTGGCCTTCCAACCTCAAAATAAGGGTCATGCATTTCGAACAAATGGTCATCAACAAAGTAGATAAAATATTTCTTAAAAATTCTGAAAAATATATTATAGATCTGACCGTCTAAAAACTATAACTATTCGTACATATCAATCAAACTGAGAGTAAATGAGAAGTGATGTTGGAGTACTACTCACAGGGTAAAATATCTTTATATCTGTTCTTCTTTATATTACATTCTTTCTTGCCTTCCTCAGCTGGAAATTTATCATCTCTTTTCCCATCAAACTGCATTTCTCGAAGAAGCTGCAAAAAAAGAAAAGCACTTTGAATGTGTGTGTGTGTGCATGTTGTCTAAGAGGAATAGTGAGGTTACTAAATATAGGTTGCCAGGCAATAAAATACAAATGTATCTGCCATAGCCAGGGCCGGTTGTAGAAAATGTGCGGCCCAATTTGGGAGGGCCGAAGATGCTGGATATGAATTACTTTAACTTGGCCTATATTCATTCATATTTAAGGCCAACTATGCTTTACTTCACAATCAGTAATTGATTAATAGCTGAAAATAGCCTGAAAGGTCGTGTCAGAGGTCGTCAAGTGGCTTTGACCCTATAACGTCAGACATTTGTTTAACCGATCAACGTTGATGTTCCTAGTGAGTTACCCACAGTTCCGTGCACATCATGCCAAAAACTTGTCGTAACAGACCGTTTCATTGGCTAATCCCTCACATCATCCAGAATGCGAGTTATATAGCAACTAGTGTAGTAAAGACAAGTAAAACAAAATTTTGATCTACAAAAATGAAACGACCCTGCATAGCATAGCATGGCAAGACACGACAAAATTTTCAGATTTATATCGTTCTCCAGTATTAACAACATATCTAAATTTTGAAAAGAGTGGATGATAAAGTAAAATTTGTAGAGTGTTCACAATAAGTAAGGGTGGATAGGTTAGGGCGATACCAATATAACCAGCAGTTGGCTGGCAAGATACGACCACATTTTGCAAGAGATGGATAGAGAAAAAGATAAAAAAAAAAAGTGATTTTTTGTACAATCAGGGGCTATAATCAAGGAAGTTACGGTCCGATATGCACAAATATCGAAAGGAACCGAGATCTTTTGGATATAACGATATATTTTAAGTTTCATCAAGACTGGATAAAATTGTGACTTCTAAAGGGTCCACGTCCACAACCTTGGTATGATAAACATACATTTCAAGTTTCCTCAAAATCGGACGATAATTGTGACCTCCAGAGTGTCCACATGCTAAAAACGTGATTTTTTGTACAACCAGGGGCCATAATCTATGAAGTTACGGTTTGATACATGCCAATTTCGAAACGAACCGAGATCTTTGGGAGACAGACCTATATCTCAAGTTTTGTCAAAATCGGATCAAAATTGTGACCTGTAGAGTGTTCACAAACAAATTGTGGATGGATGGATGGACGGACGGACGGAGGTCTGGGCTGACAGGGCCGACGACAATATACGTCCACATGAAATTGTGGGTGCATCAAAAACACTTTTGAAAAATGGGAAACCTATCTTGCACTAAAATCAAAAATGGAGTAGGGGGATGGCCAATGTAAAGTTACAATTGACACAATCACATACATATACTTTTTCAAACTCTAACAAATTATTTTGAACAATTCATTAGAAATTGGAAAGCCTTTTTAATGAACATTCCACACTCATGTTTTAAGATTAATATACAATAATCTATTGAAACCCTGCCAAGTCTGGTTTAACTTAGGAATAACAATATTATTAGTCAGTCAATACTATATTGTTCATTTAGTCTAGTTCATAACTATACAAATTATAACTACAACCTCAAGTTAATAGAAAACTTGTGTAGGGTAATATCAGTTTGAGATTTAAAGGACAATATTGGTGACAGCCATTGTCACACATGTGATATAACTGACTGAAGTAATGAGCGATTACAGATACACAGTCAAATTTCTGCTAACTGATAATTCCTTCGAAAAGTTGTTATATGGAACTGTGATAGGATATCTGACAATTCAAAACAAAAAAATTGACTGTCATTAGATAAGAGAAAAAATAGGAAAACTCAGTGCATTACTGTTTTTATTATGTATAGAATGAATAAAAACAAGTGTATGTACAGTTACATGTATATAGAAGGATAACTCTTGTCTTCCATTTTTTGTGTCACTTCTGTTTCTTCAAATATTTATTACGCATCTAATTCGAAGGAATTATCAGTGAGCAGAAATTCCACTGTGTATCTGTTATCGCTTGTTGCTCCAGTCAGTTATATAGAAGGATAACTCTTGTCTTCCATTTTTTGTGTCACTTCTGTTTCTTCAAATCTTCGTTACGCATCTATCGTAGCAATGATCTCTGCTAAAATTATATTTGGAAAAAGTTTAACCAGTTCTATCACATATGTAATAAGGGCTGACACCAATATTGTCCTTTAATCATTGCATACATATATTATTAACTGGTGTCAAGTAAACTTATTAAAACGATTTAATGACACTGAACAGAAGGAAGTCTTCTGAATAACGTCTGAGTTATTCAATGAATGTACATAGTTTAAATAGATAAACTTCTTATTTCCTTACTGATAAAATCATCAGATATTAATCGAAACATAGTGTTGTCAGACAACCAATATACACAACCCAGCAGCTTTTATGAGGGAAGTAAGGTTGTAAGTTCTGCATTTCGAAAGGATTTCTCCGTACACTAGTCGCATAATCTCAGAAAGTTTGAAAAGAAAAACTATCAGTAAAGCATTTAGATACCCTATGTCGCCCAGACCATCACTGTGTACATGTATGTCCACCCAAAGGTGTCTGCCTCGTCAAGTAAAAAGTTAGTTTCAAAAATACTGATTGCTATTCTTATGCTATTCCATTCAGCTGGAAAGACATCAACCCAATTTGGATTTGTAATTTTAATAACAGTATCTAACATCTATGTCGCTATGTCATTTCATTAACTTACTGGTACAACAATAAGATTGGTTGATCACTTGAAATGCAATACCAATACTTTTATATGAAGGATAAACTTGAAATTATGTCAGTTTCCTTCATAGTTTGGACATCAATGGGATCTCCCCATATTTAATTTGCCTACTGCAATCTGAATGGTCAATGTCAACTAAAATATGAATACAGTTTAATAAGTCTGACCAGAATCCTGAACCAATATCAATACCATCTGTGTCTACATTATTACCATACTTCAGTCTGATTGATAAATGTATATTTAACATTCACAGTAATTTATCCCTCTGAAAGTGGAATTCATATTCTCACTTTTTGCATACTATCTGGACAAAGGGACACACAATCTAATTATATCACCACACAGACTTTGTCTATATGGATGTAAAATTTTGAACAAAGACAGATTGCAATCCCACAACAAATCAACACTTAAAATCCACTGAATTCGCCAGATTTATCTTTATCCCATATCAAAGAGAATTTATTTTAATTTGGTTTAGCGCAAGCAAAATAAATGCAGCAAAATAGAGGGATTTTGTCAAAGCTATGACATTAATTCTTTGCCAACAAATACAGCCCAAATATTTTTTTTTAGTGTTCGAAAAACTACAATTGTCCTTTGTGTGCTAGGTCCTCAAAAATTGTAAGTGGGAATCTGAGCTTCAATATTTCAAAGAAGCCTATAGTTCGCCTAGTAGTATATATTTATGTATTTCTTTAAAATACATGTAGGTATAGAATTTAAAACAGTTCAAACCCTGGGAAACATTGTTGACATAAATCAATAAACAGCATTTATAAAGGAAAATGTCTTGAATAATAATCAATAAATATATAGACAGGCATCCAGGCAATCATAATGTTAAAATACCCTGTGGACCATATGACAAAACAAAGGAATAATAAGTGGGCTTTCCAAATGATGAAAACAAATCCCACTTGAAGTGTGGTACCGGTACCAGTTGTTTTGGAAAATATAAGTATATTCCGCATGAACCCTATCACTGAGATTTCAGTTGGAAGAATATCAAGCAATTCGTGACATACTTGTTGAATCTCACAAATGAAAATAAAAGCCCTGTCTAAATGTTGTGATTGAAAGTAAATATAATCAAACATCAACCTTTTATTTTCATATATTCATTAATGGCAGAGATTTTCATTATAACATGACATCTTCTACACATCAAAAAGGTCACCTCGACATGTTTGTTTCAGTCAACCTAAATTAAGACAAATCTTTGTAAAAACACCTGACAACATTATATATGTGCATACCTGAATAATAACCTGTACAAGAAACAAACAAACATTGTTATAGGAACACAAAGATATAGTTACCATGTACTGGTATACAAAAGCTCCTAAGCATTTTAATAGTTTTATATTTTGGTTCATCATCGATATTTTATATTGTTGGAAATGGTTCAATTCGGTGAAAATTAGATGTGAAATTAGTTTTAAAAAGTTCTTTTCTTCTTCCTTTTTGTCGGAATCTAAATTTTATCACATAATTGATCTAAATTGATATATATTGTCCTTTTTCAATTCATAATTTATGTGTGGTTATTTTCCGGCTTCTTGGTACTTTTCTATGTTTTACATAGTTTTTTTTTTTTATCATATTAGGGTAATTTTCATAATTTATACAATTTCTTAGATTTTGCTCTTAGGTTATTTAAAGAAGTTTTATCTGCACCTTTAGTATCAATTGTTTTTTGGGACAATAAGTAACATGTAGTATGATTTTAAGTCAAGTACGCCAGTTTAATCTATATTTTCGCAATACAATAACTGACATATAATTTAAATAAAATATAGTTCAGTGGATCCACACCGGCAAAATTCTTTTGTCCAAAACACTTCATATAAAATCCTGGTAGGTATATATCTAAGTGTACACATAAATTCTTTTAAGACCTGAGATTGTGAAACAAAGACAAGTTAATTACCATATGCATGCGAATATTTACCACAATAAAGTATTATATTGTCATGAATATTGACAATAAACGGTCATCGTAATATATTATTCCCTTTAATAATTCACAGTTGTTTCATCTGAACTGGCGATATACTGTTACATAGTTCCTGTGATCAGATTATTCCTCCTTTACGGCGATACTTACTCGAAATTCGCGGGTAAATCCATCTCCACTCGGGTCATCTTCGTCGATTAATTCTTGAATGCGAGAAATGCAACATTCCAGGTTCTCTCTCTGTTGTGAAGACATAATTAAAGCAAAACTGGCTGTAAAATATACAGTTAGTATCCGTCCAGTCCAGTTTTTCGAAATCACATTGACAGACGACAAGGAAGTAAATAAACAGTAGGTTGGCTTATCTCGATTATCAAGTTTTCTTTAAATCCATTGCATTCAACGTTACATATTTTGTGTCCTGTTCTCCTTGACACAAATTTCTTCCAAAACAAAAAAATAACACCACGTGACGAATGTCTGTCAACCTGTGTGACAAGTTTTTTCCCTATGAATTCGTGCGGATCATATTCACACTGTGTAGTGGGTTGTTTATATATTATATGACACATAGAATAATTATGGTAGGATAACTTGATTCCAGCTCATGCATGCCGTTGCTAAATTTAAGAATCGGTTTATAAAGTTTATACTTCTCCGAATAACAATTAAATAAAATGCTAAGCCTAATTAAGTGGTATGATTTTACAAAAAGTAACACAAATCAAGACCATAATAAAGATTTCAGAATTTTTGTGATCTCATCAGGCGGAATATGTGTGGGGGACGGGCCGGCAGGGCATCCAACGTTCATGAAAAATTATAAAATAAATGTAGGACCTGTGAGGCTGTGTACTTTTTATTTCCAGCTTGGTTTCCCTTTTTACTGGAAAAGCATCTATCCATTTGGATAGTACAATAGCCTCTAGGTCCTGTATGTATATGAAATTCATGGGAGCATAATAAAGATCTGATGACATTTGGAAATCACCAGCGGTTGCCAGGCAAAAAAAGCTCACATTTTGAAAGAGAGAGATATAGTGAACAAGCTAAAAAAAAAATGCAATTTTTCGTACAATCAGGTGCCATAATCTAGGAAGTTACGGCCCGATATGCAACCAAGATCTTTTGGATATAAACATATATTTAAAGTTTCATCAAGATCGGATAAAAATTGTGACTTCTAATAGAGGGTCACAACCTTTGTATTACATACTTAACACTATTTGTGTGCAAGTAGCAGCCATTTTGTCAGTGACTTTCAGTCCAATTCGAACTCAATCGTCATTAGGGTGTAACGGTGATATATTTTAACGATTTTTTTAAATCAAATAAAAATTGTGAACTCTAGAGGTTCCACAAGCTAAAAAACATGATTTTTTGTACAATCGGGGCTACAATCCAGAAAGAGAGAGATAGAAATGGGGTTTAACGTCCACTCGACACAAACTGGGTCATTTTGGGACTAACACATTGTGCATAGGGGTCTTTAGTAGTGGAAGGAAACCGGATGACCCTGAAAAAACCCACGAGGTTGGACAGGTGACACCCTTGTCACATACAACCGGGAAATCGAAACCCCGCCAGTTGATTCAATGACAGACCTTATACCTATGATAAAACGCGCACGTGCTAACCATTTGGCCATCCAATCCCCCTCCACAATCCAGGTATGGTCCAATATGCTCGAATATCAAAAGGAACCAAGATCTTTTTGTTATAAACATATATTTCAAGTTTCATCAAAATTGTGACTTCTAGAGGGTCCACAACCTTGGTATTACATACATTTACACTATTTGCGTACAAGGAGCGGCGATTTTGTCTGTCAGTTTCGGATGGATTTTACGAAATTTGAACTCAACCATCATTATGGTGTAACGGTGATATATTCAAACGTTTTTATAAACTGGATAAAAATTGTGTCCTCTAGAGGGACCACAAGCTTAAAACGTGATTTTTCGAACAATCAGAGGCCATAATCCAGGAATTTACGTTCCGATTATCGAAAGGCTCCAAGATCTTTGTGATATAAACATAAACTTAAAGTTTCAACAAAATCGGATCATAATTGTTACATCTAGCAGGTCTACAACCTTGATATACCATACTTTTACAGTATTTGTGTACAAGGTGCGGACATTTTGAAAAAAATGGCTGTTACTGGAAACAAGAGTATATCTCGATGTTTCGAGCTTATGCACAAAATTAGTGTGTGGACCAATTCGTCAAAAAACAACCTAAATTCAAGACTAAAAAGAGCCCCCAAAGTAGGTGAGAACGTTAACTTCTTTAGTGGCTCCAAAGCCTACCATATTTGCAGGCTCCTTCTCAGTCTATCCGTGGTTCAACGGAAAATGCATGAGTCAAACATTGCTCTGGTTTTGAGAGGGTGAAAAGCTTTTAATTATCTTTCTTAAAAGAAAAGCTAATAGTGAAAATAATAACAGAAAATAACCACAACATCATCTTTCATTTATAAAATGAAACCCATAATATGAGAGTATTTAATTAGTTTTTATACAACAATATTGTACACTTTATTATTATGGAGTTAACATCTTTGATTAAGTGATTTATTTTATTACATATTTCACACAATTTGATTGGAAACATTAATAAATTTACGTGGAAAGCCAATAACTTATTATAAGGCAATTATATACAGTTGTACATTATAACAGAATTATTAATTTGTAAGCAAGCTAAATTGGGGATTGTATGCAAATCATCAACTAAATTACATAGGGATCATTTAATGCCCACTTCAAGAGATGGGCAAGTCTTCTTGTAACACAATTAACTTGAAAAACATAACTTGTATGTTTTACGGAATGTCATTATTAATTAACAGAGATATACTAGTTATATCCATATATACTTAGTGTTTTTTGTTGTGAATAATTAGTCATTTAAGAATTAATAGGTAACTCTTAATGTAGTGTTGAATTTAATGTCAATTGTACATTAACATAAAAACATCTTTCATATTTTTTCATTTTAAAGAATTACATCATACAATTCTTGGCGAAATAACCTCCCAAAACTTAGAATGTGTCAAATCTTGTAATCGCTGCTAATCAGGACTCTTGTTTCATTCACATTCGTCAGTCTTAACTGACTGGTAGTGAAATTGACTGAAATGAGAGAAATGGGGTTTAACGTCCACTCGACACAAACTAGGTCATTTCGGGACTAACATATGGTTTAATTTTCTTTCAATAACTCGCTTACGCGTAGGGGTCTTTAGCAGTGGGAGGAAACCGGAGGACCCGGAGAAAACCCACGAGGTTGGACAGTGAAATTGACTGACTGAAGAACTTACTTCTCAGTCAATTTACATATAATAAAAGAATTTACGGTAACTTTAAAACACAATACATACAGCTTAATATAGTTTTTAAGGGTACATGTATTTAAAACATGGGGTAATGCTATAAATCATAATATTCTAGAGCTTAGGACAACAATCTTGTGCTTCCGAGATAAACAAATTACGCCAAAAGTAAATCAGCCGGCAATATTTAAAAGTGAAAGTACTGCTTCTAATGATCTAATCTATCAGAAAAACAAGAAAAATAACTATAAGTTTTAATTTATATGGTATTCCTGTTAATGAAGAGCATTATGAACTCTGTTCTAAAGAGCTCAATTTTATTTTAACAGATAGCTATAATCTCAAAATATTAGATTTTATTCTTTCATGTACCTGTGTGAATTTTTTTTAAAATTCTCTCATGTACACTAGCTTATACAAAACAAAAACATTTTAAAATTCAGGATTAAATTAAGTGGGCACTCAAAAAATACTTATCCATCAGAGATCAAATTTACTTGAATGAAACCCTGCTTGCTTAAGATATGCATCAACATTAAACATTAAATTAATACAATACACACACACACACACACCCCCACACACACCCACCCAGAGTCTTTCTATTGCATTTCTATTTTTTCTTCCATCATATTTACACAAGAAGTCTTCATACAAACAGATCAAACCAGCAATAACATTTGTAGTCTAAAAAATCTAATCAAGTCTACAGCTTGTATATATTTTGTAATATAAATTTAAACAATAAGACCAACAATACACACACAAAAAATAAATCATAAAAACGAGATTGCACAAATAAATAATAATGTGCTTAATTATGATACATGTTAAAATATTGATATCATCGTTAATATTGTTTGTAAATAACAATATAAAAATATCTAATTAGACTACGGTACTTAATTATCAGACAGTAAACTGCTGTATTTTAGTGTTCACACTTAAGAGAAGAATTTATGAGAGAGGTATTGGTATATAAGACTAGCTTGTTCCTCCGTCCTTTTCTGAGAATAAAATACTGTTTACCGGAAAAAACAAGATTTAAAAACAAGAATGTGAGACCTGTCAGCTGTTCACATTGCTTCTATGAAAAAAGCAACAAATTTCCAAATAACTGATGGGCCAGTCTGAAGTCGAAAGCAAAGTACAGATGTGAACGAAAACATAAACGTGCACACCATGGTTGTAGAGATATTTTTGTAATCAGATTTTTAAAATTTAAATCTGGTTCTCGATGGAAGTTTAAAATATTAGTAAAATTGTTCATTTGCATCTAAAAAGAAACCCAATCAAAATTTAGAATTTTTTAATTGAAAATTACAAATTTATTAAATCTGGTAAATGTAATCTAAAACTTGGTGTAATTGTTCATTCGGGCATGCAGATGATCACTATTTTGAGATCGTTGCAGTTCAACCTATTTTGCAGAGTTAACTATAGTAGCAGGCTCCCACTCCACCTGCCTTTGGTTACAAAGTGTCATACATTCATTTTGAAACTGTATGGTAACATCACTATGAATCAAATTATATTTTTTACAGACCAGCGAAAATGTCTCTTTGGCAAGTGTGTCTAATACTGATACACTGATGTGTATAAAACCAAACCAAATGGTCATAAAAAGATTTGAAATTTCAATTTAGGAGTTTACTCCTAAATAAAATCTGACCTGACCTGACGTACGATATACATATTGTTGTACCGGATGAATTTTATGTAGGTCACATGAATATCAGTGATGTAACTGATGCTAAAAGAAGTACTTATTATCCAGCTATCCAACGTACAACACATCGCTACTACAACTTGTCTACAAGTGTTTTTGTTGGTTCATTATAGTAAGTCATGAAATATTACATTGGCGTAATTCATTTGAATAAAATTACATTGAATTTTTCAGATCTACATTCACATGAAATTCAGATCTGTATCTTAATCTGATTTTTAATGAATATAACTTAATACATGTATAATATAAATATGTTAATTGAAATAATGTATACATATCCCAATCAAATAAAAGAAATTCACCCTGTCTATTTAAAGACAGAAATAATATTCATTGAACTGGAGAACTGAATTCCGATGAAATGATATAGATTGTGGATGGATTAGAATTTTAACTATGTTATGTGGGTGAAGATTTACAGTGTTTAATGTGATATGAAGGTTGTTCTAGTTAATATTATCATCAGATATAATAATTGTTAAAATAACTAACACTCTTTTACACTAAGTTCCCAGTCAAAAATTAACCACTGGCAAAAGTTTGAAGTTAAAGGCCTGTTTTACATCACTCCCTCAGAACTCTTGCAGTTTTAAACATACAGTAAAGTTTATATATATATATAATCATTGTGCATTTCTGTACGACACATTTATCACAGGATTTAAAACAAAGGATAAAATAATTGGATTGAATGACATCAAGGTCTAAGATATTCATCTTTATTAACAGGACTTGGTATTTTCAATTTATCTTCTATATACGAGTAATATCTGGTGGATGATCCCACCAGATAGATGTTTCTGTGCAAATAATAAAACCTGAAAAACATAAAAATATATATAAATGAAAACAATTTATTTTCCTCGACATGTAAGGCATTTTAGTCACATACTAGAAGACAAAAATATTTCCAATAGAATTTCTTCAATCTCATTATGAACATCTGCACTACCTCTGATCTGCAGTGTATGAGACTTCTTAATTGTGTTTCTTACAAGAATTGTAAATAGAAAAAAAGAAGGGAGCATTCAGGCTCCCAAAGACCTCTGCTAGCTCTGAAATCAATGTCAACAATTCATGCTGTGTATATCGGATGTCCACTACCATCGGTTATTTCCTGGACACTTTAAACACAAAAGGTGCCTGTGACCTAGTCTACTTTGTTTGCTTGATGTTTTGTTCGACAGCTGATTGATAGTACATGTATTATTGTTTCAGGTCTACTATAGTCACAATCAACTAGACTGTAAGATTGGAAAAAATTCCACATGATGTTCAGTCATATAACACAATCCTGTCATTGACACAGATCTATTTATAGCTATGGTCTTCGAGCTATCAGATTATTTCTACACGTTATAACTAAAATAAAATGTGTATTGTTAACAGAGACTAGTATCGCCCATGAAAATGTCTTCTAATTCTATTCATAAGTAAATATAGGAAACAAATATTTCATACTTAACCACAAACATACCTGACAAGCCCATGATGAAGATTTTTTGGTCTAGAATTTGTTGATGAAAACAATCCAAAACATTTGCATAATTTTTGCAAGATACTGAGATCATTTTCGTTTTCTTGAGTATAGCTTACAACAATAGGAATACTGTTTAAAGAAATAAAAAATGCTAATTTTTAACTTTATACAATAAAATAACTACAGGAGTAAAGCAAGGAATTAATACTTGACTTTTAATAATGATAAATTCTTGTCAAAATAATTATAACATAGAAACGCTTTGTTTTAAAACTTAAAAATGAGTGGTTGCCATGGAAGATATGCCCACATTTTACAAGAGGTAGACAGAGAACAAGCTATAACAGCATTTTACGGTCCGACATGCATCAATATCGAAAGGAACCAAGATCTTTGGTATATAAACATGTTTTAAGTTTTCGTCAAAATCAGATAAAAATTGTGAGCCATAGAGTGTCCACAAAGAAAATGTGAATGCCCAGACACAGGGGCAACGACATATAAATATATCAAGATTTTTGAAAGTTTGATCTTTATATATACTATTCAAAAAAAGTAGGGGATATTTGATTTTTAAGTGTTATTAAAGTCACCTAATGAAACTGACGAAGAAACAAATGACAAAATGAAATGAAGTTCACATTCATCGATTTATTCCAAATGATCGTTAGACTAAGTAAGGCACAGACTGACCATTATAAGGGTAAAATGATACCCGGGGTCAAACAGCAAAGTTACCACAGCATCACAACCAAGTCAGTAACGGGTAAATCCTCCTCTGTTTGCCAAACAAGCATTGATCCGACGTGGCATACTCCTAATGAGACGTCTAAGGTCATTTTGGTCCAGATTGTCCCATTCCTGTTGCAACGCAGCAGCAAGTTCTTGGACATTGGCAGGACGTTGTTGACGTTGACGTAACCTCTGTCCAAATATGTCCCAGACATGCTCGATGGGGGAGAGGTCGGGACTCAGTGCTGGCCAAGGTAATGTGGTGATGTTCTGTTGTTGGAGGTAACCTGTAACGATCCTGGCCCTGTGACATCTTGCGTTGTCATCCTGGAAGATGAAACGGCGGCCATGACGTCGTGCGAACGGCACAACATGGACTGCCAAGATGTTGTCCCGGTAGTACTGGCCTGTAACACGCCCTGCAACAACATGTAAAGCCGTTCTTCCAGCAACAGTGATGCCTCCCCACACCATAACAGAACCACCCCCAAATCGATCCTGTCTGATGACGTTAACGTCTTGGAAGCGCTCGTTTCGACGACGCCACACCCTCCTACGTCTGTCCAAAAAATCAACAGTGAACCTTGACTCATCTGAAAACATCACATTGCTCCAGCGTCGATTATCCCAGTGTTGACGATCCCTACACCAACGATGTCTTGCCTGAATGTGATGATCTCTCAAATAAGGGATCACGCGAGGACGTCGGGCGCGAAGGTGACCCCTATGCAGTCGATTCCGAATCGTCTGGCCACTCACTCTCACACCAGTGTCTGTTTGAAGACGAGCGCTGATCTGATTTGCTGTGATGACGCGATTTCTCAAGGCCAAGGTACGGATAAATCGATCCTGGGCTTGAGTTGTCGCCCTTGGTCGACCTGAGCGTGGTCTGTCCTGTACAGATTGTGTATCACGGTATCTGGACCATAGCCTGCTTATGACAGACTGAGAAACATTCATCGTCCGCGCCACAACCGCCTGTGTTGTGCCGATCTGTAGCATGCCAAGGGCACGTAACCTTTCATTTTGGGTAAGCCGACGCACATCAAAATTTGTTTTCTGGTCACTAAAACAATTAAACTGATGTTTCCACCCTGGAATTCAATGCCACAATGACTGTAACATTCAAAGTCAGAGTCGTGCAAATCTTGGGTTGGACCCCCATGATGATCCCAAGCATCACCTGCATTCCATGTGGTAGCTATTGGTGCGTTTGGGCGTCACATGTAACTGAAAATGTTTCTTCTGTTAGGTTCTATAGTGACTTTTTTCGTAGTCATTTGCGTATTTTAGTATTATGCCCCCAAAATCAAATATCCCCTACTTTTTTTGAATAGTATATTTTAGTACTATACTAAATATTCTAAACATCAAATATTACAATCTAAATATTGTTCTTTTGTTAATTAATGACGTTTTTATTGGAAAAAAAAAGCATTTAAAAGTACTATGCTATATATTGTGAATACCAAATCTTACAATGTAAATGTTTTTATCTCTTTAAAGCACAAAGTCTTAGATTGAAAAATTTTATAGTGAAATTACTGTAATTTTTTCAGGTTACTTACCTAGGTGCAGTTTGATTAAATTCTTTAATGATTGAACCCTTTTGATAACACTGTGTTATATGATTTGTTGTTAATACTGTTGCTTTCTTTAACTCATCTTGTAATATGTCTTCATATACCTTCTCTGCTAAATTATTCATATTACCTAAAGTTGTCTCTTGTTCTCTAAAATAAAAACAAACATATCTCAGCAAGATTTTAAATTCTGTATGAAAATTCCATTTACCAGTACATAAACAAATAGTTCTCCAAAGTCAATATATCTGGTAGAGATGTGTTATAAAATATAAGACAATATAAAAAACCTATTCTGGTTCTCTGATAAAGCCATATCACTTAAAACGATCAAAGGACCTGTTTGCTCAATTATCAAGCAGACAATCCTGATGAATGTTCTTGCGAATCATAAATGGCAATAGATAATTGTAAACTGACTTTGGAAACTGCCCATCTTTTATGTGCATTCTACACGTTGCAATGAGAATGGTTTGAGGATGAGAGATGGAAGAAGTTATTCACACCAGAATTGCAAAATATACATCGACTGAGACAAAAATTAGTTACAGTTTGTCTATAAATCAATTTGTTATTTGGTTTAGCGCACAGTAAAAACAAAAAGTAAATTTTAGCTACATAACATGAAAATCCATAATCATAAGTGAATATGCATACACATATGAGATAAATGTTAAACCTTAAATTGTTATGTTTGTGAAAAGTCATTTAGCCAAATGATTCTGATAAAATCAAACACAAAAAACCCAAAAAAACCTCCCTCAAACATCAGAAATACAATATTTTTTTAGCGACTGCCTAATGTAACTGCCAAAGTATTAAATTGAACACAATTATTTCTCATTCGTATTAATTTCTTGTTATAGATTAATCAGACTTACAGATTAGTTAATCTTGGTCTGTTAAATAAAGCTTGTATATAATCTTCTAAATTATCCGCTCCTTGGTAAACTTGACGAAAAACACGAGATACATCTGGTATTAATATTTCTCCACCAATTAAAGAATTTACATTCCAACCATACCATGATCTACAACATATCATCATCTTTTTAATCTGGAGTTTGATTATTGCAACTAATACCTAATCATATACCAAATGTATTCCTGATTGGTCTTTAAAATTTAAGTGAGTTTTTAAAATGAAATGAAATGAAATGGGGATTAACGTCCTACTGTTAGAGATTTTTTAAGTGTTGAACATGAGACACTGGGGTTTCAGTCTACTCTTCATCGAATTCCAACTGGCAAGGCTTCTTTTGTGTAAAGGTTATTGAATACAGGTGTGGACCCCGATTTTTCGTCCCATCTCGTAAATAAATAGATGTTTTTTCTTTGCCAGCCCCTCAGTCCTGCATCACTGGCAAGGGAAAACCAGATGGAGGAAAACCCTGAGGAACTCTTGCAGGACACCAGGATCAAACTCAAGACCTACTGATTGATCGGTGAGCCAGCACCCTAATTACTGGGCCACTGTGGATCCCAGAATATGAGACATATTGCATGAAGAGAAACTGTAGGTATAAGTCATTAAAAAGCTAAATATTTCAATATAAATAAATGAAATAGATAATGTCCTACTGGTCTGCTCCTACTGGGCTAGGGGGGTTGGATGGTCGAATGGTTAGCACGTGCATGCTGTATCATAATGCCTGTCATTGAGTCAACTGGCGTGGTTTCGAATCCCCGGTTGTACGTGACAAGAAGTAGGGTCGCCTGTCCAACCTCGTGAGTTTTCTCTGGGTCAACTGGCGTGGTTTCGAATCCCCAGTTGTACGTGACAAGGAGTAGGGTCGCCTGTCCAACCTCGTGGGTTTTCTCTGGGTCCTCTAATAAAAACAGAAGTTCATTTCCGCAGTTTTGTATTGTTTCTGAATATCCCCTACTTTTTTTGAAGAGTACATAATTGTCCAGAACATGCACTTATACTGAAAAAATGATAAAATTACCTTTTATTACAGCACTGTTTGATATTATCATACTGAAATAATCTTTGTAGTGCTGAAGTTTTTATAAAAAGACCCAGACCAGGAAATTCTTGAACTCTATACACTAACTCTTTATTACCAGACACATCTTCATAACCTGTTATATAGACTGACAGTTAGTATTGTCTGAATAGAAACATGTACATGTATATATAACATTCTTAAGATAATTCAGAAAATAATTGATGAATAATGTGATTCATATTTGAATTCATCTCACATTTCATTAATTTACAAGTTATTTTTGATATTCACATGCTAATAATGTATTCTGGCCATATCAAAGGTAATAACTCAGTGAATAATTGACAAATATTTAAATCTGAAATCATAAAAAAATATTCCCCTTTCCTCCAATTTCAGACAAAATCATGGAGGCAATGTCAACCACAATCTACAAACTTTAATTTTTAATATTTATTTCAGATCAATATAAAACTGACCATTAAAGTTCCAGGAAGATACACCAAGTAGAGTTTCATCTGCATTCAATATTTCTACACATTGAGCCATAAAGTTGAGAAAATCTGGAGCTAAAATCAATTCTTCTTCTAACACTATCAAATATTCCTGAAGTATAATAAATTATATAATTAGATATTTAATGTCTGAAATTACTGTGGAAAAATAAATTAGTGGTGTTTATTAATTTTGTTTTAACACTGTATTATAACTATATATACTACTACTATCTCCTCCACATAAATTTAAATACACCAGTATGTCATCCATTTTCAGGTATTATTAATTTTATGATGCTTTAATTTCTTGTTTTACAGTACTTGGTTTATATTTTTAAAATAAATAACGTATATGCAATCATAACATCTAGTAACAGTTTATACTAACCACATCTGTATGTTGATCTATTGCCAATTTTAAAGCTTTCAGGACTTGTTCTAAAGGTAGAATATTGTATATTTGCATAAATAATATACAAAGCAAAATGATAAAAAGTTAAACTAGATATCAGAATTTTAAAGTTTTATCCAATTAATAGTGAACATTTCAAGAAAACACAAAATTTATATCTATAGGCAAACAAACAATATTTAAGTGTACCAAATTTAGAGATTTTTATGTTGACATATATGACGACTGCATGCAATATTCTTAAATTAAGCCAACATTTCTGTTTAAATTATTAAATTTTAGAAAAGATACCCGAATAGTGTAGACTTCCTGAAACACTCCTATTGTTAAAGCCAAATAGTTGGGCCAGATCACCATGTTCAGGAAATTTTTCATCCCAAATTATCTGAAATATTGCAGTCATACATAAATCACTTACAAAGGACATTAAATGTGTTGTAATATAAGTCAAAGTTAAAGACAGGTGCAATAACTCCATGTAAAAAATTGACACTGCTTCTGATTGGCAGAATAATGTCAGTTATATGGCAAAAAATCTCAAAATGATGTTGAAATGATAGATACCACTTCCAGTATAAATGTGAGTCTAGAATTCCTTAAACCAATACAGAAAAGTTTAAGGAATGGGGTTTAACAACCATCAATAAATTTTGTATGGTTTACAAGGTATGGATAACGCAATATCTGCATATTCTTGTTCAAATTTGGAAATATAAGGTGTCTTTAAAATGCATGACTAATACGTACACGTGACCGGCTTTGACAACAGGACATTCTACTACGTGTTTGATCTCTAAATACATGACTAATGTCAACCTTCTATACCCTACTACAAACCAATAATAAACATCCCAAGGTATGAAAGGGTGACGCTAAAATAAAATAATAACGATGATATTTAATCATCTATAAATACTTACTGTAACTAACCCTGGGTTAATTCCGGGCTGCATTAAAGTAGTTTGTAATGTACGAACCAATGCATTATGATTCAGCCCTGAAATATAATAAAGCTGATATTTATTTTAAAAAAATACAAATACTAGTTCGGGAACAAAATTTTACAATCAGTTACAAAACATGATTGACTGTTTGAATAAATTTATTTTTCGGTTATGTCTGCTAAGGTTTTTTCTTCTATTAAATCTATTAAATATGTAATCATGATGCAGATGAACTTAGTATTGTAAGTTTGTTTTTCATTTTGAGTGAAGGCTGTATCACTACAGTTATGGGACTGATATATACGTTTGATGTTCATACTTGCTATATCATGTGTCTTGTGAGCAGACTTTTGGGGTTTTGTTTACGTGTGTGTTGTCATGCTCATACTATATATTTACCTGGTATAATAATAATAGGTGTAGCATATACTTTATTAGCCTCCATTTGTTTATTTATAACTTTTACTGGTTTAATTAAATCATCAACATGAGCAGCTAAAATACACAGAGAAAACTTTAACATTATTATACTATACATAAAGAAAATCTAACAGTATAACTTTACTCTATTTCTTAGAAATGCATATTTATAATTACTTTACTTTGACCAGAAACTTTGAACAGTGTAGGAATCATGTGAAGATATTGAAATAAAAGAGAATATTAATTTACTAACGATCACATAATTCACTATAACCACCATATTTGACACAGAATGCTCTTCTTTCATCATTACGATAAACTTCTGGATCAGGTATAACCTGACGTCCTATCACTACAAAAAAAACATAAAATACATTCACAAAACACACCTTGTTGGTGATACATTCCCTTTCGATTAGTTAGATCAACAAAACTTATTCTAAACTGAAAGTGTGATTTTTCTTATGACCAAAAAAAAAAAAATCATAGAGGAAAGAGATTCACAATAAATACAAATCCTTAAATGTCAAATGCAGATAATCATCATTAGCATGTGAAGCAGTGTAATTTTTAGCTATATCAGGGGAGGATACAGGAATTTTTTCAAAGGGTATGTGTGTGTGTGTGGGGAGGGGGGGGGGTGCAAAAATTTTCGACCTTTTTCTTACCATTTTCCCCTGAATAAACCCACAGCAAGTCAATTAAACAATTTGTTACTTCTAAACAGTCCTACATCCTTGCACTTTTTTCTGAGAAAAATCTCTTAAACGCCCCAAAAAACCCACACTGTTCCGACAGTCCTGATCAGTTGGGTAAGCATGGTATTACGAGAACCCTAAATAAGGATACATAAACGTAGAATATGTCATTGTGAGTTCATAGAGAACTGACAAATAAATTGATGATGATAATATCGTAAACGGTGATAATCCTGAGAAAAGGTATTATTGTAGAGAATATTTAGCCCCTACTAAATGCTAGACTCACACTTCGATTATCATTAAATGATGACTGTACTCATAATGGCAGTATTATTAGATTTAAACTTGAAAAATATCACGTTTTCTAGGTAGTTTCAATACATTTTTCAATCAATTGTTATGTATTTAGGCTCTTAACTGTCGAGGAAATATATCTTTAACTGTATATTTTAATTATCTAATTCAAATGGTGATTTTCTTTAATTTGAGAAATACATTATTTTGAGAAATGCTTACATTTGTTAGGTATACAAAATGCCTTTTTTATTTCTTTTGGCCATTCACTTTCAACACCAGCATAACTAATCTAGAACAGAAACAGAAACAATGAACAAACGATAGACTGTATGATTATATGGATATAATTATAAACACTATAGTCACAGAGCATTGAATCCCAAAAATTTAAGGTTATTTCAATAATTCGCTTGATTGTAGGGGTCTTTAGCAGTGGAAGGACTCAGAGAAAACACACAAGGTTGAATAGGCGACCCTACCTCTGTTTCGTACAAGCAAATCACGACACTTGACTCAATGACAGACCTTATGATCAAAAGTACATGCTTTAAACCAATCTGTCACCCAAACTATCCCAAACCCTCCTACTTGCTTTACATCTATGATTCACAATAAAAGTAACATTGCTGACATTTACTTTATAGTGTAGTGATGTGATCAATTGACAAGAGTTATACTGGTACCTGCTCAAAAGTTGTAAAACCATTCATTCCTTTTTGTCCTACAAAATACCAGACATCACGGAATCTAAGGTTTTGTATATGTCCACTTCCTAACTTGTTTAATAATTTCTTAACAGCATAACTCAATCTGTGTAGAAATAAAAACAAAAGTATTACTTGACAACAGCTCATCCAAATGGATTTGGGGAAGGAATGCATGCGGGGGTATACGATTCCCATAATTTCATCTGCTCAGTTACAGTGCGACTATTTTAAACCACACCCATTTTACTTCATGTTTCTAGTAGTTCAATTGAACAAGATGTTATTTGAATGACCTATTAAAATGTTTCTATTTGAACCAAGAAAGATAATTTTAACTTACTTTCTGGAACCATCATCACAAACAGCAGCTATAATAATATCTCCCTCCACCAGTGATTCTAAGAATATTTCTAAATCTGTACTATCTGTAATATATAAACAAAACTATAATTATAAATAAGGATAAATGTTGTTGCAAAGTTAGGAATCAATTTGACAAACTTGGATAGATCCTTAGAATATAAGATTTTTACTCTCTTGGGAACACGTTCAATTGAATAACAATGCACAGGACACAATTTATTACAGAGTTACGTTTTATTTACATGTTTAGAGAAGCCTAGTTGAAACGTCACTCAGTAATAAACAAAAATTATATTCTATAGAAGTAGGTCGGACTGGGTCCTATGTATTACTAAATGTCATTGGAAAAATTCATTTAGAAGATTAAAGATGTTAAATGAAGTTAACATGGTGACTATATTAAAATACCTTTAATATAAATAAAACCATTCTACCACAATAAGATTAACCCTTGTGTGTATACAAGGGGTATTTTGGGACCCCACGACCATATCCTTAACAAATGTGAGGCACTGGTTCATAATGTCTAGCCAGAATTTTATACATTGTCAGCTACTTAATGTCGAGTATAATGCTGTAAATAGAACGGAAGTGAGGCAGTGGCAACATTCATCATTTGATAATAATAAAATTATGCATCCAAAAACCAATTTATGTCTGGGGTCTTTGATTACCCCTTGTTGCTGACAATGCTTTTCGTGCGACATGGCTTAAAAAGGTTTAAGGACGTTAGAAATGTTGAAGATACTTCAAAACATAATTTCAATTTCAAGTTTTCAGTAATGCTGTACTGTGTATGAAAAAGAATCTTTGGCTACCAGGTACTTTTTTTGAAGAATTGGACAGGATAGAAATTGTAAAAGTTATACTTATATGCCACATACCAAATGTATAAGTATCTACATGATTTATTATTGATGGTTTTAGATCTACTGGATCTACTATAATAACATTAAAACCACGTCCACCTTTATTTAAATTTTCTCCCATCATTCTACAAATATAAATACATCAAATCCTTTTAAAACTTAAAATGTCTACTAAAAAAAAAGCCATAGAAAAATGTCCCTGCAGAATAAGTATTATAACATTTGACTGACCCTGCTCATTTTACAAATTCAGCACTTTTGCATAGTCTGCACATTTATAGTTCCCATAGGAGTCTGCACATTTATAGTACACATAGTGACATATATCGCACAATTATCCAATCTCAATATATAAAATATACCGGTACATCTGCACGATATATTACTGTATGTTTGAGAAGTGTGGAATCCTGGAATACACCAAGACTTGACAAAGAGGACTACAGAAAGTATTCACTAAATGGAAGCTGTATGCGAGTTACATCCCTTTCTTATTAGTGCAAGACAATCAAATTTTGACATTACTGGGGACAAAAAGTATTGCCGTTTATTGAAATATTACTAGAATTTGAGCATCCATACTGCTTATCATGTTCGCCGATATAACTGTAGAACAACATCTATTATTGTTTAAGTGGCATTTAGTAACTGAGAATAACACGACACAATTATATGGAATACAAGTTACTTAAAGGATTTATTTCAGCAACGTTTCGACGAGGGTTCTCCAGTCTTTATCAAGTAACCCTCGCTGAAACGTTGCTAAAATAAATCCTTTAAACATGCATTATGCAAGAGCTAAATCTGATTATTGCAAGTCTTAATTTAGGCTTCAGATGTTATAGAAATTATAAATTAGATCTTTATTTAAACAACAAGACCAAAATCAACTCTGTAGACCCACGGATGGCTCGGCTACAGCTCGGATTTAAATAGGATTTCACTAATTGATTAAATCAGATAAGGGGTAACCTGATGAAAATACGTCAGTTAGATCGAGGCTAAATGATAGAGTGTACTTAGCAAGGCCGCTGTAAAGCGTTTCCGTATGCCATTGAAAACTTTACTTGATAATCGAGATATGTAGGTGGAGTTAACGCCTGTCAATCAAACGTTCGGCGAAGGTGAAGACACATTTCGCTACCATTTCTAGGCAAATATTACAACGATGATAACTATGTTCAGAATAAAGTAATTTGACTGAATTTTTCAATATATTCTTCTTTCATCATCTACTTTTGAACTGTTATAGCAAGAATGGCCAACTCTCTATAAATATCTCCCATAATGTATCTTTAAGTAACTTGTATTCCATATAGTTGTGTCATCTGTTATATTAACATCTATTATGATTTATTTCTAACATTAAATATTACATACATGTGTCCATTAACACATATTTCAACAGGTCTTTTATCAGCATAACCAGTATCTATTCTAACAGGGAAACTATTTGGTTCACATATTTTTTCTACACCACAGTTTGCTACAGCTTCTCCTATAACCATATCTTTCTGGTTTATAACTTCTGGTAACATCAGTTGTAGATTACGATGAGATCCCACTTTAAATTAGACAATTCAAACAGAAATATATATTACAAGTTATTTGCTCCTGAGTTAGAAATTGGAATCAGACCAATTATTTGATAATCTCGCTTACGAACATGGACGTAACAGACTTTAGACATATACATAGTCATAGCTTAATGTTATTTTTGAAATATTTTCCACTTTACAGGCGCCTGTGGGCTAAACATCACATTTCAAGGCACTAGATTTATGCCCCTGCATTGTTTATAACAATGTATCCAGTATCATTTATGATTGTCTGTTACATTTATCAGGGTTGTGTTCTTGATAAATTAGCCTACTTGGTGTAATTAATGAGATTGTTTTTATTTTTTAAAAAAAAAAGGTCATGCAGCAATTTTTATGTGATGCATGATTTATCTGAGAAACAGAATATTTTTTTAATATGGCCACATATCACAGGAGGAATTTACAACAGAAAGTTTTAAAGCCAACATAAAATATATTAATCCTCATGTTTATCTATTTCTGGCACTACTGGTAGGCAAAATTGTGAAATCAACCAGAATATGTCATAAAAACTCAAGCTGATACATACAAGGTATTTCTAAACAACCAGCTATCTCCAATACTTCTGCAAATTCTTTCCTGTATTTTTTCTTAATCTGAAATGACAATTAATTTCAAAACACAGATGGATGCTTGTCAGGTAAACTAATATGCCCATTAGCAGCAAATTCACCAGTGCTAGCTCTAAAATAATGTAGGACAAGTTTTAAAACTCTGTCCCAACTTTTAACAGATGAAATGGGAATGTGCACAATATTCCAGAAGAAATTTGCCTACAAACGTGTATTGTTATATATTACTTTTAGACAAACCCCAATCAAGTCAAAAACACCTGTACCTTTCACAGATTTTCCTTGTACTTACAAATTCTATTGCTTGACCCTCCTCTAGACCTTTCTGTCCAACCATTATATATCCATCTCTCAGTGTAAGATCATCAACAATAGTACTCCCATATAACTTTAACCATCTTATACTATCTTCTTTTAAACTAAAATTACATACATCACTCTTTAAATAATTCTAGTCAACCCCTCTTGGCAGATATGTAAAAAGACCCATAGCAACCAACCGCAAATTTTATGCAAAAAACGTTAGGAAAATAAATATCTTAGAAACTTAAAGATACATTATGAGAGATTAGATAAATAGCTGGTAGTTCTCACCAGCTATAGTTAAAAACTAGATAATGTAAAGGGAATTTGCTGAAAATTTCAGTCAAGTTGATCCAACCTGAACTGAGTATTTAGCGACTGAATTTTGGCCCTAGCCTCGATCATCATTACTAAAGTCTGTACGATAAAAAACATAGTCTCGATTATCCATTTTTTGATTTAATCAGAAGCAGCAGACTGGCATCTAATCCAGTAAATATGGTCTGGATAAGTTAATGTCTAATTAATAATTTAGATAACATTTCATGCCTAAAAAATGACCTGCATTGGAAGATTTAGCTCTTGCATAATGTATGTTTAACAATGTTTACAATACAAAATACAAACATTATTGCTTTTACGTTTCCTGCCATGTCTGAAATAATTTATATGAGACAAGATAGTGTATAGAATTTCATTATTAGAATATTACCTAGAGGCAGCATCATCAAAGCTAGCCATCATTACAACAAAGTTATCTGGAACTGATTTCTTCAAGAATCTTATCAAAGACGATTCTGGAAAAAGAGAAAATATTAAAGAAATTTTCTCTTGTTTTGCCATTCTAGACTTTTTAAACGGGAACCAACATATCTTATACCATAAAGTATATGTATAACCTGCTGAATATATGACACCGACACCTCCTTAAACTAAAGTTAAATATAATAAGGTGGTATCTTTAATACAGCAGCTAACTTTTGAAGATACATTATGGGAGATTAGATAAAGAGATGGTAGTTCTCACTATAATAGTTAAAAACTAGATAATGTAAAGGGAATTTGCTGAAAATTTCAGTCAAATTGATCTACCCTGAACCGTGTATTTAGCGATTGAATTTTGGGCCTAGCCCCGATCATCATTTCTTAAGTCGGTATGATAGAAAACATAGTCTCGATTATCCATTTTATGATTTAATCAGAAGCAGCAGACCGGGTTCTAATCCAGTAAATATCGCAGGCTAGCGATGCCATCAAGAATTGATTTTGGTCTAGATAAGTTAATTAATGTCTAATTAATAATTTAGATAACATTTCAGGCCTAAAGAAAGACCTGAAATAGGCAGATTTAGCTCTTGCATAATGTATGTTTAAGTCAAGAATTCCATTTATACTAAGGGACTATTGACAGGGTTTACAGGTCTGTTTAACGATACAAACTGCCATAGATACCTAAGCTAATGTTCTGAGCTGTCAGTGTCTCAACAGCATCTTCGAAACAGTGAATTTGTATGTTTTCTCTTGAGCCATTTGTCAATGTGAGCATGAGGATAATTGAGGTTTCTTGGCTAAGCCTTTTGTGTTTTACATAGGTCTATGGCTGTATGGTTTAATGGTTGAGAGTAAGACATTAAGGAATATTTTGATAATGCACTTGAAATACAGACACTATCATGCAATTGCATCTCAATGAAATCATCATGGGAGTCCATTTTTTTTATCTGGCATAAATAATGTATGATTGGCACATTGCCTGTACCATTATTTGCAATAATATTTATAATAATGGTACATCAAAGGATGACGTCACATTTGTATTTTTAAAAAAAAAACCAATGTTTGTAAATATACCCCAAAATATCAAAGGAAAATATATTTCAAATGTGATCTGGTGGATTTGGGGCAAAGTATCCACTTATATTAATTCTTTCAGCAATAACTTTTGAAAGAGGTACCGGTATACTATAAAAAAAATTGAAACCAAAATAAACCTATTATTATTTTCACTTTATGTAAAAACCTGAAATCTACAGGCCCCCAATTTCAACGTCTCTTTAACAAGTATGTTTTTGAAACAAAAAATAGATATGCACAGAAATATTTTACAACAAAAGTAAATTAATCCCTTGTCATATATTTACCAATAAATATTGAACGTCACACTAAATGTTTATTGATTATTATGATTGCTATTATTAAATGTAACAGTTGTTGTACACAATATATGCCAATATTTTCAGTCAGGAAGTTCACCTTCTTGAATTGATTCAATAATTGATAAAGCAACATGTGTTATACTTATATTAACCCTGTGGTTTATTTATAATCTTTCTGGGACTTTGTTAATATTGATTTGTGTGGTATTTGATATTTTGAATACTCCAGAGCTGGATCTGAGTGACGCTTATTCCAAGAGTAAAATATTTTATAATAACAATAATGTACTGACCTTCCTCATATGTATCAAATGTCTTTATATCTGCTACTTCTAAAGTTCTATCTACAATAGAAATTACCATAAATCACATTAAATATATGTACTGATATACGATTCTATAGTAAAACAAATGGATGCTTAGGTATAGAATCTATACCTAAGCACCCATTTGTTTTACTTGACACACCAAATAACTGACTTTGGAAATCTTGCCTCATATGACACTCAATAATTATAAGCACATCTTTTTATAAAGTATTGAGGAATCAAATTACTCAAGTTTAATCATTCTCAATCCTGTTCCAAAGCATTGACAAATCAAATTTTGGGAGATCACGTGGCTAAGTGGGTAAGACGCTGGCTCGCTAGCCTGGAGGTCGGGTGTTTGATCCCTGCATTGGCCGAGAAAGTTCATCCAGATTTTCCGGCGTGGTTTCCTCTTGTCAGTGATGCAGGACGGAGGGCCTGACAAGGACAGCTGTCTAGTCGTTCGGATGGAATGAAAAACTGAGGTCCACACATTGGCGTGCACATAAAAGATCCCTTGGCAGTTGGAATTCGATATAAGAGTAGGCCGTAGCACCGCTGCCTGGGCAAAATTTCCCTCATAGCACACTGTATGGCGTATGCCCATCTTCATTAGCCCAGTTTAGGAGCAGAACAGTAGGACGTTAAACCCCATTTCATTTCATTTCATTTCATTTCAAATCAAATTTCTTACCACTTCTTAACCTAAGCAGAAAATGCAAATCATCGAACTGTGCAAGACATTCAGCTAATGAACATCTATACCAAGTTTGAACATTTTACCTGCGTTATTGTGTTCCAAAAAGTGCAACGAACAGACAGACAGAGAAGTAGACAGAGAAATGAACCCCTTTTAATAGTCCCCTGATTTCTTCAAAAGGTGGGGGACAATAAACCTGAAATGTTTGTAGGAGAAATAAGATTATTAGACAGCTTACCATTGATTAACACAACATTTAACCCTCGACCAAAGTTTTTTAATTCATTACTGACTATCCTGAAATATAAAAAATAGACAATATGGATCAATTTGTCCCACTCAGTAATCATTTATTTTTAAAAACATAAGAACGTTAACTATATTCATTAGCACTTTCATCTGATATTTGTTATATTTCCACTTTTCAAATATTTATTATATTTGATTATATTGATGTGATATCCTAGTCCTACTGTAACCTTTATAGCAGTGAAGGATGTGTGTTTCATATAATAATAATAAGAAGAATAATAATCATTCTTATGTGTCATGCTGTTAGTAATATATGTATATACATTGTTTTATGTCCCACACGTGTAACTTTGTAGTAAGATGTGGAACAATTAAATATCTAATTCCTCCCAAAAAAAAAACAGCGGTTGCCAGGAGAGATACATTCAGAAGAGATCGAGAGAGAACAAGTTAAAAAAGAAAACAAAACATGATTTTTTGTACAATCAAGGTTATAATCCAATATATTATGGTCTGAAATGCGCGAATATCAAAAGGGACTGAGATCTATTGGATATAAGGATTTATTTTAAGTTTCATCAAAATCGGATAAAAATTGTGATCTCTAGAGGGTACACATTCTTTGTATTACATACTTGTACACAATTTGCGTACAAGGAGACGCCATTTTGTTGGGCAGTTTTGTATCAATTTTACTGAAATTCTAACTCCAACCTTCATTATGGTGGAATGGTGATATATTTAAACAATTTTTATAAATTGTGTCCACTAGAGGATCCATGCGCTATAAATGTGATTTTTAGTACAACCAGGGGCGTATATATAAAAACAATTAATTGCATGTACATTTTCCTATATTTAAATCATTCTAAACGTGCACATCTTAAGTTGACATGTGACAAATCTAGAATTAATTTTGAAGAGTATTAAATACAATGAAAAAATAGGTATTGAAATCAATACAACTTACACATCTCCTTCAAAACATATTGTTGGACCAACTAGACTGCCATCTCCTGTTCTTATATAAAATGAATGCTGTCCCGAATTACATTTAACTCCACATCGATCATCTGAATTATAATAATAGGGTTACATCATTAATAGATTTACAGTTTCTTTTCCAACATCACAGTTAACAGTTTCTCCATTTATTACACATTATCCACACTGTATAAATAATTGTTCACAAAATTTGTTCTACATGAATATGGTATACGTAAACAAGAATCATATTTGAATGGTTTTGTTCCCTTTGAAGTATATCAAAGACAACTGATCAAATTTATATCTGATCTGATCATTTTGACAATCAGTATTCCTTGATAAATTCAAGCATAACTGATTTTAAGGACTTGATAATCGTTGTGAGAGACAAATCACTAAACACAATACACGAGTGGAAAAAGTCATGGAAAAGTTGTTTATTTTCATTTGTACTTCATTAGTCTGCCGGATAAACACAGATTTATGTGTTTTCCTGGAAAAAAGTCCCATCAAAGCAAACTTGGTCTCAAATAAAAGGTGGGTTTCGTAGGTACTCCAGAAAAAAATGACCCATCATGATCGCCTGGGGAAATTTTTTGGGGTGGGGTCAAAGGTCATGGTCGACCAATCAGAAAAAAACCCTGTCAATATCTCAAAAACTATCAATGTTAGACCCTATAAATGTATTATCAACATCATGTACAAAATTTCTACTATGCTAGATGAGTGGACAGCGGCGTCCGATACTCTGAATCTTGATTCTTAAGTTGCGGGTTCCCTTCCCATGGGGGTGGGGGGTCTTACAAAACATCAAAATTTAGAGTTTAATTCGACTTTTGCGTACAACAATCAAGTTTCGTGCATAAGACGACCAACTTCAGATGTGGCAAAAAAACATTGCTTTAGAAGACCCCCGACCCTTACTTCCTCCCTTAAGAACACCCCCTCAAGAGAGGAGTTAATTCGACTTCCGCGTACAACATTAATTTTTTTCGTTAAAAGTTTCACTACTGGTCTGCTAGAACATAACACTAACCTAAGAACGCGAAATCTCCTTCTATCTCGGATAAGAACGACAAAAAATTAATGATGAATGACCAAAATGACGCTTTAATTCGACTTTTGCGTACAACGATCAACTGTCGTGCATATGTCAACCAACCTCAGATGCCATCAAAAACATTGCTTAAGAAGACCCACGACCCTTCCCCCTGTAAGAATATACCCTTTACACCCCCACTCCCCTTAGAGATGAGTTAATTCAAATTCCGCGTACAACTTAATTTTTTCGTTAAAAGTTTCACTTTTCACTATTGGTTCACTAGAACCTAACACTAACTTAAGAACGAGAAATCCCCTTCTATCTTGGATAAGGACGGGGGCAGTGGGCATGGTGAAATGGCCAAAATTGACGATTTAAGTCAACTTCAGCCTACAAGTATCATCCTTCCTGTCTATGTAAACTTACCTCAGATAACATCAAAAACTCTACTTAAGTAGATCTGTGACCCATTCTCCACCCCTTAAGAAAGCCACCTTTAGCCCCATCAGAGATGAATTAATTCAACTTCCGCGTTCAACATTATTAATTTTTTCGTTATCGTTTCACTATTAGTCCACGGGTTAGTACAGGTTTTATATATCTCGTCTCTCGGAGAAGGGAGCTGATTTAGTTGATGAACCTAAAAGCTCCTGATGTCCATTCTGTTTCACATAAATCCAATCTGTAGGATTTATCATACTCATGATATTCCTAGATCTTCCAGACATAGTGATATTTACATTAACGACTCCAATGAATTGCTCGACCTACTCACTAATTTGCCAAGAGACGAAGCCTTGATTTCAGAGTTCTTGAAACCCGTATTCAACAACATTCTACACCACTGGATACATCACTGCAAGTTGATAACATTATTCCTTTGATCAAGTAATGCCTGGAATCTACATATTTCACATGGGGAAAAAACTATTATGGACAGATCCACGGTTTACCGATGGGAAATCCTTTATCCCCGCTGATTTCTGAAATTTACATGATGTCACCAGAAGAAGGCAGAAGCAGGCATAGAGACCACATTCCCCAAAGGCGCAACAAGATAAGGAGTTAGGAAATGCTAATGGAAAGTCAAACCTCACAAAGCCTATCTTCCCGAAAGGGAGAGAGAAATGGGGTTTAACATCCACTCGACACAAACTAGGTCATTTTGGGACTAACATATGGTTCAATTTTATTTCCATAATTCGCTTGCGCGTAGGGGTCTTTAGCAGTGGGAGGAAACCGAAGGACCCGGAGAAAACCCACGAGGTTGGACAGGCGACCCTACTCCTTGTCACGTACAACCGGGGAATCGAATCCACGGCAGTTGACTCAATGACAGACTTTATGAAACAGCGCGCACGGGCTAAACATTCAGCCATCCAACCACCCACCTTCCCGAAAGGCTGTGTCTACCAAATTAACTGTAGATGTGGAGAATATTACATCTGTGAATTCAAAGAACCCTAGACCTCCGAATTAAGGAGCATGTGTTCAAGGCCCCCACCAATGTCTTTCCTGGCTCCCTTACTATAATCTTACCTAACGGTCCTTTAAATCTTTTAAAATAAAATAGAATTGAGTTAAAAGTTTCATTGACACATTACTTCGGTCATTTTGGGACAACACCATAGGTTATTTTTCTATGGTGGAACTTTGCCAAGGCACTGGCATTTAAGTCCATTAGTACAGACTGCTTTATTCGACTCGGAGATATAGAGTTCCTATGTCTTGATAATACATTTATAGGGTCCAACATTGATAGTTTTTGAGATATTGACTGCTATTTTCTGATTAGTCGATCTTGACCTTTGACCACGCCCTAAAAATTTTCCCCAAGCAATCATGATTGGTTAATTTTTTCTGAAGTATCTACGAACCCCACCTTTCATTTGAGACTAAGCTTGCTTTGATGGGACTTTTTTCCAGGAAATACATGGATTGATTGAAATAAGTTAGATACAGATTATCTATTGAAGGAAAACCAAGGATATATTATTATGTATTTAGTGCTCCCATTTTTTATCTAATTCATTTCTATAGTTTGGTAAACATGTTGATTTACATATTGAGATAGAGATCTAACAGTATTGTATAGAGTAATGAGTAGAAATGTTTTAAGGTCTGTGACACTTATGTTGTACATCATAATGGAACAATATTCAACTAGTTAATTTACATACCTGTAACATTTAAACCTTCCCCACCTACATCCCATACCTGACGTCCTGTAATAAATATAATATTTATTAGTAGATAATTTAGATTGATGGTAAATCAAAATGTCCAGTTCACAAATATCATAGAGTTATAAGGACCAATAAATTGCGACTTCTGTTTGTGTTATACAGAATGCACTAGCCCTCAAGCCATGCTGGATTTCATACACTCAACAAAACATCATTAAATGCATTATAATTGGCATAGAAATGAAATAAAATTCAATGTCTTACTTTACTGATCCATCTAATTCAAATGAAGACAGGCATATACGCCATGCAGCATGCTATGAGGGTAATTTTGCCCAGACATCGGTGATGCGACCTACTACTACCGTTATTCACTTGATATTTATTTCTTGCAATGTCTATGTTGTTTATCTTGTCTATAGGTATATTGTCTTATCGGTTTTGTTTTGCGTGTAGTGCTGTTCACCTGCACTTATCAGGTACTATTACTATCAAGGTATCTTAATGTAGTGTCAATAGTATCATGCTCACAAGGGGAAACCACACGGATACAGGCACAGGGATCCACCCACATAAAACACAGGGATGAAATCTGGGATCTCCTTGTTTGTGAGCCAGTACCATAACCGATTAAGATCCCTGGGCCCTGTTTCTCGAAAACTTAACTAAAGATAAAATCCAATTTTAGTAGATACTTCAATTTTGATTGGCTAAGCACTAAAATTAATCTAATATTATCCAATCAAATTACTAAAATTTGGATTTTATCTTAGTTAAAATTTTGTGAAACAGGTCCCTGATCAGTAGAATAAACTATTGAATATGGACATACCTGATCTTGAAAATAAGGAGTTGATACAATACAGTATAACACAAACACATACTGTTAACAAAATAAACTTCTTCCAACCTGTATATCAAATATACATAATTTTCAAACATATAGCCTGTCCATGTTTAGTTAAATCTAAATATATATTTTTCATCAATACTTTTTAGACCAGGTACCAAGTGCTACTTATCTTGTTCTTCTTCTCGAAAAAAAAACCACCAACAAAAACCCAAGGCTCCGTCAATTGAAGTATATGTAAGATCGACATAAAATTTGGCATGTTTGTTCCTTGGACAATTGTGCATTAACTGATGGATTTTTGATATGCCACAACTCCAAGATAGCAGTGAAAATGCCTTGATCGGTTTCTGGCCCATAGATATGCTTGTACTTCTTTATAGAAGCTTACCTTTAATAGTTTATTTATTCAGTGTATTACTATACCGTTCTCATACATTTACTTTCAGTGTCAAAAATGCTAATGACTATCCACATGATATGTGAGATGTTGTCCTCCATATCAAACTCTAACTAAAGTGGAAAAAGGTTTTACCTCCAAACTTTCTATTAACAATTCTTCTGATCTGACGGAGTAGCTTTGATTTTTCAACCCGCATTTTGAATATCAACACTCACGTAAATAAAACCAATGTCAATCTAAAAGAAAAAAAGACATCAGTCAAATTTGTGATTAATGAATCAGTCTGTTGAATTTATACATCTTCTTCTGTGTGTAAATCTTTCCAATTACGGACAATCTCCATATAGCTAGTGGAGTATAATCGCAATATCTTAAAATATCAGTTTTTAAAATATATTTAAAATGTTCTTCGTTAAAATGTTCTTAAAACTGTCTTTGTGATAAAATCATGACGTAACATTATTTACAGTTTTAGTGGTATCTAAAACAGATTTATATACATTAGGCGATGGAAAGTACAAATTGATGTGCTTACAATATGTTAGCAGTGTGAGTGTAATTAGCTATGGGTCTAGAGCACTAGTACGTTTGATGGATATCATCCCTTTAAGGCTATGAATCAATACCAATAATACCATGAAATACTAGGAAGTTACACTACAATTTCTAGCACACTTTACATCAGGAATGGCCATCATATGACGCATTGGAAGAGTTGAAATGATGCATATATTCACACACATACTTTTTACTGAATAATACCTTAATCTGTTTTCAGTTTAAAATATACTTAATGAATCAAACTAGGATCTGCCATCACCCCATAAAAATGTTAATTATGACAGGTGTAATCCAAATTTAATAAAAAGATGTTAATAGAGTAGTAACATATGATTTAATCACACTACCTGTTACACATATAGACAGTGTTTCTTACTTACAGTGTAGATATATGGCAACGTTCATCTACAATGTAGATAATTACCATACTTACTCAGAACCATAACCAGTACATGCATAATTTTGCAAAATGTGAATATTTTTATCAGACTGTTCCACGGTCACTACTCTCTGACAAAATCTAAAATGTACACTAGTATGAAGGGGTACCTGTTATCTCATCCACAAACAAACTCATCCATAACCACTGGTAAAAGTCGTCCACAAGATATTGGTTATGTCGTCTACAACTACTGATTATGTCGTCCACAACTAATACTTGACTGACTCGTACACACATTAATTATATGGAATAGATAACTTTTACTCATTGGTTGTTTACAATTGTTTTATTTACCCAATAATCAACTAGCTTGGTTGACCGATCATGGCCGAGATTAGTTCACCAATGTTTTTGTAATAAAAAAGACTTGTATCTTGTTTGTTGATTGGCATTATGATTTTAGACATAATTGGTTCAATATGAAATCTGAATTGAATCGCCCTTTTTATTTACGTATCGTGTATGTAAAACCAAATTTTACCACATGATGGAATATAAATACAGCTACAAGAACTTGTTTTAAACGTAATCGTTAATCTCTAAAACTTTAAACCTCATCATCATGCTTTTTCATTGATGTCCACAGCTTAAAATTACACAGAATTAATCAATGGTATTGATAAGTAGACCTCTTCAAAGTCTACTACAAGGCTTTTAGGTTTATGGTTTGTTTTATCATTTAAAAAAGTTCATATACCATAATTTAAAAAATTTGGCTATGGTACAAAAATAATTGCTCTGGAACCCCTCTTTGATAAAATGCATTCGTATTTTGTAAGATGGTGATTATTCATACATAAAAAATATTTGAAGGAGACATTGTGGAATATGCAGAAATTACTTACTTCCTTACATGTATATTGTATCAATGAAACCCGTTGGGTTACTTGAGTCTAACAATTGACAAGGCAATACGTTTCGAGAAATGGTGTCGAGAATTGGCATGTATTTTTACTACAATTATTATACAACGAATCAAAAACTCCAATACAGGCTGGTTTTGGAAAATATGCCAAAGCATAGCCAGAGAAAGAAGTTTGATACTATTCATGGTAAAAAATGGTGAAATTTATTGTTTAATAATGACCTCGATTTTGAATTTATTTATTAAATATACATTATGGAAGAGCTTAATCTGATTGCAGGTCTATCTTTAGGCCGGAAATGTTATATAAACTATTAATTACTATTAGACATTAATATTAACTCATCCAAACCTATAATAATCAACCTTCAATGTCATATATAATCTCCCATAAATTGTTATTGAATAAAGTGATTTATTTGTTTTTTTGTTATTTATTAATGCAACAAATGTAGCTTGGCGATAGTCTGCCATAGGCATAAGAGCTGGGGGGGGGGGGGGGCTGGGGGGGCGGCGGCCCCCCCATTTTGGGCACCAAATGCTGGGAAAATTTGGGCACACAATTGTACTTTGTAAAAGTTGTATAAAAAAATATTGTGTTCTTGAATGTGCCCAATTTAACAGCGAATTTATTATTATTATATAACATACTAAGAACCTAACTACATTTTTTGGGCACCAACCACCACCGCCCCCCCAGTCAAAAATTTCACTGTACGCCTATGTAGTCTGCCAACTGAATTAAAGAAAATTATACTCATCAAACAGTATGAAAACCACATCATTCGATCTGTGATACTTTCTGTGTCATGTGTAGGGTGACCCACCATAAATAAATATCTCCATATATCTCGACAATTTCGCCACAATATTTATATATATGCCAAGCCTCAAATCAGTTTCACACAATTATAGTCACTAAATAAACGATCATGTTGTACTTAATAAGCTATGACCATTAATCATCTATAAATAATAGACTGAAAACTGGTTCCATGTGTCGTCCATAACATCCAGACACTTTTGAGTAAAAGATAGGTTACGTGCCCGTGTTTTGAAATTAGTCTCGCTTAACCAGTCTATCGACCATTCTAGGGCTGATTGACAGGCCGGGATAATCAAGACTACTTTTTTACGAAACATACCAGAAAGCTAGAACAAGAAATTGAATTTAGAAATGAGCACGTTAGCTAGCTCAACAATTGTATAAGAAGCTTGTAAAAGTAAAATGAAACTACTGCTAGTATCATGTTCCTGTCTAACCCGAGTGTTTCAGAGATATTATTTGTACTAAACCAAAAGATGCCGCTCTTAACGGTACAGTTAATGATAAAGCGATTTAAAAAATGAAACGAACTTAATTTCTAAATCTGCTGTAATAACCAAGAAGCTTAATTTTACTGCTATTCAAAATCGTCAACAATAAATTTTTTACGGCTGTAATAGTTGATAGATTTGTAGAGAATTGCACGTGCCATGGCTTTTTATAGTATCATACTGTCAGAAAGTTGGCCTCGACACGGCGAATGTGCACGCTTCAGTGGTAGTCTCGAACTATCAGCGGTTGACTGTATTTCTGTAGGTGCATGGGTCACCCTATCATGTACTGAAGTTACTCGGAACGACAAGCCACTACAAGTCAAGTTGCTACTGCTAGTTCTATTCGGTTTTTCAGTACAGTCAAAACATACCTTTTTTATGTATTCATTCGTGTTTGCAGATAACAACATCTAAGTATGATCATAAACGACTAAAACTGTTCTTCTACTACATGTAAATGTTGTTGTTGAGTTAGTTGTATTTTACGTCCGCTTCCACCGAGGTGATATTACATTTAAATGTAATGTATATATTATTATATAGCTAGACCTCTAAATTCCTGCAGATCACTGCATAATCGTCAATGGTTCGCCATTTTAAGCACTAATATATTTCCATCTGCTGAATGGCTAAATAAATATTTATAACTATAAGCTTATAAACGTTTCACATTACTTCTGTCCTTGACTGTATTGACTTATTGTAAATGAAATCATCATCTGCTCGAACAGGTTTTATGTTTACAATAATTTATACAAATGGGAGTTATCTCCAGTGAGAGTTATTTTCTCGGTTGTCACGACCGATTTTATAAACCATAGATTTTGGCGTCAAGACTGCAATTAAAGATGACGCTCACAGTAGTTAAAGGACAGTGTTAGCGTCCCAATAAATGTGTTACAGATATAATATTTAGACAGCGATGCTACGGTAGATGCGTAACGATGATCTGACGAAACGGGAAGTGACGCAAAAAATGGAAAACACGAGTTATCCATATAACTGACTGAAGTATCGGGCGATAACCGATACGCGTCGCGGTCGATTTTCAGCTCACTGATAATTCATTTGATTAGACTGTGAGAGGATGATAGAAATGATCTCTGTGTTAATATTATATTTGGAATGTGTTTAACCAGTTCTATCACTTTTTATGTAATATTGGTGCAATGATCTCTGTGTTTTAATATTATATTTGGAATGTGTTTAACCAGTTCTATCACTTTTTATGTACACCAATATTGTCCTGTAAGGCTTGTGCAGGATTTTTTATAAGTACATGTATTCAAAGAACAACGACGTCTTTCGAAAACTGCAATATTTTACTAGACTAGGCCAATAATTAGCATGGTGAAGTATTGATTTTATTATTTGATATTTACATAAACAACAACAAAAAAAAAACAAAAAAAAACCACCCAAAATCCCCAACAAAACAATTCTTAAGGGTAAACAACAATAGGTTACATTATAACTTTTTTGATACAAAGAAACATATATTAAATCATATGGGCTGGTGTGCATTTTAACTACCATCAACAGTAACAAAATAGCTTGAACAACTGGCTTTTGAGTACAAATGAAAAACAATCTGACATAAAATTTAAAAAATATGATACAGGAGTCACCAAACATCACTGAAAAACGTTGCTTCGGGTCAAATGTGATTGGAGCTACATTTATGAGTACTGGCCTCGAACCGCAATTGCTCAGCGAGGTCCCGTGTTCAATTCCGGTGTAGGCCGAGAAAGTTCATCGTGATTTTTCGCCGTGCTTTCCACTTGTCAGTTGTGCTGCAGGACGGAGGGCCTGGAAGGGACACTGTATAGTCGTTCGGATGGGACAAACACCCGAGGTCCCGCGTATCAATTCGATATAAGAGTGAACGAGAACTATAACTGTTTTCTCACTACAATAAACTAAAATCTACCGAATATATAATTAATTTTATTCCATATTCCTATGGAGAGATGGACGGAGAGAGAGAGAGAGTTTAACCTCGACACATACTAGATCATTTCGGGACTAACATATAGTTTAACTTTACTTCAATAATTCACTTGCGCGTAGGGGTCTTTGGCAGTGGGATGAAACTGGCGGACCCGGAGAAAACCCAGGAGGTTGGATAGGCGACCCTACTCCTTGTCACGTACACGCGGGGAATCGAAATCACGCCACTTGACTCAATGACAGACCGTTTGATCCAACGCGCACTCGTTAACATTCGGCCACCCAACCCCCCATATCCCTTGGAGCTGAGCACATTTGGCAGGAGATACCTAACATGTTTCTAAAAAACAACCATTTGTTAAATTATCATATTTAAGATATTTGGACTGTAGAACATTGTTCCGCTAAACCCTTTCTCAATTCCTCAAGACATCTTTTTTAAATCAGTTTTAGCCCAGGTCCGAGATCATAATATAAATAGCTTAGGGCCATTTAGTAACAGGACAGTGGAAGTTAATATGTCTTCGGCGGTAAAAAAAAAAAAAAGACGCGCGGATACAAAGGAAGTTTAACCTGGAACTTTAAAAATAACCACTTTACAACTTTTTTATCATCAATAAATATAAATTCAAAGGATTAAACACATTTTCAGCGTTCAGCCAAATGTAGATCTATATTAAATCTGTTGTGTAGGGACTGGATATCGGCAACAGATGATGCTCTGTTTATCACTGGAGTGGAATTTGGTCGGAACACAAAGTCACCTGAAATAAATTACGTGGTTAATTAAAAATGAAATAGATTTTTCAGCTATAAAACGGATAACTTATTTCAGCCCTGTTGGTGTAATACTTCGACTCCTTTTCAATATTTCGGTTAGCAAGATCGATGTTTGGTTGACTAGCAATATAAATAATAGGAATACTTTCTCGGCTTAACGCCGATTAGATATGTGAATCAACATAATAAAATAATAAAAGTCCGCATAAAAAAATTGCAGCGGCACCAAACAGTCCTTGTAGTCATTTTATTTTTCGTCGCCGTCACATTGTCTATAAAATGCCGAACCTCATTCCTTCATAATTGTCGCTATCACATTGTCTATAAAATGCCGAATCTCATTCCTTCATAAAGGGAATCACGTGGATAGGACACTAGGATGTTTCGGTTCGATTCCCATCGTCGGCCAAGAGGAAAGCTCTAGATTTTGTAAGTCCTGGTCCAACTTGATATGTTACAAAGAGACATATTTTGTGGAACAGCTTTGTCAGAAATGTTGGTGTTTGTTCTCAGAAACCCAAGCAAAACGCCACTGGTCAAGTACCAACATTAAAAAGATGGCGTATAGGACTAAAACTATGTTTTAATACTTACGTTCGGGGGGACTGTTGTTCCCGTGTCGTCCAGCAGAAATATCGTTTTGTAGACCTTTCGAGTTGTCTGAATGGCCACTCGCAAAATCTACCACGGAGGCACGACAGGGAACTGTAAAACAAAAAAAACGAGCGTTTGTCGACAATATTATGCCTAGTAGGATTGGTTGTTAGTGTATTCCAAGGGTGTGCATTCCTTCCGTCAACGACTCCAAATCAAATGACGTGATAATGCTCGTCGCCACTGCTTATTTTACACTTAATATCTTTGATATCGGTTGATGACGTTATGAACTCAAGCGAAGTTATATAATTACCACGAGAACAATCCCTTTGGTGAACAAATTTTTTCAAAATGATATAAAGATATTATCTTCATTTGAAATACAACACCCATGAATCTGCTAGTGGGTAATAATCCAGCGATTCACTGAGAAATAACTAGAGGATAACATAAATAACATTCTTCTAACCTTCTACAGTTGTCAATGATAGTGGTATATTATAGTTTGTGGGTAAATGCTTGGAATTGTCAGATGGCTGATCACGATTACCAAGACAAGGTGTTATACATCGACGTCTTAGAGCATCATACAATGACTGAAATAATATATTAAAGAGGCATTAGGTAAGATTAGATAAAGAACTGACAGTTTTTGCTATAACAGTTAAAAAATAGATAATGAAAAGAGAATATGCTGAAAATTACTGCCAAATTACTTCACTTTAATTTATAACCGCGTCCACCGCAAAACGTATTTAAATCCACTAATATCGCAGGCATCCGATGGCATCGAGAGTTGATTATGGTCTTGGTAGGTAAGTTAATTAATGTCTATTTAGCTCTTGCATAATGCATGTTTAAGGTATGTTTAAGGTAAGTAAATAAATATAATTGTTAACGATTGTGGATTTCAATAAATCAAAATCATAATGTTTTTTTTTAGAATGAATGAATGAATGAATGAAATTGGGTTTAACGGTCTACCTTTCTGCTCCTACCTAGCTAACAAAGAAGGGCATGCGCCATGCAATGTGCCACGAGGAACATTTGTCCAGAACAACAATTGAATTCCAACTGTTAAGGGTTTTCAGGTGGACGCCAATCTGGACCTCGGTTTTTCAGTCAAATCTATATACTTTTTAGCTCAAGATTTTAGTTTACCTGTAATTTTTGATTTTGACGACTTTTTTCTTGTAGCTTTTCAGTGACTTCATTGTACTTCTTTTTGGCAACCTCTAGTTCCTTTTTTGCGGCTTAAAATAATAACAAAAATTAGATGTAGAAAAAAATGTGTAGATAAGATTAGCTAAGATAGTAAAAATGCATAAAAACTTCCACGGGGAGCAGCATATAATATCATAACTCACACTATTACAACAGACATAGATGTAAACAATATGTTAAAAGAACAAGTGGTTACCATTCAAGATACGCCCACCTTTTTGCAAGAGATTGACAGAGAACAAACTAAAAATGCTATTTGGGTAAACACTGTGATGCCTCCAAAACGACCAAAAAGTAACGGGGAATACTTACTTCCGATTTGAGATTTTAAAGCTGAAAAAAAAGAGTCAATATATGTATGGCAAACATGATTGTTATAATTTTATATTTCGTTTTGAATAATTAAGAAAAAACATGATAGAATAAAGGTTAAATACAGAGAATAAGACCATATACGATCAGGAGTAATTTTATTAGGAAAACAGTTCGGTCCAAACATTATTTAAAAAATAAGACCATTAATTAGTAAATTATGGCTTAGATATAAATTTGTTTTGGGATTGTGAGGCATTCATTGCAATATGGATCTAGTGCATTTTCACGGATTCAAGGTAAAACAGTCCTACATTTCATTTCAAGACAGTATTACATTTGTAGCGCGGAGACCCAGGTTGATTGGGTTGATGTTCGACGACCAGTTTTTACAGGTATATTGTGCCAAATCACAGTTTTGAGTTTTTGTTCCTAGGTAATTTGGCATTCTTCAAGATTGAGGTATGTGAGTAGTCTCCAGCAATGAACCCCTATAACATGTACAGTCATGCATATTTCAGCCGCCCCGACCCACCCAGAATCTATAGTTTCCACTCTACTGTATTACATACCCGTTAATACTTGGGTTCACAAGGTTAGAAAGGCAATGACCGTTTTCTGAATTTTGAACTTGGTCCTGCATCGCCTTTCCGAACTTTCAAGATAACTCAACGATTTGTCTTCGAAATTTGCGATGCGAAAATTCGGACGAATTCGATATTCGTTCCTTGAAACTCATTCGATTAGTAAAAATGATTTACTTGGAATATTGAAAAAGACTAATTCATGATACTTACTATTAAGCTCCGCGTGTGTCCTTGTTACAATTTGTTCATAGTACTGTTCTAGTTGAATAGCTCGTTCTTTAGCTTTACTGGACACATATTCTTGATATGATTTTTCTTGCTGCGTCTTAAAAAAGATATTCGAGAGGTTTTAATTTCAAGAAATGACGATCAGGGGTTCAACCATGTTTTGGGCGTCTTACATGTACACTCAGGTTTAACTAACATCCTTGAACTGAACAATCGCCGATCAGTAAATGCAGAAAGAGAGAGAGAGAGAGAAATGGGGTTTAACGTCCACTCGACACAAACTAGGTCATTTCGGGACTAACATGGTTTAATTTTATTTCAATAATTCATTTGCGCGTAGGGGTCTTTAGCAGTGGGAGGAAACCGTAGGATCCGGAAAAAACCCCACGAGGTTGGACAGGCGACCATACCCTTGTCACGTACAACCGGGGATTCGAAACCACGCCAGTTGACTCAATGACGCCATTGACAGGCCTTATGATACAGCACGCACGTGCTAACCTTTCGGCCATCCAACCCCCCCGCATGATCAGGAAGTAAATATGTTACGGTTTACGCTGTCTAAATTGTGATTTAATGTCTTACTTGTCCTGCACCAACATACACCATTCAGTGTGCTATTAGTTAGTGAAGTTTTTTTTCCGAATAGCGGTGCTACAGCCTGTTCTTTTTTCAATTTTTAACTTGCTGTCAAAAGTATACAAGGGTCCTGTTTTTTCGTCATATCCGAATGACGACATTTTTCCATGCCAGGCGCTTCATCCTGTACTGCTGACATGGGAAAATAGGACTGGAAAATTTCGAGTAACTTTCTCGGCCAATGCTGGGATGGAATCCGGAAGTTCCTGGTTAGTGTCCCGGTGCTATACTAACCGACTCACACAACAGGCAAGATGGCCATTTAGTATTTATTGTTAGTACCAACATGAAGTATTCAAAGATTACCTGGTATGTCCAGAAGGATAAAGATCGAGTGCAGATTTCCATAACTGTCTCGGGTTTTAGACCAGCAAGAACCATCTACAAAATAAAAACAGTTAAAGATACATTATGGGAGGTAAGATAAAGAGATGGCAGTTCTCGCTATAATAGTTAAAAACTAGATAGTGTAAAGGTAATTTGCTGAAAATTTCAGTCAAATTGATCCACTATGAGCCGAGAAAGAAGCCGGTGAAATTTTTGCATAGTCTCGGTTATCCACTTTTTCTGATTTAATTATCTTTGGCCGTTAGCGACATATAGGAATCTAATCCAGCTAGCCTTGACATCGAGAGTTTATTATGGTCTGGATAAGTTAATTAATGTCTAATTGATAATTTAGATAACATTTCAGGCCTAAAGAAAGACTTGTAATAAGCAGATTTTGCTCTTGCATAATGCATGTTTAAATCTTGTTTATGTTAATAATAGGCTACAGTGTTATAAATATATGTACCGTATAGATGTAATGATATTTGTTTTTTCTTCATTATCAGCAAGATATATTTTCAAATTGCATAATAAATTTAAAAAATGTAGGAAACGTTTCTAGAGAATTTCCGGTGTGGTTCACCCTTGTCAGTGGTGCCTGACAAGGACAGTGTCTGGTAGTTCGGATGGGACAAAACACCGAGGTACCGTGTACACATTAACGTGCAATTAATAGAAGCCATGACAGATGGAAGTCGATATTCCAACATAGCACACGTTATAACCCGTCTTCATTAGTCCAGCTGGAGCACAATAGCAAGACTTTAAACCACACTTCATTTCACAAAAACATGCCGACACATTGTATCGTTATCCACCTACCGATTTATATTGTTCCGATGGTTTTAAGTCCACACGTATAATATCAAATCTTCCAGATACTATTGTATCACCTGAATTACATAATAAATCAATACATTTTACTCAAACTAGAATTCACTGCATATCCCTAAATACACGAAATTATAAACAATTTCAGTGCCAAAATATAATTATCAGACAACATTATGTAAGTATTTGGGCAAATATTGCCCCATTGCTTTGTAGAAAAAATAATGAAGCAGTGGTGCAATACTGACAATTTCGAAAGTAGCATATATGTAAGGTAATCGAACCCCATAACTCAAGTAAGGTATGCCGAAATTAAAAAAATGATCTCCCACCGGGTGGTAGACAACCTTATTCAGACTAAAGCCATTTACGTTAACAATAACATTATATGTGTTAATTCAATATCTGTTAAGCTACTTACACGCTGGACACTTAAAAGCTTTGCTAAACTGTCTGGAACCATCATCATCGCAAAATATATCTATATTTACATGTTAAGTGTTTGTTTTTGAAAAATAATAATATCGCGCCACCACATAACAGCATCACAATGAAACGCTATATTGCCGATACATTGACTACATTGTGAACTTCGTCTAATACGGGCATACCTTGACACCTTAAAGATGCAGCATATTATATATGAGATGCGGGGGGGGGGGGGGGCGTGCAGGATCCAAGGTGGGCTCAATGTCAAGTTTGGCGTGAGGTCTGAAAAAAAAATATCCGCCAAATTCTTTTGGAATTTAATCTAAGGGTCCACATGTTGTGATTGTTCTATTTTCATACCCCTTACCATCCTTCATAATTTACTACTTGAGTCTTAATAAGTATTACGCTGGTTTAAACTTGGATCTAACTGCGTCACCCGAGTCACAAGAACTGTGTAGTGCTCTTCAAACAAATTGTGGTTTGTTGGTGACTTGAGTCTCATTGAATAATAAAAAAGCTTGTTTTCGGTGGATGCGATAAATATCAGCCATTAAATAAGGATACGGGAGCAGGACGTTACCTGAAATTATCAATGACAACGTATAAATTAGAAGTACTCATATCGGTTTTCACTTTTAAATAATTTCTGATTTACCGATTCCGACCCATCCCTCCTAGATCAGCGCTTTTTTAACGGCTATTTTGAGGGCTATGACGGGATACATAATTTGTACTATGTATGTACAGCTTCGTCAGTCTTCCGAAGATTCGGGTATTTATGAGAATTTTTACACACTCTTATCAAAACACCATAAAATATATTAGGCTACATTGCAATGTATCCCATATCTTTCTCCAACTTTTATGTTTGAAAGTGTATCAAAATTTATACGTTGACAATATTAGTTGCAGTTCTGGGTTCCACATTAAATTTTGGTGTAAAGTTAGAAAAGTTGTTGGCATAAAGAAAATGAACAGTATTTCATCCGTTGTTTGCAGGCCTTGGCCGACTAGTCTGATCTGAACTTGCCTGAAGTTTCGGACAATAATATGACAGGTAGAACTAGAAGGCCTGGTACTAGGCCTAGCGGTACTGTCGACGTCGTGAGAGCACATCATATGATTTAATAAAGGTGTTCACCAAAATAGCGTCTTGGTGATGCAGGCATTAGATTTTAGTAGTATTTTAATAATTTAGTAGACACATTTTATATGTGAAATTCTAGAGAACTTGGGGTTGGGCCAGGAAGGAAGCTTTGTCTAGGCATAGCCGCTAGCACCCATAAGAAGAGTGACCGGTCACTTTAAATAACTAGGTTAATTGGTCTCGCAGTCTTGGTACTAGTACAGTAGTACTACGCAGAGCCTTATTATTATTTAGTAGACAGATTTAAGATTCAGACATGGCCGTATTTGAAGTTGATTGAATTGAATTTTCTTTCTTACCTACCCTACTACTACTAGTTAGTACTGTCCCTAGTGTATTTGAAGTGCAGGCACTGGCAGTGTTACCTAGCTCCTGCCGAGAATCAATTTTCGACCTACCCATGCAAAGGCTTCGAGTTCCTTTCTGCATTTTGGAAAGTTGCAGATAAGTGAATCCATGTTTCAGAATTTTTTTAACAAAATAATAGTTGTTTATGTTTACATCGTCTGCTTTCTAAAAATAAAATGAAAAGTCTCGCAAATTATCGCGTTACAATGTACGTCACGGTCACGTTGACGTCAGTGGTATGACAGGTGCGCGTAGTTTTTATTTTCCAGCTCGAATTTAAATGATCTACGTATTCATAAATCAGGTAAGTCTAACCAAAGAATGTAGTTTGTGGGTTCGGTGGCGGATACAGGAAATTTGAAAAGGAGTGGTACTGGTACTGCAAACGATTCTTGCCGAGAGGATCGAGTAAAAATATTGTTTGTGCCTTTGCTTACAATTTCTCCATGAAAAATCCCATAGCTTAAGATTTACAAGTTCAAGTGCCCAATTATTCAATTATTGTCCGTAAGCGTAGAGTAGAAGTTTCGATTTCTTGCCGTTATGTGGAAACACGTACGTGATCTATTACTGATCACGGCAAATAGATGTAAGAATTAGAAAAGACACAATCCCATGCAAGCGGACCCTGCCAAAAAATATTCAAGCTCATTCAGTCTTGGTACTGATGCGCACCAAAATCGAACTTTTCGAAGATCTTATGATAACCCATATTTAAATTTCATCAAAATCGTATAAAAATAGTGGCATGATCTGGAGGTTCCACAACAATGGCATATATATCACATGATTTGCATAGGCGCACGGGTTCGATGGCAGTTAGGGGGCAGAACCCAACATGCCCGAAAAAATTTCGGGTCACACTAGTTACAGGCGGCGACGCCGGTCTTCGATGAGAGCGGAGCTTACCGTGTAGGGCCCACCAAGCAAATTTTGGAAAATTTGACGGCTGCAAACGCATTTCCTGCTATTCTATGGGGCGCCGTTTGTAAATTAATTATTTTGCTTTTTATATATCAAAAAACACTAGATTTAATTTAAATTTATATACATAGTTAAATCTCGACTTTTGTGCAAATTTTTCACTTTTAATATTTAAACTAAAAATACAGCAAAAACTCAATATTTAACATAATATATATTATTCAAAAAAAGTAGGGGATATTTGATTTTTAAGTGTTATTAAAGTCACCTAATGAAACTGACGAAGAAACAAATGATCAAAATGAAATGAAGTTCACATTCATCGATTTATTCCAAATGATCGTTAGACTAAGTAAGGCACAGACTGACCATTATAAGGGTAAAATGATACCCGGGGTCAAACAGCAAAGTTACCACAGCATCACAACCAAGTCAGTAACGGGTAAATCCTCCTCTGTTTGCCAAACAAGCATTGATCCGACGTGGCATACTCCTAATGAGACGTCTAAGGTCATTTCGGTCCAGATTGTCCCATTCCTGTTGCAACGCAGCAGCAAGTTCTTGGACATTGGCAGGACGTTGTTGACGTTGACGTAACCTCTGTCCAAGCATGTCCCAGACATGCTCGATGGGGGAGAGGTCGGGACTCAGTGCTGGCCATGGTAATGTGGTGATGTTCTGTTGTTGGAGGTAACCTGTAACGATCCTGGCCCTGTGACATCTTGCGTTGTCATCCTGGAAGATGAAACGGCGGCCATGACGTCGTGCGAACGGCAAAACATGGACTGCCAAGATGTTGTCCCGGTAGTACTGGCCTGTAACACGCCCTGCAACAACATGTAAAGCCGTTCTTCCAGCAACAGTGATGCCTCCCCACACCATAACAGAACCATCCCCAAATCGATCATGTCTGATGACGTTAACGTCTTGGAAGCGCTCGTTTCGACGACGACACATTCTCCTACGTCTGTCCAAAAAATCAACAGTGAACCTTGACTCATCTGAAAACATCACATTGCTCCAGCGTCGATTATCCCAGTGTTGACGATCCCTACACCAACGACGTCTTGCCTGAATGTGATGATCTCTCAAACAAGGGATCACGCGAGGACGTCGGGCGCGAAGGTGACCCCTATGCAGTCGATTCCGAATCGTCTGGCCACTCACTCTCACACCAGTGTCTGTTTGAAGACGAGCGCTGATCTGATTTGCTGTGATGACACGATTTCTCAAGGCCAAGGTACGGATAAATCGATCCTGGGCTTGAGTTGTCGCCCTGAGCGTGGTCTGTCCTGTACAGATTGTGTATCACGGTATCTGGACCATAGCCTGCTTATGACAGACTGAGAAACATTCATCGTCCGCGCCACAACCGCCTGTGTTGTGCCGATCTGTAGCATGCCAAGGGCACGTAACCTTTCATTTTGGGTAAGCCGACGCATATCAAAATTTGTTTTCTGGTCACTAAAACAATTAAACTGATGTTTCCACCCTGGAATTCAATGCCACAATGACTGTAACATTCAAAGTCAGAGTCGTGCAAATCTTGGGTTGGACCCCCATGATGATCCCAAGCATCACCTGCATTCCATGCGGTAGCTATTGGTGCGTTTGGGCGTCACATGTAACTGGAAATGTTTCTTATGTTAGGTTCTATAGTGACTTTTTTCGTAGTCATTTGCATATTTTAGTATTATGCCCCCAAAATCAAATATCCCCTACTTTTTTTGAATAGTATATATAAATATTTCTTGATTTGTCTCTATTTTCATATTTAACATTTAGCATTGAATATTAAGACCAAAACAAGAGATTTGATGATATATAAATATTTAGCTAAATATTTAGTTAAATGTTTAAACATTTAGCTAAATATATATTTAGTTAAATGTTAAAATATTTAGTTAAATATTTATATATTTAGTTAAACATTTATATATTTAGCTAAATAATATATATTTAGCTAAATAATATATATTTAGCTAAATAATATATATTTAGCTAAATAATATATATTTAGCTAAATAATATATATTTAGCTAAATATTTATATATTTAACTAAATAATTATATATTTAGCTAAACATATAGTTAAATTTACAAAGCGCAACCGTACCACGCTTTTTGTAAAATAATTATTGTTGTAAGCGACTTCACGCTAAACGATGACGTAGTGTACAACTTTCCATTGACTGCACCTTGCCTTGATCTGTGCGAACGGCCGGAGTACCTCGGCCGTGATTCGGGTTACAAGTTCGTGGTCAGCTTCCATTTCTAATTGCTAGTAGCCCTTTTTGTGCCAAGGCTCACGTCATCATTTTATGCGCAATTTTTTGTGTCGCTTACGATAATAGAAATATTGGCGGGACAACAAATATATATTTAGTTAAATATTTATACATTTAGCTAAACATATATATTTAGCATGATATTTATATATTTAGTTAACTGTTTATATATTTAACTAAATATATATATTTAACTAAATGTTTATATATTTAGCTAAATGTTTATATATTTAGCTAAATGTTTATATATTTAGCTAAATATTTAACTTTAGATTTTTCAGTGATTTAGTATTTAGCATTTATACCTACGAAAAACAGCACATTTAGCTATATATTTAACTAAGCGATGTGAAATCAAGATATAACATTTAAAGTTTTTCATAGACCAAAAACTCGACTTTTAGCTACAATATTTTTTGATATTTACATATATGCCATTTTTGTTCTAATATTTATCTAAATATTCGGAGTTAAATCTTATGTTTTTTGCTATAAAAAAAATTAAATAATTATTTTACAAACGGCGCCCCATACTATTCTAGCCCGTGAATACAGCAACGTTCAAAGTGGTCTAAATAGCCTTATTTATTAGGGTGGCTGACTGGAATTACAGTCCAAGGAGACAGTACCGTCGGGAGAAAATTTTGAATATTTAACTGCCGCAAACGTGTTTTTCTGCTATTCCAGAAACTTCAGTGTGGTCCAATATAGTCTTTGCTATAGATGGCTCACCTGAATCGCAAACAAACAATCAATGGTCGTGGGGTATAGGGTCCGCGCTCTCCCGGAGAAAATTTGGAAAATCTAACCGTCGCTAATGCGTTTTCTGCTAATTCTAGCCGGTGAGTTAAGCAACTCCGAAGTTGTCCAATGCTTTTGTGACCGAAATCACACTCGATGCCGACCTGAATTCCAACCGTCCAGCCAGACTGTTGCAACTGCATTCATAATTAATAATCGATGCACACCTAGTCTGGAGGCTCAGTGCGGGGGGGGGGGGGGAGGGTCCATCAAATGGGCACAAACCCAGACCCAACTTTTCTAGAGTAAAATTTTGCGTAGAATACGATTTTGCCATCAAGATGAAATAATACATTTTTTTTTTCACTTTACCCGTCTGCCCGAAAGTAAGCCCCCCCGACTTGTTCGCCTATGATTTGCCACTATTTACGTAAAGGGGAGCGGACATTTTGACGGTTAGTTTCGGTCCGATTTTCACGAAATTTGAACTCCTCCGTGACTATTGTGTAACGCCGATATATTATTGTGCCCTCTGGAGACTTCACGAACTAATAACGCTGTTTTTCGTACCAGCAGGGGCAATAACCCAGGAAATTACGGCCCTATACGTGCCATAATCGAACTCATCCGAGATCTTTGGGCATTTTCATCAAAATCAGTTTAAAATTGTAGGTCCACAAGATAAAAACGCAATTTTTCGTATTATCAAGGGCAATAATCCATAAAGCTACGGTCCGGTCAAAATCGAACTCATCCGATATCTTTGGATATAAACATTTAAGTTTCCTCAAAATTTGATAAAAATTGTGACATGTACAGTGTCCACAGACAAACGACGTCCAGGGGAGACGACATACAAGACGTCCACATGAAAGTGTGGGCGTATAAAAACTGTAGCCTCTATCCCGTGCACAAGGTTTTCGGTAAAGGCGGAATAATTCTGGAATGGAAAGTCGCGTAACGCTGAATATCGATAGGGTTTGTCCTGTCATGATCCCATGGTTCAACTCAAATTTTAAAAACTGTAGCCTCCTGTCGCGTTCACAAGGTTTTCAGCAAAGAGAGGATAACTATTTTTGCTAAAATAAGCATATAACCAAATTTAAGCAAAATCACAGAAGGGTGGGGTATTGGTTACCCAGTTGGGTGATTTGGCATGGTATGACCCTTTATCCTGATGGCTGATGCTCCTACCTTATGTACAAATTCAGCATGGGACAATCTTATCAATTCAAAGTAAAATCAGGACTAAACGGAACCCCCAAACTATATGAGAACATTAACTTGGCAGACTCCTTCTCAGTCCATCCCAATGAGATACCAAACAATAGGCCTATCCACTCATCAAAACTATCCCATTTATCTGCTCGGTTTAATCTCACTGTGCCCCCCAATCAACTGGTGTTATAGGGTAGTGGTGTGAAAATTTAAGTAAACAAAGGATTATAGACTGTATCCTTATTAGTACTGTTCACCTAGTTAAAATTTAATTATTTTAATGATTAAAATATATAAGTTAAATTCATGTGTCATCGGTTATCGCGTATCTTAAATATTATTCACCTACCTTTCATTCAGACAGTACTCATAAATCAATCAAATATATGATTAGAAACTCACTCTCATTATATAAGGATAGTTGTCACCCCCAATTACATTATATCTTTTAAAATGGCTCAAGTTCGCATAGGGTTTATTCCTAATTCTCAAGGAGGTCAAAATTTAGTTAATTTGGGGTATAAGTACAGAGTAAAAAATACGAAACCCAATAGCACCAGCAGACTTTTACTGAAAATACAATAGTTCAATTGGATAAAGGGGGACGATTGCCCCCTAAAAGACGAAAATATAAAAGAGTAGAAGAATCTATTAATGATCTAAAAATCAAACTGTTAAATGGAGTAAATATAGGTTGCCAGGCAAAGAAACATACGCCCACAGCAACTAAATCGTCCGGGCAGTCAACAAGGGTTGTCGCATATTTTTACTTTTTTCGGTAATGAAACATTTATAATACACTAAAATCTGATTAAGAGCAACAACTCACGAAGTAATTATCAGAAAACTATTAGAATTTGTTTGGTTTTTATAAAGTTCTGCCCCATGCTAACGTTTTGTATGCAAAGCTTTTAATATCATGGATTTAACTGTTTAAGTCATAAAAATTCATTGAAAATCAATATACTTGTTCGTCTCAAGATCTTAAACTCTGTGTATCAATCTGAAGTCAATCGGATTATAACTTTAGCCTTTAGAGCATCACAAGATTTTGCAAAGTGATCAAGGGCCATAACTTTGGCAGTAATTATCGGAAATCGTTGAAAATCAATAGGAATCTTCGTCTCATGACCTCAAACACTGTGTATAAATTTAAACTCAATCGGATATTAACTTTAGCCTCTAGAGCATCCACAAGATTCTTTGAAGTGATCAAGGGCCATAACTCTGGCAGTAATTATCGGAAATCGCTGAAAATCAATAGGCTTCTTCGTCTCATGACCTTAAACACTGTGTATAAATTGAAAGTCAATCGGATATTAACTTTGGCCTCTAGAGCGTCCACAAGATTTTTCAAAGTGATCAAGGGCCATAACTCTGGCAGCAAATATTGGAAATCGCTGAAAATCAATAGGCTTCTTCGTCTCATGACCTTAAACACTGTGTATAAATTTAAAGTCAATCGAATATTAACTATCGCTTCTAGAGCATCCACAAGATTTTTTGAAGTGATCAAGGGCCATAACTCTGGCAGTAATTATCAGAAATCGCTGAAAACCAATAGGCTTCATCATCTTATGACCTTAAACACTGTGTATAAATTTAATGTCAATCGGATTTTAACTTTAGCCTCTAGAGCATCCACAAGATTTTTTTTTGAAGTGATCAAGGGCCATAACTCTGGCAGTAATTATCGGAAATTGTTGAAAATCAATAGGTTTCTTTGTCTCATGACCTTAAACATTGTATATAAATTTAAAGTCAATCAGATATTGACTTTGGCCTTTAGAGCATCCACAAGATTTTTTGAAGTAATCAAGGGCCATTACTCTGGCAGTAATTATCGGAAATCGCTGAAAATCAATAGGCTTCTTCGTCTCATGACCTTAAACACTGTGTATAAAATTAAAGTCAATCGGATATTAACTTTGGCCTATAGAGCGTCCACAAGCAATTGTGGACGCCGGACGGGGGCGACGACAATATACGACCACATTTCAAGGTGGGCGTATAAAAAGTGCAATTGAATATACTGACGCCATATCACATTTAGTAGGGTTATGATTTATGTTTGATACATGTATTTGTTGTTACTTTTATGAAATTTTTTGTGAATAAAGTTGTTAATTAGTTTAAACCTAGTAGTTTAAAAAAACAGACTATACTTTTAACACCATTGTATTCGATAATCCCCTTGCTTGATTAATCCCCCCATGAGAACAATAGCAGGGGGCACAGTGAGATTTCCCATTCTGCTCAATGACACAAACTGCAACAACAATAACCCATGTTAGCATTAATAGATAGTTTAGATATTGATAGCAATTGATAAAAAAAACTGAGAATAAAAACCCTGTACACATATAAAGATGAAAGCATTTTATAAGGAATTCAATATAAAAACTAATCACACACATACACGCATTTATCAAAAAAAATCTGGTGCAAATAATTTAACAATAAAATGTATGTACTGGTACTGAAAATAACATATTGATGTATACTTTTTTATAACTCATATATAACATTATAATTTAGTTTAAAGATACATTATGCAAGAGCTAAATCTGTCTATTGCAGGTCTTTCTTTAGGCCTAAAATGTTATCTAAATTATTAATTAGACATTAATTAACCTATCCAGACCATAATCAACTCTAGATGGTTATGCTTGCCTGCGATCTTTAGTGGATTATGAGCCGATTTACTGCATAACTTTCCTTCACGATTTAACGATTAAATGGATAATCAAGACTATGCTGTTTATCGTACTGACTTTAGTAATGATGATCGAGACTACGCGGAAATTTCAACCGCTTAGTTCTCGGTTCATAGCGGATCAATTTGAATGAAATTTTCAGCAAATTGCCTTTACATAATCTAGTTTTTAACTATTATAGTGAGAACTGCCAACTCGTTATCGAATCTCCCATAATGTATCTTTAATTTAAGAATGTTAAGGCTTACCAACAAAACAGCTAATTTTTTTTTATCAGCCTTTCTTCTTCATTTAATTTTAATCACAGATTCAGTTTTAAAATTGATTTTTAATTGTATCAACATTGTTTTTATTGTAGGTATTATACAATATATTTTTATGACAAAATCTTGTACAGAACTATTCATTTCAATATACAGACTGGCAATAAAAATACTGGCATCAAATTAAACATGTGCCAACTAGCAGCTACACAATAATCCAAGCAATAATAAATATTAAATGCTTTTGTTTTCTTGAAGCAAGTAGAAGCAATAACAATAATTCTGTCAATATTGTCCTCAACTTTTGAACATCAGATTGCTATATCTAATTACAGACCTGAAATTCTGTTCAATTCCTAGAAATAATTAGGAAATCCAGTCAAAGCTATGAAGGGGGTTAACTATAATTATCAGAAATAGATGAAAATGGAATGGTCTGTCTTAATAATGTAAACAATGCATACCTAAATTTAAAAGAAATTGTGTGATAAATTTGTTAAGTTTCATCAAGTACCATTAGAAATAGTTGAAAGGCTTCTCCAATAGCAGACCATGACGAGCGACGACGAAATATACAACCACATTAAAATTAGGTCAGAAAAATGGATTGAATATAATTGAAACTATATTTTAAAAGGGCAGAGAATTAGAAAAAAAGATGATTAAAGTGTTTCAAAAAAATTATTAATACAAAATATTCACCAAATACCAAATGCTATTATGAAAATATGATAAATATATAAGAAAATCTCCAATATATGCTGAAAAGATAAACCACTAAGACATATTCAAAATATTCAATCAATATTGATTAAATTAAAAATAAGCCAAATATTATTATTCAAACAAAATGATGATCACACTCACACCAAATGCTTTTTTTTTTTTTCCAACATATGAAAACCATTAAATTTTAATGTGTTTCATTTCAGCATTTACTGATTCTGTTATGATTCTTGGCCAAGCAAGCCTTTAACAAAGTATTCCTTTATGCTTTTAATTAATTTTTCACATTTTTTCTTTTTGAAAATACATTTTGCACAATACCATACATGTGTATTATAACTAAGTGTATAAACGTATTAATGTTTTGTATAATTTTGTTATTAGATAATGATAAATTTTATGTTATATAAATTATTAATTAGACCTTTATTAACACTCTTTGTGCCATAGGATGCTCTTAAATTTTCCAAAAATTTAAACACGATTGGCAGTTAATGATTTAATTAAAAAATGGATAATCAAGACTAGTTATTATAGTAACAATGGTAGCAATGACAATCGAGACTCTGCTTTTCTCCTAACAGCCCTAACGTCACTCAACTTGACTGAAACTTAAAAGGTATTCACTTTTCATTATCTAGTTTTTAACTATTATAGCAAGAACTGTCAGCTTTTATCTAAATCTTACATAAAGCATCTTTAAATAACTAAAATTCAAAGAAAGAGCCTTTTGACATGAAACTACCAAAATAAAACTTTTAAATGTCTGTAAATGGGTTTATATTAATATATTAAAAGTAAAAAATAATAAATTGTGTACTAAACAGTGGTTGTTTCCTAGAAAATATCAACAGAACTGCATCGTTTTAAATAAATATATATTTCACAAGGTGAATACACCTGAAGTGTCAAGTGACACAGAATTTGGTCATGTCATAATTAAGCTAGTCTGGTTTATAGATATAGCGTGTGCAGAATAGTGACATAATATAATATTTCAGATATATATTAAGCATGTGCAGAATAGTGACATAACCCTTTCTGAAATAGTGATTGGGAGAGATAATAACACATGCATTTGACACATGCCTTGTTGCCACTAATTCTTCTTGTTTACACGATTTGACACATTTCATGAGTTTGAAAGAATTTAATTACAGAACATTCCATAATTATTTTTGGATGCAATGTATACATAGGACTCTAAAGAAGAATGCAATACTAGGCTAATAAGGTGTTCAAGGCATCATTTTACCTTTTTTTTTTTGAGCCATGTTTTTAAAGGACTCTATAAACAAGAATGCAGTACTAGGATTATTAGGCATTCCAAGGCATCAGAATCGAACACATTACATTTTGATTATAATATTCACACAATCAAGGAACAAATACTTAAAAAGGAAGAAATTGATTGAGCAAAGAGAGACGTACATATGATGAGAACACATAATGCAAGAGTTTGTGGAGAATGAAATGATTTGTTTCTATATACAAGGATGTTACATATTCAGTTTATTTACATGTAATAAAATTCTAAATTATAAAAAAACAAACAATATATACAAAGGTTAATATAATTTGAAAATTAGGAAAAAAGGAACAAAAATTATAAATACATACATTCTTTTTGTATAAAAAAAAATATAGTAAAAATTAAATTTTTGGTTAGCTATTTTACTTCTACAGGGTTTCAATTTTGGCAAAATCTGAAGAATATTTACCTTTTCAAAAAAGAGAAAAGAAACAAAACTTATGCAAATTTATGCTAAATGTAATTAACGTATATAAACCTGTACCTTAATTAATATTTATTTTAATGAGGCATATCAGGCATTGTCTTGTTAAATAAAGATATCAGACAACAACTTTATATTTTCTCTTACAATAAACAACTATTTGTACATGTAACATAGAATATTTGGTAATCTTAATAAATAACAAACAGTTAATAAATAAGTAGATAATTAATAGGTAATTTATATATCTACATAATAAATAATTCACCACAACCAACTATAAACAACCTATAATACAGTTACACCCATATCACTCGTAGGTACAGATAAATTTTACTTTGGGTTGCTTTTGCCTGTACTGTAGACTTTTAAAAATATATGACTCATCTGGCACAGAATAAGAGACATGTATTGCTAGGTGTACTGTATATTAAATAATACCATCAAATAACAATTAAATGCCCATCAGGTATTTTGTGTTTGTAATGCTGTTACACTTACTTGGTGCATACAGAGACTAATTTTGGCCACTAATAAAATGTCTAGCTTTATTTCTCAATGAGGGAATTTAATTTAATTCAGCTTCATAATAATATTTAATTTAATTAATATAATTATTCCAAAAACCAACCTTTTCTAAAACCATGATTAGAATTACCCAATATTTTTGACTAATATGGGCTGTATGTTTACATGAACACTGAAACACACGAAAAGTTCACCAATGGGCATTTAACTTCCAATATAACTAATATCAATATAACTAATTTTGAGTCAACAGTATGCTGATAAATGGACTGTGTTATCAGAGATATCATAATTTAATTTATTATATTATATTTGATTGAAAAAATTATATTCTTTTATATATATATCTTATTTTAAATTTCATATTGCACTTCACTGGAACATTTCAGAATAAGAAAAATATAAGTTTATCATTAGTTAAAAGGTTGTATAACTTGTATCTGGTGTTTCTGGCTCTCCTGAACAACTAAGAAAACAATTGATACAAATATTGACTTTGTTTAACAATTTATATTGAATTCTTCTTGATAAATATTATGAGAATGTATGTTTAAAGCAATATTGCACTTAACATGTCCGGTTTTATTTTATATCACATCCATTGTATTTCGTATTATTTCATATTATAATTTATATCTGTATTATTTCATATTATAATTTATATCTGTATTATTTCAAGGTTCTTTAACAGCCTTTAATGTAATTGGTTATAGTTTATAATTTATGTTATTATTTATATCACACTTTATGATAAAATATTATTTTATGTTAAATATAATCTATATCACAATTCATGATCTCCAATATTTTGTGTTATGATTTATATCACACTTTATGATCAAATATCATTTTATGTTATAAATAACATCACAATTCATGATCTCCAAGATTTTGTGTTATAATTTATATCACACTTTATGATCAAATATTATTTTATGCTATAATTTATATCACAATTGATGATATCCAATATTTTAGGTTATAATTTATATCACAATTCAGGATATTCAATATTCACAATCAGTATCATCTTATATCCTATAAATCAATATTGCACATTATCATACATATATCAAGAGGTTATAATAAAATCATAATATCAATAATACAATTTATATTGCACTTAAGTTGAGATTTTATCCATCCAATCTTAGAATTTATATTGCACATGTGACACTGTAATTAAATGGTGTATATCATATTTTATAAGCCCCCCCCCCCCCCCCGACAAAAAAAAGAACACATCTTATAATCTTCAGCCTACACAATTAAATTCAATCTGACCCTTTTCTATTTTTTTTAAAACTAATACCCGGTATACATATTTTGTTGTTTATAGTATCTAATATGTATACCAGTATAACTTAGCATCCAAAATCACAGTACAATATCCATAAGGAACAATTAAATTTTCTATTTGGTTTTTAAATATATTGAAGGAAGCCATGAGGATTTTTTTTTCTCCAAAATTGATTAAAATGTAAATAAAGCAAATTGCTCAAAAATAATAATCATAAAAAAGATAAATAAATTGAAGAAAACCTGAAAAGTGAAGCTGAAGTGCAAAGGGAGAAATTTGGGTTTTAAATAATAAAATAATAATAAAAAAATTCAATCCTATCGACAAATATCTTAAATATACAACAAACAAAAATCCTCTTAATCAGATGGAAAAGTATTATCAATTTACAAAATCTTCAGGAAAATACTACACATCTTCATCAAGGCATGGACGCGACATAGAAAGTTGTATTTACACATTTTGAATCTCTAAGACGAAAACTAATACTTTAAGACAAAATAAGTAAGTTATTTATACCATATAGCCTACTGTTCGAAAATAAATACTGATTTCAGAGTAGCTAATCTTTTGAATAAAAATAACATTTGATTAAAAACTTATGTTACATTTCAGTATCACATCAAGTTAATATATTTCAATGGCAATCTGTCACAAAAATTACTAAAGTATACTTTAAATAATAAATTTACAATTTGATCAGCGGTTGACATTTGATGCCAGAGAGTATTTCTAAAATAAATACTGACAACAGGAGCTGATTCTCCTTGAAAACAAAACATTTGTTGGCTAACACTAAATATTTAGGTTTTTTATATTCCAACAGCCAACAATTAGGAATGGGAAAACCTCCAGCACTTAAGGGAAGAAAATCAAATGGAATTAAAATAATAATAGTAATTTGGGTAGTTTATCAGCTGGCTGAGTTAGTGAGTAGCCAGACTATAGATAACATTAATGAACAAGAAAGAAGCAGATTTAATGTATTATGATAAAATATAGATCCACTTCCACATTTACTTTCATCTTCCTACAAAATAATAGACATATAATACATTACAATACAAGCTTGCAGTCATTACAATTATTTATATCTTCAAAATTGCAGATGATTTGTCTTTTAACAGATGTTAAATACTATACCTATCAATGTGAAAGTAATAAACCAGATAGCTCTGGCCCAAAAACTTTCTGCTTTGTGTCCAACAAATCTGACAAAACAGTGTTAATGTGACCTATACTTTTGGTTGAAAGTATGCAGAATACATGGTGGATTAGGACAATGTTTCCCTAAGTCACTCCATGAACTTTATAGCCAATTACCATATAAATAAATAATCCAATTTTTTATCCAGACCAATAGTTCTTGATTGATCCTTTCCCAGAATTGCTGGTACCAATATATAACATAATTTTGTTCATGTGTTACTAGCGCCATATTTTTATGCTTCAGTTTCTGTTATTGGATAGATGTTTTGAACAATTGGTAATTTATTTGATAAAGACAATTTGTATTACATAACATATGACATACTGACCCTGTCATCTTGATCATAACAATTCATTGGATGTTTTCTGTACCGAGGTTCTTCTGATAACTGACAGATTTCATCATCTTCCTCTGTAAAAATAAATAATTAACTTGAAGAAGTTTTCTTTACAAGGCCAAACTAATTTGATTTTCTGTTCTTCAGTAGCAAGAACAGACAGCTCTATATCTAAATCTTTACATAATGCACCTTTAATTTAAGAATATGTGGCCTCTTAAAATGCTTTAGGTATATTTATGTCCCAATCAAATTTGGAATTCTTGGATAGGCCTGTATGTAGTAAAACAGCAAGTTTTAAATAGAGTTTGCCAGGAATTGAAACATGACAATCAGTGTTAGCTATTATACAGTAAGCTTCTTCACCTAATACCCTTCTCTTGTTTAGAGTGTACAAAAGGTTTCCAGGTAAGGGGCATTAACTCAAAATTGATAAGGCTAATCTCTACTCCATAGATGAACAGTGATAACAGATAGTAACCCATGTGCTTGTCTGTATCGTAAATTGATACTATACTGATATTTTACACAGGACAAATGGCTAGTGAAAATTTAAATAGGCTAGAAATAATAATGAAAAAAAAAGTATTGCCTACCATCATCACTGACTTGTTGGGGTTGTTGTAATAATGGTTTATACATACTACATTCCTGACATATAGGATCCGTTACTACTAGTATCAAATTATTTTTTGTTAATCTTACTGCTATTACTTTCCTATAAATAAATACAAAACATAGTTCATGTCAACATCTTCTCTTTCTTTCATTTATTAAAATTACATTACAAGCTGTGATCGAGAACTCCTCAGAAGATTATCATTTACTTAATAATGGCAATTCGAACAAGACACCATTTGAGAAGTGAGAAAGTAATTTGGTTCCTAAAAACTGAAGTACTAATGAGTCCTATCATTATTAAACATATATTATGCAAGAGCTAAATCTGCCTATTATAGGCCTTTCTTTAGGCTTGAAATGTTATATGAGTTTTAACTAGATTAATTTAAAAATGGGAAAGCGAGGCTAAGTCTTGAATATATCAGTGCTCTGGTTACCAAAATGCACACATCTTGTCAAAACTACAAACATTATTAACTTGAGTCTGAAGCACTGATGGGATTTCAAAATTTTACTTGTCGGACATTTTACCGAAAATAAAGGGGCATAACTCTTATCGTTATTTAAGAAGACGAATTCGTACCACAATTAAAAGTCACATGTCAAAATATTCAAATCCCGTACGTAATAAAAATAGGTGAACCTCGCTATTTTTCATATTTAATTCCCGTACAGTATTCAATTCATACCACAATTAAAAACCACATGTCAACAAAATATTCAAATCCCGTAATATTTTCGTGACATGTTGAATGAAAGCTTGCCGATCCTGCTTCGGCATCAAATTCACAACCATAATATTCCTTTAGAATTATGTGTCTTCGTTTATACGGCAGCAAAATATGAATGCAGAACTTTCGAAATAGTTAAATCACTTGTAAACAGGCAAAGCTAACTTCAGCGAATAACACTCTTTCATAGTCACGACAGAGTGACAGGCATCATAGGCAACACAGCAGAATGATTGACGCCTACAAATACGTTAGAATTTCTGCTCATATAGCTATTGGTAGCCCCTCCCCTTTTTGTTATTTTGCTGGGTGCGTACTAGTCTCGGTCACCCAGAAACTCCTAGTCTTCAATATATTCGTAGAATATTTTTCTGGATAATAGAGACTAATTGCCTACGTGACTCATCACACGGCTTCATAGTAAGCACTGCCTAATAATATGTTAAGCAATATTCGTGCCGCGCTCGAGATCAAGGGAAAGTGCCACCATGGATGAGAATTTCTATATGGATTCTTAAAAGACGTAAAAGATATCGTAGACAAAATGACTGTCCATTGATTTAGGGTGTTATTTACTCTTACGATATGTGACATCTATGATTAGTTTATTATAGATGATGTCGGCTCACATCAATGCGATTAAGATGCCCGACAAATGAGGTGGATTAAAATTATAATCATTCTTATTGAATTGATGAATAGTCCGACAAAAGGAAAGCAATGACTTCTGTTTAAGATTAGATTGATGAATTGTCCGACAAAGGATTAAGTCAGTCAATCAAGGCAGATTAAGTAGTTAAATCAAGGTAGGTTTATACTATAGACGGTATAACACGATAAATACGTTGATCACTTAATTACCTAATAAACCCAGCGTATTATTGACGATAATCGGGTTGAGTGGTAGTTATACACTCAGTAAACTATATTAATTTGGAATATTATTCACCATGTCTTGATGTCCGATTGGGCATATTCCCGGTCGGACAATTTTGGGCGTTTGGAAAAAAAGATTTGGACAAGTCCGGAATATACGGGCAAAATCCCATCACTGGTCTGAAGGAACACTGCCAGATTGTCCTCATTCTTTTTATAAACACACTTTCAATAGTTTTCTTAAGTGCATATAAGAACAATACTTATAAAAGAAGCTAAATCGCTAATATTTGGGACCTAGAAATTGACATATGTAATATGAATGTATATAAACTGATTTACATTCAATCGTTTACGTTTTTACTCTAATTTCAAATCAGTTATGTTCGGCGAAATATGCCAGAAGCCTCAATCGAATGCGCATGTTCTCCAGATAAGAATATACGTCACTGTTTGACATGATTTGTGGAATATGTCTAGCGTCGTTACAAATGGTGTTGAAACGCATTATGGTGCACGATTCGTGTACCAATGGTAAAATGTTTATTTTGTCTTAAATATTGGATATCAGGAGCCCATCTTTTCCCGGTAAGATCACAACATCAATGCTGACTTAAATTGACAAATAATTGTGTTTTCATTGTCGAAGACTTTGGATGATATTGAGTTAGCGACTTTGCTACTTTAAATCAACTCACCTTGTACAATTATCACAAATTATATTATCATCATATTTATCTTCTTCACCATAATAATACTGATACATAACTTGAACACATGTCTTTACTTTTGGTATCTCATCCTCAACACCGTATACTGTCAAAAAAACACAAAATTCATATCTCTAAGCATTAACCAAGCTGTATAAAGAAGCCGGCAAAGTCAAAAAGGACATCAAAATTTAACCAAAAGATATGTTTGGGTTATATTTGTCAAAATGTGAACTGATCATGAATTTAAAAATCCTGTCAGTTCTTCTTTACAGATAAAGAAAATAAAAAGTAATATAATAAAGAGATGTTCAACACTTTATCAAACAAATTACACAACAAAATTTGAATATAAAACATACCATAAGTTGGTTCTGGGAAAAGCCAACTGAAATGACAAAAAAATAACAAATTATCTAAATATTTTAACAGGAAATCCTTTTCATAAACCATAAAATATGAATACTTTACTTTATACTTTCACTTAAACATGTGACAATATCAACTATTGTACATAGTACATGTAAATTTAACTACTTCAGTACAGTAAAGTAAGCTTACAAGTAAAGATATATTCTATGGTACTTACTTGTAAATATTGAAGTTTATATATAACCTGCAAAATATTATGGAACAATCAATTTTGACCTTTATAAACAGAAGTAAACATAGAGTTGCCAGACAATGCATATAAACCCACCAGCAGTTTTTTTGAAGAGCAGCTTTCAAATTTCAGAGTAAGAATAACTATGCATAACATAGATGGGAGAGTCTGAATTCTAATATAAATCCTCCTTAGGATTAGGGCAACAATAGCAAAAAAGTTTGAAAAGAAAATATCAGACATGTAAAATGTTCACAAGGTTTAGGAGAAAAGGACCAAAAACTGTTATGATACTCTAAATATATACAATCCAATCGTTTCAAAAAACATTCTCAATGTGCAATTCTGTATTCCAATAGAGTTCCTTGGTCCTGAGGAACAGTGTAGAAGTAAAGTGACTTGATGAAAACAGAAACAAATTGTTAAAACATAAGTAGATATTAAATTATCAAATTCAATGTGCATCATTTTCTATATAATATTGGTAAATTAGCAGAGGTACAGAAAACAAGAATACAATACACACCATGAAAATTTAGCTGACCACCAGTTCACTGATAGAAAATCAAATAATAAATTGATGGAGGGCTGAAAATATACAAATATGTTTCATAGAAAAGTATAATTCAAGGAAACTTTTTGATACATACATTCTTGCATGTAAAAATTCCCTTAATTTCATAAAGTTTTACCAAATCCAGTGAATGGAACCAGGGATTGACTGCAACTTTTCTCTACCATCATTCATTGAAATACACATCATCACAGTGACATACTGAATTTTGAATCTGCTGCAGCTCCTAAAATATTTTCTATTTAGTAAGACTTTGTATAGACTCTTGACTAATGTGTTCCCCACCCCACCCCTCCCCTTTTAACAAGCTACATAAAATCAACATTATCATAACCTTAGTACAGCAGAAGCCTGTTCAGTAACTAACCCTGATATTATTCAACTTACAATTTTAAAGGCAGTAAAACCAGCACTGGTAGTATCATCATCACGGATAACACAAGATGCTTGATAATTCAAATGTTTGTTTCTGTGAAAATAAAAAGAAAGTTATCTATGAATAAACAATCTCTCAAAAATAACTTTATGTGGCTTTCAAGTTAGTACATTAAACAATTGAATTTTCTATTGATCTTATAATGATAAGAAAGAAGTAAAATAGAAGTACAAAGGTGGGTACTTTCTGACTTTATAAAGGACTGTGTCTAAAACCAATTATATGATGAGTGTACTTTTTGAACAAATAGTCAAAATATCGCGAAAAAATTTGAGAGTGAACATGATACATTTTAATTGAATAATGCGCAGGGACCTGGTCTTCATAAGTTGCCGCTTTCGTCATCGCTTAAACAAGTAACTGAATCTAACATCTACCTGAACATAGATTTAGATGCTAACAATTCGTTTCTACAAACCTGCCATTTAAAGACTAACCTGTTATATACAGAAACATTCAATAATCTCTCCATAACACTTGGATCAATTTTACCAAAAAATTCTCCAATCTAAAATGAAACAAATTAAACAAAATTACAAGGCATAATCAAATTATTGCACCATAATATGTTATAATTGATTTCTTATTTTCTCCATCGACTAATAAAAGGGGAATGACTGGCTTATCTAAATGAATGGGTTGAGAAAAAGAGACCATTATTTTCTTTAGCAACCAATTGCCATCACCTTGTAGCAACTATCTGTCAGTCATGATAAATGTATTTAACAACAACTATTAGATACAGACAATTAGATTTATAGTTGATGTCAAAACATAGTTTATATGTGAGTTGTTTTTACAAACAGTATTCGTAACTCTTACATTCATTCATAACTAACCTTGGGAACTAAATCTTCCTGGTTAGTTGAGACTAAGAAACCACCATCGTCCAGTAAATGACAAGACAAATAATCTGATTCATTACAGTGATAAGCTAAAGGATATTGTATACCAAATTTCTCTGAATCATTGATGAGTTTCTCCTGTATTTTGTCATGAGTTATTTTTACTCCAACCACTGAAAAAAAAACCCCAACAGATATGATGCTGTGTAAAAGATCATTTAGTAGTTGATATCTAATAATGCATAGTTATTAAATTTTTCTGAAATTGAAGCCAGTAGCTCTCATCATTATCATTTTTCTTTTATGAGAAAAAAGAAATATGGAACATCCCTTTTAACGTAGAATGACCTACTTTGAAACTCCTGAGTCCAATTATAGAAGAATGGCATAACAAAATATGCAAACAATATGAACAATCTTTCTAAAAATAAAGGCTTACATTTAAAGCATTTAATATGGACAATCTTTCTAAAAATAAAGTTCTTGAACTTTTAAAAACATTGAAGAGTAAAGAAGGCTGTAATATTTTACCTGCTGGTTTGTATATAACTCTAGACATTGTACCATCTTTAATATTAATAGAATGACTGACCATTATCTGTGGTATACCACTCTCATTTTTAGATAAATCTGAAATATTATTTTACAATAACATTCACTGTAAATAACATACAAAACTCACACATCTGGGTTTTAAAAATACCATAATTCACTACAAAAGGTTGTTCATCAGGCCAATATGTGCAATTTGATTGGTAGCTAAGTTTACATGATCTGAACACAGGTTTCAATGCTGATTATTCTTAATGAAAAAAAAACACCTTATATAATTTGTGTGAAAGTCTTTTGGCATATCGTGGAACAAAATAATGTGATACATGATATATTGCAACACAATCTGATTAAAACACAGATTCATTTCGTTTTTTTATAGTTTATATTTCGTTTTATTTGTCTGTACTACACTAGGATCTGGAAGTGTTGTTATATAACCTGCGTTCTGGATGGTGTGAGGGATCAGCCAATGACACCATCTTGGTGTGCGATGCATGGAACTGTGGGTAAACCACTAGAAACGTCAACACTGACAGATTTATCAATGTCTAATGTCATAGGGTCAAAAGCCATCGTACGACCCCTGACACGACCTCCCACTACAACTGGTCAGATCTTCATGTAGTGTAGGTCATCGAAAGTATAAAAATACGAAACAAAATATTGATCTAATCAGACTGATTGCAACAGGTCTAGCAACTATATGCTATTGATCCCAATCCTGTGGTATAAATACATATATCGCAATACATGAGATATCATGACAGCCCTAGCAACTATTGATCCAGATCCAGTGGTATAAATACAAGATAAAGTCAATAAGTATTAATATTTACCAATAGGTTCTGGTGGTACAAACATATATTTATCTGTATTTAATGTTCGTTTATAATAATCAGCCTTCCATGTATCTCTATATTCTTCCATTGTCTGATTTTCACTGAAATTTCAAGATTTCATCTTAACAATATGCATATTATGAAACACTCCCTCCCCTGGCTAAGGTTATGCTATAACCTTGGGTTCGAGAGCATTAAGTATTTTTTAAATCCTCTGGTAATTTGTACGATAGTTTATGTTTTTGAGTCATTTTAGCTCATAGATATCAAACACTGACCTACATCTCTTCTACTCCCCTATTATTTTTCTAAGTTCCCTACTTATTATATCACTGACCAACTTCTCCTCTACTCCCCCTTCCCTATTTATTCTATCAAACACTGACTATTTATTCCTGGACTAAACCAGAATTTGATATCTGGAGAGAAAGAAGAACTGTATCAAAACCTACCTGTGTTGGTATATCTGTGTTAATCCACCATTAGTAGCCACGAAAGCAATAATTAATCCATCTAATTTACCCTCTGATTCTAACCTATATAAAATAGAAAGAAATTTTTTTTACATGTGTAGATGGTGTGAAATTAGTCGTTATTAACTAGCTGTGTGCATTTACAACATTGCATGTGGTATTCAATCTTAGCTTTTCGCATGAATTTATTCATATCTATTTTTTTCATCAGTATCATTTTCGAAACGAATAATCAAATATAATTAAGTCAATTTACTGAATATCAAGTAAAAGTTCTCAACCTGTCGCAAGCAAGGACCAGGAAGTTTTACTTAATATCTGTCAGGATCAAATCACCCGTCACAACTAGTAGACAAACGTACATTTTAAGGACTATATTGTACCTTTAACCTCTATGTACATCTTGTGCAATAATACAATAATTCCCTGCCCAGAATCAATACAATACATTTGAATTCATTGTTTGAAACTTTTTGTTAAACATACAATGCAGCAGTAGGTCAATAAGCATTTTCCTTACTTATGCAAATATAAGGACTGAAAAGTGTCCTGGAATTTTGGGACTTTATAGTGGTAAGTAAAGCTTGCCCAGTTGTAACACAAGACCATAGTACCCCAATAATTCATATTTATAAAAATATTATAAGACTTACATTGTATAATATTTCTCTAAACTGTTCATAACTTTAAGATCCCAATATAACTGAAACAATAGTTCTTTATTCCCTGTATAAAAAGAAATGTAAGCAGAATTAATTGTTAGTGAACATGTTCATACACAGTGCAAATCTTGGTTAAAAAACATCTTTTTAAATCCTCGATGAGCCGGCCAGTCGCCTTACTTCATGAAGTGGGGACCAATTACAAATTTTCTATAGCTACTTTGTCCTATGTGCTTGGCTAAAAGCGCCACAGATCTAGATCTGTAACTAAGATGTTTTATCAGTTAATGCTCACAGTTTGAATGTATTACTATACTTACAACATGAATCATTAGCAGATCTTTCTTTTAATAACTGAATAATATCATCAATAGTACCACTCAATCCATCAAATCTACTCATATTCTCACAATAATCCCTGTATATAACCAAACACAAAGTTAGATAATTTAAAACATGATACAATTAATTTGACTTATATTTGTCTATGTTTTAAATTACTGCAGCTTGGCTTTCATCTTTGTCCACTAAAATTAGTTACCTAAGACCATTATTACTACTGTAAATTTTAGCGATAGAGCAATAAAAAAAAAAAGAAAACTAAAACCATACAATGAATGGTTCATTATATTTATACATGTTTGTATGCTTGAAAACCATAAGAGAAAACTTGACGAAACATCGAGAGAACATTTGATAAAAAGTTGAACCACATGTATAATAATGTCATATACTCCTTTACTAAACCAACTTATTCATATTATTAAGGAATAGTGGTCTGAACCCTTCTCGAGTTCTTTGTGTTAATAGAGTAACTTCCCTTGATTAATAAAAGGCTTTGATCCTAGATGGAATTCTGGGATGGAGTGAAATGGAAGATGGCTGTTTTTAATTAGCTCTTCTGATTGTCATAAACAATCCAGGCCATCTTGTGGCCTATACACCCCAATACCACAATAAATCAGTGATCATCTTCCATATGATTAATTGACTTCAGACTAAAGTACCCAGTAGGCCTACTATAGGAGATTGTTGGTGTGGTTTTAAGTCATGATCATCATGATCATACAATAGTACAGAAGTTTTAACAATAATATCATCAAAGGTAACTAACAGCCAAATAAGAGGAAGCCAAGATGATTTTATTGGGGATTTGTCCATTGCTATCACAAACATTCAGGAAATCTGTGACAAGTATTCACACATTAGGCTCTTTAATAAGCACAGCTTTTTTTGTAGGGATGATGAACTTGAAATTACAATTGTACATGAATGTCCCAGTTATACAATTAACTATTGTTTTGATATAACAAACAGGAGCCTGGATGTCAAAATTCAGATGTAAAGAAACCTTCTTATAACACCTAAAAAATTATCAATAAAATTAAAATCTAGTGAAATGTATCCTCAAACTTACCATGGTGCTATCATTCTTACATAGGAACTTGACTTAAATACAGAATGATCTGGAAAATAAGATAGAAATCTTCAATTCAATTATCCTTTTAATGGAGATAGAATACCCTAGACATTTCTGAGCTCAGTTAAGATAAATTAAATTTTATATTTCAGCAATGGATCGAAATATATGTTTTAAATGTTGCATACATTCTAATTTGGACATTCCCAGTGTATCTGTATAACTTCAACTCAAATTGATTTTTTTTTCTTAAATCATCCAGTGAACGATGACCAAAGAAGCATACTTTGTACTTTATTACTAATCAGAAATGAATGTGACTTTAGGTCACACTTAAAGCATGAATTCCTTGGTTTAGAGTATCTTTTAGTAAAACAATGAAATATGATATAAAACAATTTTTTTTCCAGAATGCAAAATAATATACATGTACTTACTAAACATCAGAATATCGCCTAAAAACTTAGGATAGGATGCCTGGTATGTTGGAATGGAAACACCTAAACTGAAAATGTAAAAACAAAGAAATATAATACAGACATAATTCAATCTTGTACTATGCTTAATTTATTTAAAATAGCATTACATGTTCATTTCATTTTTTTTGTTTTGTTTTTGTTAATCTACACTGTAAGTTATCAGAGCCAAGTACTACTAGCAATATTTCTATGTACACTATCTGGACCAATCAGAGACATTCTTACATATTTACACAGACCCACAGGCCAATAGGAGTCAAAGAATATATGTCAGATGTAAATGTAGTATATCGAAAATAAATAATATTTAATCAGAACCGTACATGCTATTCTAAGAAATTCCAAGAACTATGCTCTGAATATGAGACAGAGAGGGATGGACTGAGGAGACTGTGAGTATGGTAGGCTGGGAGGCCCATAAACATATCAATGCTCTCACATATTTTTGGCGGCTTTCTAGAAATTAGGGGATCACGTGGCTAAGTGGGCAAGACGCTGGCTCGCTAGCCTGGAGGTCGGGTGTTCGATCCCTGCATTGGCCGAGAAAGTTCATCCAGATTTTCCGGTGTGGTTCTCCCTTGTCAGTGATGCAGGACGGAGGGGCTGACAAGGAAAGCTGTCTAGTCGTTCGGATGGGAAGAAAAACCGAGGTCCTGTGTACAAATTGGCATGCACGTAAAAGATCCCTTGGCAGATGGAATTTGATATAAGAGTAGGCCGTAGTGCCGCTGTCCGGGCAAAATTTCCCTCATAGCACACTGTATGGCGTATGCCCGTCTTCATTAGCCCAGCATAGGAGCAGAACAGTAGGACGTTAAACCCCATTTCATTTCATTTCATTTCATTTATTTCTAGAAATTATGTTGTTCATGTATGAATTGGTAAGATTGCTACAGGATATACTATATATATCATTACAGACAGCTTTTCCAAAGGTTTCTTGTACTTGAGTGAAGAGACTACCCTAGAGTGGAAGTCTCTCACTGGGCCAGGCTCAGGGGCCTAACCCTGGACACAAGACAAAGATCTAAATTAAAGAATGCATGGATGGCATACATACCTAAATGATGTATTTTTTATTGATGTAAAGGCATAGGTTGTATTGGCTCTGCTCACATATTTCTGAAAGACAAGACATAATCAATTATAAGTTTTAACGAAACAGATTTTACCGATCCCAAAAAACAAACCAATATGATTAATGGGTCACATGGAATGCTGATTTTACTATTCTAATATTCTATTCCATACTTACATACTATTCCAATATTTTATTCGATATTTACCAGGGTATATGCTATTACAATATTTTATTCACTACTATTCAAATACATTATTCAATTCAAATGATCAATTTTTAAACTGTTTCTGGTGCATTTTCAGATTTCTAGAAAATATGAATCTTTTAAATCAAAATATTCTCCAGTATTTTTGAATATTGGTTGCTTTCAATTTCATATCTAACTTATTTTAAGCAAATGTTAAGATAGAAAATAAAATATATGACAATTCATTGAACTTTCAAAATATTATGAGTTAAACTTTAACTTCCAAATGGAATAGACAGTTAACACTGATTACATAAGAAAAGTAAGTTACTTACCAAACTAGGCGATAAAACCAGTGTATCTATATTCATAGAATTATCATTACCATCTATCATAAAATTCCTCAACTACAATTTAATATGAAATATACATTGACCAATAACCTATGCTTGTATCAAATGGCACAATTTACCCCAATTACTCATAATATAAAAAGTGAATACATAAAAATAACGTTTTAAAACTATTTATATAGTAAAAATTAATATATAAAAGTGACGAACCGATACAAATAGATAAAGCTTACTTTGTGTTTATCAGGATTATTGATTTCAACTTCTAATAGATCAACATCTGGTGGATCATCTAGATAAGTTTCCTATAGATAATATAAAATGATAGAGATGAGTTTCCTATTTGTTCAGGGTTTGGCAGCTACACATAGGTTTAGCTTCGAATGAGGAGCATCATAGGCCTGGTGGCAATGGACTACCACTTTCGGTTTCAGAGTTCTACTACTTCCGGTTCATGGCTATACCCATGTTATGCCTGGCTAGTAATGTACAATGATATGTCTAGATGAGTTTTCTATATAAGGATATGTCTAGATACATGTAGGTTTCCTACAGATAATACATAATACGTCTAGATAAGTTTCCTATTGATAATATATAACTAAATGTCTAGATAAGTTGCAGAGAGAGAGAGAGAGAGAGAGAGAAACCGGCCCTACTCCTTGTCATGTACAAGCGGGAATTTGAAACCACAGGAATCTGAAACAACGCCACTTGACTCAATGACAGGCCTTACAATTTCACGCACACGTTAAACCACTAGACCACCCACCACCCCTAAGTTGCCTATAAATAATAATATTCCTAAATATATGTTTCCTATCGATATAATGTCTAGATAAGTACACATAAGTTTCTTATCGATAATAAATAATGATATGTTTCCTATCAACAATCTATAATGATATGTATAGATAAGTTTCTTACAGATAATACATAATGATATGTTAGGATATAAAAACAACAAATTCATTACATTTAATATCTAGGCGAAAGTGATAAGGCCTCTTTAAGGTACAATCCATTTTCAGTATCAAAATTGAAAGTTTTTATGCATAAGGCTAAAGATCTGTTGAAGATTGACCATGGGGCATGTAAAATATAATTGTAGCCAACATTTACTTACACTAGGCTTCAGGTTTGGATGAAAAATTACATAACCATTGGGATTGATAGCAAAAGCATATCCATTAGGTCCAAGCTGAAAGAGATTAGAATTTTAACAACAATAATTAAAATTAAATCTTTTAAACTGACTACAGAAAAGGTAAGTCTGTACATACTAGAGCCACGGTGGCTAAGTGGAGGCGCTGGCTCGCTAGCCTGGAGTTCATGTGTTCGATCCCTGCATTGGCTGAGAAAGTTCACTGGGATTTTTCAACGTGGTTTCCCCTTGTCAGTTATGCAGGATGGAGGGTCCAACAAGGACAGCTGTCTAGTCGTTCGAATGGGACGAAAAACTGAGGTCCCATGTATACATTGGCACGTACGTAAAAGATCCCTTGCCAGTTGGAATTTGATATAAGAGTAGGCCATAGTGACGCTGCCCGGGCAGTCGGTGCAGAACAGTAGGACGTTAAACCCCATTTCATTTCATTTCTGTACATGCTAACGAGTATTTACATTTACAAATGCAATTGAAGAACAATTATCCTGAGAAAAATTCTATTTGTCTTCCACTTTGTGTGGTTTCAGAAAAATGCTTGAGCATATTTTTTAACATTGAGTACATGGAAAGTATAATACATGTAATATGTTTACCTGGCTTTTTGGAGCTTTAGCTTCTAAATCACCAGTTGTAACATCAATACCCATTACTCCTAAAATTGTCTGATTTGACTGAAAAAGTGAAAATATTGCTTTGTATACTGGTACTGTGAATCTGAGTGGGGTCCCAAAGAAGTCCTAAGAACAATATTAAGTGCTGTGTATCTGAGTAGGTCCCAGGAAATCTTAGGGATAACATATTAGAAACTGTGAATCTCAGTTGAATTGCATTGAATTCCATGGAACAACATTAGGTACTATGAATCAGAGGAAGATCTAATAGGAGCTCCACAGTCATTACATACTAAGAATCGAAGTAAGATCCTCAGACGATATTACCATAACCCTGAATTGTATTCCACAAATTAATCAGTTCTGCTATATATATAAGAAACTGGCAATATGCCATGCAGATGTGAATTATGATTTCCAATGCATCACATACCATTTAGACTGTGTGCTTAACCTCCCTAATAAATGATAACTTCAAATTTAAGTAAATATGTAAGGAACTCATATTCAAGATTACTTACCGAACCAGCTGTTCTGTTATATACTGGTAATGTTACTGTAGTCATCATTCCCAAACCCTGTTAATACAGATATTATCAGTTCAATCTGGCTTTAAATACAGACTCAATGAGATGAGTATAAATTGCTTGATATTTCAAATTTTGTGAAAGATTCAATTTTGATAGAAAATAAATTAGTGTATACATTAAATTTTGATGAGTTGGTAATTAAAAAACACCTCTTAATTAGGGAAATATAGCTTTAAAATTTAGACAATATATAAAACCAAATAACTGTTTAATAAATAGTATCATTTAAATTATAATTGCACAAATATAGTCACACTAATACACAACAAACATTCACAATGACTATTGCACAGAAAAATAATTACGATATACAGTGTATATATCATGCGCTTTCTTTGTTACACATCTGATTTGAAGTGCTGTTAGTATTTTTGAGAGAATAAAGAGTCGTTTTAGCAGATATTTTAGTGATTAGTAAATTCAACCAATCCATTGAATTATAGAAAAGAATAGAGCCAAATGAAATTCGATAAAAGAAAAAACTTTAACCATGCTAGTTTGAATGATAATGGGTGATATATGAGATTCATGTACATAGTATTATATTTTACCCTATAATAAAAACAATTGTTGAATTACCCTTCTTTAGAAATCATTTCTTCAAAACATTTCATAAGGTACCAAAGAATGTGCTCATTCAAATAGCAAAACTCTTAAATTAATAAAAGTAAATATATTGTGCAATCAGTCAAGTAAAACCAAAGATAACATGACATTTTAACATAACTATGTCTAAAATACAAATGTTTAACGGAATAAAAACATTTTATAATGTTGTGTTTTAATTGGTCCATATTTTAATACATTTAGGTGAAAATATACAATCGCTCACAGAAACTCTTAATGTGGAAGTTGGTGTATGGAACTACATCACAATCTATCTTCAAACTTGATAAGCAATAACTGCTGACACAATATTTTTAAATCCTAATTCTTAATGCAGAAATTTGTCATGCAATGAAATATCATTGTCAGTAAGCAGTCCAAGAGACTGTAGTCTATTACCAGTTAAAAGTGTGGGGTACATTAAACAATTATATGAATATGTATGCCTACAATTTAATTGTTGCAAACTCCTTAAATAAATTCAAGTAACTGATTATATGATTCATAAAATCAACATTTTTCTTATATTTTTAAATCATGACATAATTCTACCTTAGATGATTTTAAATTAACTTAAATCGAGAAAAACATCTTTAAAATATTAAAAAAAATACATCACAAAAGTTCATTCAGTGCATTCTCTAGAAGATAAGGATTACTGTCAAGTCAATTTATTTTTAAAATTTATAATTTTATTCAGCTTTAATAAGATTGAATAAATGAGAATGCACACTAAAATTTAAGCTGAAATAAATGGATGCAGTAATTACACAGACTTTTATCATATTGTAAGCTCCGAAGATTGTATATCATGTAGGACAGGCTAGTAAATTCATACTATGATATTATGTTTGTATTCTATTCATTGTTCCAGTCTGAAGAACATTTTGCAATATTTGCAACAATTGGAGTTTCTGTGAGACCTAATTACTGTGCTGTGAAAAAATATATAGAAAATAACTGAACAACATTTATATGTGGAAAAAATAACAAATGGCAATATCTGTTGTATTTACGTCTTCAAAAAAGTTTTTGTACATGTCATGATGACTAGGTGGTATTAATTTTAGTATACTTTATTAATTAAATAATGAATTTTGAGTGATTGAAATTCAACAATGATATGTTCGTCCAAAGGATCATGGTTGAATAAAACAACGGAAATTGGAACAAGGAACAACAGATATGGTCATTTTACTATAACAAACGTCCACATTACGTGTGTGTATAAAAATACATGTATATGTATTGACTGAGGTTATACCAAATGATCCGAGTATATGGTGCCCCATTCAAAGTGCTTGGCATTCTTTAGCACCTGTGGGCGTGACAGAACTGGTATGTATTCCTTCAAACAAACAGAAGCAATAATAACCACATTATCATATCAATCAAATAATTCTTAGGTCTGTTTATTAATATTATAAATTCATCTTCTATCCACTTCAGGGTCACTGATTACAAAATCATTCGTATTAGGCTACTGATCAGGTCTATAATATAGCACAGGATCCGAGAATCTGTAAGACATAGCATTTTACTGACTGCAAAATGTTACAGTGCTTCATGAATATGTCAGCAGTAATAAGAATAATTTTGCTATCAGTAAGCAGAATTTCAAGTTGGTGGAAAGTCCATAGATGAAATGTCTGATAACAGACATGTGGGCAGAAGTAGCCATGTAAACAAGCCTTGTACTGGAACTGAATCTCATTAATGATGTCAAAAAGAAATGAATGTACAAATTGTTTTCATTTTAATAAAGAGGCATTAGGACTTTGAAGGGCAATACTTGTTCTTATTTTGTTACTAGCTCGATACCTGGCTACGCCCGGGACCAAAGATCATGTTACTCGGCATCTTCCTTTCTTGCACGCTTTCCTGCTAGCTTACATCATCCGTTACTATTATTAAACTTAATTACCATAATAAACAGTAAAACAGTTTCGCTGCAGGCACAGATTTTTGGCTGTGTTAAACTAACAAATGATCTTGACCTTCATAAATCATGGCCTCAAACATTCAAGGGGGCATGCTAGTTAATTTGATACCACATGTGATGGGAGAACATCCATACACACATCTTTGATTTTATCTATATAGATAATATTACATGGACATGTGCAAAAGGTAAATCCACATTGCCACTGCTGAGATATAAATGTTTTATCTATCAATTTAAAGGTTTTAAAACATTTTAATTAACACTCAAAATACCTTACTCTAAGTAGGTCAGTGATTGGATTTTGGGTAATTAGGAAAGTATAAGGCTATTTTGAATATGATATTATTCCGAATATTTTTTTTTCCTTGAAAGTGATAATGCCTCTTTAATATTTATACTAAGAGTTGCAATAATATGTCAACCCAACTAAACATTTTCTTGATTCCACCAACAATCTCAAGCAATTTCCCCAACCGAAACATTTTAAACATATGAGTTAAAATTCAAAACAATGAGGTGGATCAATATCAATAAACAAAGCAAGGGTTTAAAATCAATTAACTTGTTAAAACAAATTTTAATCGAACAAGATGTTAGATTTCAAATGCAAAATTACTTCGGGCAAAAGTCTCCATGCAAATTCTGGTAATTCAAAAATAATTGTTGCATAAAGGACTTTGCCAAACTCTTTCATGCCTTCTTACATGTGGATCTCGAGTTATTTGGGTTGTCATTTCACGCACATCAGCATATTGATAACTTTCAGCGAGATACTTTGTATAACCCTGTTAATAAAATATGAAGATGGCAAAAAGATTTAATGAAAGAATCTGTACAACAATCATTCAAATCAGGAGTATTGATTAGCTACTGTCATAAAAGATATCACTCTAAGCTTGTGATTCTGTTGACAAGCTATAATAATGGGCTAATTTCAAAATACAATCGCAATTTTACACTTGTAAGCTTTTAAGATACCTATTTTTTCTGATTGTAAAGTCCTTGAGATGAATAAAGAAGCTTGAAGGGAAGAAAGTTATTTCTGAAATATGCATGTACTCTCCATAATTATACACTTCTGGCTATATACTTCACATAACAAAACAAATTTGTTATCAAAAGTACACTGTGCATCTGATAAACTGGTAACTATTTTTAAACTATTGTGATTGGTTGGCACATGTTTGATTATGTTTGGTTGGTCTGTGTTTTATATTGCCATTAGCACCATAGTATAAAAGAAATGTTTGAAAGTATTCTGTAATGTATTCTTATATAAAAGTACACTTGGTAGTGTAATAAGCAATATATACTGGGGGGGGGGGGAAATTAAACATTGCCTAATGTCTTGCCAGTCACAAATCATTCAGACATGCACAGTAGCGCATATAATCAAGAACATACACCATAGATTTCTTTGGGATGAAACATATACACGTACTAGTGTAAGAAATCAGTACCAAAAGTAAAGCAGGAAATTACTTATGGCCATCAACATAAAGCATATTAAACCAAAGTTATACTGTGAGGTGGGGCTTATAATTAACTTTTATGTATACATTGACTTTTCAATATAGCTCTTTAAATAGCTCCATACCCCAAGACTCGTGTTTGTAATCTTAAAATGCTGAAACGCCATGGCTCAATTATTTCATTTATTCCTATCTATATTTTTACAGATTCCCTGGCATTATGTAGACTTCTTAAACTATCTGCTTACCATTATAAACTCTAGAATTATTTTTTGTATGTGGTTTCAATTGTAACTCGCTCCCTGTTTGAAGTGTTAAGTTTTAATAGTATTTCATCACACTGCTGTTGAATAGTCTGTATTTGCCTACTACTCATATCTGTATCCATGCTTGATAAAGATGATAAATATCCTCATCGAAACGTTGACTAGTATAATATATTCAGCAATCATGTATCCATAAAATTGTACAACGTATGTATACAAAACAGTTGCAAAGCATAGTCACAATTTATTCTAAAAATCCTACTAAAATGTTACATATTTGTGTGTAGTGTGGTCCTCTTGCACTTACTATATATATAGGCTTTTGGGTTTCTTTTGCTTATCTCATATGCTACAAAGATAACGGTATATAATGCCAATGACCACATCATTTTTTTTACTGTGATGCTATAATGCCAATGGCCACATTATCTTTTTTTACCGTGAAGCTAATAATTAAATTATAACAACAGACCTGCTTGATTCAGAAAATAAATGACAAATTACATGTACAATATGTGATGATGTTTGCGAACTAAATACCACAATTTACATACACCAATATAATGCTAGAACCAATAAACCATAGATAAACTGAATGATAGATGATCTAATAGAGAGTACAACCAGATACCATTTATAACAGTTTAACATACTGTTATTATACAAAATCTAACCTTTATAAAGACAATTCTCACTTGTCAACACTTGCAATTTATCATAAACATACAATTTTCTTTGAATAATCAATCATTCTTATTCCACTATAATGCTTATGTTAACAAGTATGAATTGACTTTAAACTGATCATCCTTTCAATAGTGTTCATGGCTTCAATACTTTAAGACAATCATGCAAAGAATCATGAATCAGGGTTGACTGGTAAAAAAAACACATGGTATAAACCATTAAAAAACCGAAAGCCTACATTGCTGTTAATGAATATACCATTATGTACTTATGACTTTTTTAATTAAAACTGTGTCAAGTAAAGCTCAGTTCAGTTCTACCTCAAGCCAAATTTACATGGATTTTTAAAGTGTAATGTTTTCCTTAGTGGTTGGGGCAACTGACTAATGAGAATTGAATCAATGAGCAAATTGATCCAAATCTGATATTAACAATCATCTATAATTTAATACTCAACCCAGCCTAATCTTTACCAAAAATACAACTATTATAGTCTTCTGTATATCAACAGAATTTATAGATATCACATTTTGTCTTGTGATTGAATTTTAATAAAACCATGAGTAGGTACCATTAGTTATCTCATGTAGAATTTTATATTAAAAAATAATGATCTTAAGTGAATTTTGACTGTTTTTAAGATCTATTCCAAGTTTTTACTAGGACTATACCATTTCTGTCCAACAGCCAACCCTGTCAAGAATCCTTTTTTTTTCTAGAAAATTCTTTTTATTACCAATCATAAGATTGCACATATATTTGTATGAAAAGAATTTGAATGATGATGACCAGTTAAGGTTAGATTTAATTAGATGTGATCAGCTATACTCTACCGAATCGGCAGTATCTAATGGAGCTTGGTGGCTACTTGTCCATTGAGTATGTTCAATATGTTTGATTGCTAGAGGTCGAGCTAACACCTCTACATAGTCCTGAAAACAGCAGGCTAAACATGTTGTAAATTACAATCTAACATGGCATATTTTATTACATCAACAAGATTGTGTAAATACATCAGTCACGCATATTTATATCAACTGTATAAACATTATTTGAAAATGTTTTTGCAAAGAGTGTCTGTAACAATACTATTTAAGTGAGAATATCTCAGAATGATTCACATCCCCAACCCCCACAATAAATTTACAAGTACCCTGTAAACACCTAAAGTAACAAAACATTTAACAAAAAAGTTGTCTTTTTCTTGTGAGGTGGGGGCTAAGTCCAAGATACTTGTGAACATGTGCCACTCAGCATCAATCAAATCAGTCTTAAGTAGTCAACAATTTTCAAGGCCCCACAACTATTGTCCTAACAGGTTTGGAACAAGTGTCTTCAAAATGTTTTGGAAAGCTATTCAGGGGACCCTGATCCTTCCTTTTCCCTCTATATCTAGTTACTCATTTGAAACGAATAATCTGAGAATATGATTTCTTTTTTCATTTCGATACAACAGACATGGATTTGCAAATAATATTTCTTCATTGCCCCAAAATTAATAGAGATAAATAAATAAAACTCTCACCTGAACTCTAGCTCGTATTGCCCCCATTGCTGGTATCTGAGAGAAATAACCTGAAATAATTCATTCATTTAAATATCTTGATTTATATTATCTTTAACTCAAGTTCAAACATCCGTGATTTTAGTAGACAGTAATTATGAGAAATCACTTCATTAACATTACAATCTCCAGTTATAAGGGATCTAAAATGTGCAGATATTGATTAAATATTCACAGTTGCTGCTCTAAGAATAAATTGCCGATTAACATTTTGAGATGCAGCCACTTCAGAACAAACTGAAACTCATTTATTTAGTGAATTATATGTTTAGTGTGAACTAAAAGCTCATGAAAAATGATAATGAGAAATAAGTGCCTTCTAAATACTTAATCATTAATATTATCATTAATTACAGATGTTTATTTCTGTACTTTAACCCATTTGAGCTTTCAAAGATTGTGCCATATACTTACCCCTATTGGCACAAGCCATCCATCTGATAGCATTAGTAGGATTAGCAGTAGGTCCTACAGCATAAGTAAATACTCTTACATCAGCTTTCACCTGTAAAACAATATTGATACCATTTACTACAGCTGTGATTAAAGATATATTATGTAAGATTTAGATAAAGAGCTGACTATTCTTGCTATATTAGCTCAAAAATAGATAATGTAAAATGAAAATATGGAAAATTTCATTCAAAGTACTTCATTCTGAGCCAAGTTATCACTGTTTGTAGTTTTGACAAGATGTGTGCATAGTGGTAATAAGGGCACTGGTATATACGAGACTTAGCCTTGCTTTCCCATATTTAAATTAAATTTTTAAATGGCAAACCGTTCTAATCTAGTCAAGATCTTGAATATTCGATGCCATCTAGAGTTGATAATGGCATTGTTTTGTTAATAAATGTCTAATATAGTTTATATAACATTTCAGGCCTAAAGAATGACCTATAATAGGCAGATTTAGCTCTTGCATAATGTATGTTTAAGGTCACGTCAACAGAATACTTTAGTCATTCTGAGACTAACACAAGGCTGTATTTTTCTTGTTCCGTAGTCTCTTGCATAACGCTAGGGAGAACAATTTTGCCTGGATATTTTATTCCAAAGTCAGGGGATCTCTTTTATGTTCACATTGTGTACATGGCTGGACCTTAATCTCATTCAACATATGAATCGAATTACTATGTAACTCTTTTACTCAACAGCTCCACGCAACACAATGAAAACCCTGGTAAGTGGAAACCAGCTTAATGTCCAACACCAGTAAATTTAAGTTGAATAGAACAAATATTGGTCTGGACAAAACAGTATCAATTATCAATGTCTGGGTGTTTATGTATGGTGGTTGCACAATGGCTTATGATGCAAGGTTTCAGTCATATTTCTCTTAACCCATCAAAAGGCATATTGAAATCTGACCTTTGACACCATGTATTGCTATTTTGTTCAGACCAATATTCATCTTAGTTGTAGCAGTCTATACAATTTAGGCTGGAGTGAATGAGACAATGAGTTTATTCAAATTTAAAACACTGTGAGTGTACACAGATTACTTACAGACTTGTTATTGGACCAGTTATATTCTTTAAATATTTCTTCAGCATTATCTGTTCCACCATCCGTTAACAGCATAATAACTTTATTACATGTAGCTCCTATACCAGACTTGGAATTATTCTTCTCAAACTAAACATATACCATATAACACATCATTATCACCTGATATATTACCAAAACAAAGCTTGTCGGGCAAGGTATATATACAACCTTCAGCAGCTTGATTGTTCTGTAATAGTTGTCTTTATCTCTTTATTTTTTGGTAATTTGTTTTTTTAGCATACAAAAAGCTTTGGTATTATGGGCCTGTACTGTAAATAATGATCCCGATCCAACTGATCAGGGACAATAACTCAGAAAGTATTTCATTGAAAACACTGGAAATCAATAGGGATCATCTTTACCACAGATCTATCCAATTGAAATATTTTCCAATTTACAGTACATATTTGGAAAATTTTATGGAGTTGTTATAAAAGAGATATTCTGTCACCTAGAGTATGGCATGGTATTTGGTAATATTTCCTTAGTATTGGGTAAATCGTTAATGCAGACATAGAATTACTCTCCTCAAATCACCCGTACATGTAATATACATATTATTTATTATATCTCAAAATCTGATAGTTTTAAAATATATAAAATATAGTATATTTGAATGATATATATGTTAATCAAAAATCATAGAAAATACCAATTCAAACTGTTCAAAGGCAAATCTTAATCCAACTTTAAAGTCTGCCATTCCATGAGCTTTCAACTGGTCCACATCTCTTGCTAATTTCTAAAATTTGAAAAGAAAAAAATCAAAATACATTATTCTCTATATGATAACTCAAAGCGCTTAATTAAAATTATTTATCATTCAGCCAAATAAATAAAGAACATTTTAAAATCATTTTCAGATAAAACTATTACAGCTCTACTATCTTTATTTCTGGTTAGATATATCCAATGAAGTCAAATAAATATATTTATTTATGCTTACACTAATAGCTTTTAATCATGACAATTAAAAAAAAACCTGTTTCTTAATATTTCTAATACTAACTTTCTTATTTCTGTAATTAGCCTGAACAAAACTTGAATGATTGAAGCAATGACCAACAAACGATACTTCCTGAGAAAACTGAAAAACAAAAAATATTATACAAATAACTAATGTCACAGTGAATTCAAAACATTAGATTTCTACTTTATGTACTTTTTACATTTTTTTAACAGGAATGTTGTAATTGGTTTTTCAACATTTAAAGGAAAACAAATCTTTGTTGTGAATGGTGATATATTTAATCACACACAATAAATAATCTGACAAGTAAACAACATCACTGTCTGTCAAACTCCTTCAAAAACATAATTCTTATTTTTCAATAAATAAGATTTTTATGCTTTTACAAAATAACCACAGCTAGGCTTCAATAAATTGTAAACAAACAACACAGACTTAACTTTATCAACGTTACGTAGATTGTTGATGCAGTAACTCTGTAAAAAGTTGTTAAGAAAACTCTGCATTTCAATAGGGTCCCTCTTTAGGACTAATAGAAAGGGGTAATATACTTGTACTCTGACATGAAATGCAAGTGTGTAAAAATTGTTTTACTTACAGATGCAATATTAACAAAATCATTTTCTCCTAATGTATCTAAGATTGATTTAACAGCTACTTTCATTAATTGTAAAGCTTGACCATGTGTACTACCACTCCTGTAAATATATTATAAAAATAAAAATAAAACTGGTTGAAATATTCTACAAGTTACTATAATACTATATTAATCTTAATATCCTAAAATTCTGAGACCATGCCTGGTGCCACAAAACTTTTTTTTTATTCAGGAATTACTTACATTCTAACATGCAATATGTTTAAAAAGCTTGAACATGTATCTTCGATTGTGTTGCTGTAATGTCAAAATATAGTTTTAAAACCCTGGGAGCTTTGACCAATGCCACATGTTTATTTTTAACCCACAGTATTTGAATAGAAATAATAATACTTCACTGAACATCCATATTACCGGTATATACATGTATATTAACTAAAAGTACAGTATATATATACCAGTAATATGGATGTTCACTGAAGTATTATTATTTCTATTGAAATACTGCAGTTCAAAAATTAGTTAAACGTACAGTAGGCCTACTCAATCAACCATTTTAAAATCAATTATTTCAAGCTCGTTTACACAATTATGATTCACGAGGGATAGTCTGATTCTGTGCAGAATATGCGGCCATTGAGTAGAAAGGTTCTGTTTAATATCAAAATATTTGACACTTTCTAAATAACCGGGTTTGTTTTATTGTATTGTACATAGATATCAAAACAAGCACACAATAATAAATAAGAATCTTACGTGTCTATTAATATCATCATATCTTTTGGAGAACTTGAACCTTGGGTGTACCTAATAACATATTGGGAGAAAAAATTAAGCAAAAAATAAAATAATGAAAAAATGAAATTTGCTGAGTAATTATTACTGCAGACTGAAAACTACTTTATCATTATCCCGAGTTATTGATGATATATCAAATAGAAATATATGCAGGTTTATTAATATACACTTAATCAAATCTGTTACAGAGTTCTTTGGTTAAAGACAGAAATATGTACAGGTTTATCAATAAACAATTTAATCAAATCTGTTATGGAGTTCTTTGGTTAAAGACAGAAATAAAGAGGTTATAACAGCTGGGGTGACTTATTAAGCATGGGATTTAATATCAATGATTAAATATACTTACCATGATTGTCTTCGTACATCATATAAATCAACAGGGCCGTGTTTAATCCATTTACTTGCTGTAATTAAAATATATACCAGGTATTAAGAAAGTCTTTATCTGATGAGTTATTAGATTAGGTCAAAATAAAATATACTTTTTTTTTTTATCTTATTTGCCAAGAACTATAATTTGGTCTTGGCATGATTTTCTCTTCACAAATTCCAATAATGTTTTCAAGAACCTTACTCAGAAATTAAGCTAGAAATGCTAGGAAATGGATAATACAAACCCAAATAAAAAACAGAAAAAGATTTTCCGATCGCCTGGGGCTAACTAACTGTAAACACATGAAAGGTTTTTTCTTGGCCTTAATTATCAAATTATTTGATACTGATAAATCAATGGCATTTAGTAATTGAACTGGAAATACACAGGTCAAAATTCTATGGAATACAATTTGTGAGCGACATTTCGACTAGGCTTGTCTAGTCTTAATCATGAAGTGTTGATCATTAATAAACATGAATTGTATTCCATGGAACTGTGACCTATGTATTTAATAGATTCTGGTCTTTATGGGGAATTGGTATTTTTAATTAAACTGTCATATCATGTAATAATATCTCAATATCAATTTAAACATACATTATGGAAGATCAGATATAGAGCTGGCAATTCTCACTATATAATAGTTAAAAAATAGATAATGTAATGGGAATTTGCTGAAAATTTCAGTCAAATTGATCAACTCGGAACCTAGAATTTAGCAATTGAATTTTTGGCTTAGTCTCGATCATCATTACTAAAGTTGGTGCAAAAAAAACCATAGTCTCAATTAACCATTTTTTGATTTAATTATCAACCAGCGTTGTGCAGCAGATAGGATTCTAATCCAGTAAATATCGCAGGCTAGCGATGATATCGAGAGTTGATTATGGTCTGGATAAATTATTTAATGTCTAATTAATAATTTAAATAACATTTCAGGCTTAAAGAAAGATGTGCAATTGGCAGAATTAGCTCTTGCATAATGTATGTTTAATAGATGTAAATATTTTCATGTGTTTTATCTTCTTGTAAAAGAAATCCTCACATCAAATTTAATCAAAAGTTTATACTTTTCACCATTATGAAATATTTAGATAATTACTTTGATTTTATTATTCATTAGCATTCTTTAGTTATCTAAAAGTCAAAAATTAATTATCTAATAACAAACCTGGTAGTGTTCTCATAAAACCTGTTTGACTTCCGAAATACTGCCATAGTATTTCTGAATCCTCTTCATAATTCTGTCTGAACACGTCATCTAGGGCTGCAGACCACTTCAAACCATTCAATATCTGTATGTCTATAAATAAACACATGAATGAATTCACATTACATCCAAGATGTGATAAATTGAATGAGAATTGATGACATAGGACAATAATGCTGATGTTTTCATTCTTTATTTCAGATTAATCTGTTGCATTTAATTTCCAATGAATTTAAAGTAGCTAAGTCTCTAACTCAATATCATCCAATGTCTTCGACATTGAAAACAGGAATTATTTATCAATTTAAATCAACATTGATTTTGTGATCTTACTGGGAAAATATGGGCTTCTGATATCCAATATTTAAGACAAAATAAACATTTTACCATTGGTACACAAACCGTGTACCATAATACGTTTCAGCACCATTTGTAACAAGGGACTCATAGAACAAGGCTAGACATATTCCGCAAGTCATGTCAAACAGTGACGCCACATTCTTATCTGATGAGCATGCACAATAAATACTATCTGTGTATACTGGAATAACCAGATGCTAGAGATTGCCATTCGATTGAGACATCTGGCATATTTCGCCGAACATAACTGACTAGATTGAATGTAAATCAGTTTATATACCGGTACATTCATATTACATTATTATATGCGTTGCGATTATTTTGTGTAAATTTCTAGGTCTCAAATATATGCGATTTATCTCCTTTAAATAATTTTTTTGAGTTAAATTAGTGCAATATTTAATATAAATCTTAGGACTGTGAATTTTGAATGTATTTTGCAGATTCTGTCTAAAATACAAACCAAGTTTTATAACATTCCATCAAGTGCTTTGTTCTCTCTATATATATAGTGTTTACAAGTGTTTATACATGTTAAGTGTGAATGGAAATGGGGAGATAACACAAACTTCTGAATTTCAATACGATTCTTCTTTATGCCTAAATGAACAATCTCTATGAATCTGACAAGAACTGTATTGTGTAGTGTTGACAAGAAAAAAAAAGTTGGACGGACAGAGAGAAAGAAATCTATTATTCACACGGAATAATAAACAATCCCTACAAATCTGACAAAGACTGTATTAGTTGGACAGATAGAAAGAAATCTTCTATTAATGAATTACCTCCATCGTAGATTTCTACAGGAATGTGAACACTTGAAATATTAAAACTAACATGTTGTTGAAATCGATCATCATAAGATAAAAGAGCTTCGGGCATATCATTAGAATTAAAATATGCTACATCTTTTTTCTGAAAAAATAACAAAACAAAACACAAAGCAAATTATTATTTGTCTTTTTCTAACAACACAACATTGGTTGTCAGGCAATGAAACATATGCCCTGAAACTATCATTAAATGTTTCAAATCAATACATGTATTCTCAATTTCTCAGATATCTGCACTTTGCTCAACAATGGTACCAGAGTGCCACTTATCACTCCTGTACATGCTGTAACATTCATTAACTTATAAAAGACTTGGCTTGCTACCTCTAATGTTTGATTCCAGGTATGATTGGCAGCTGCTGCTTCCGCTACATCAACAGATCTCTGAAATATATCAATTTTTTAAACTTCAATCGAAAAGATATCAATATTTGTAATTTAATTAATAAAGATATCCATTTTCTTATTCAATCTAAAATGTTCAACTTGCTTTTATAAAAAAAATTGACAGTTTGAAGATCTTGGAAAAAATATTTTCTCAGATTTAATAATTTTTTGTAACCGAATTAAATATTTTAAACAACATTTCTAACAATAGAATGAAATATCTTAATTAGCATTTCTAACAGAATTAAATATCTTAATCAACATTTCTAACCGAATGAAATATTTTAAACAACATTTCTAACAACAGAATGAAATATCTTAATTAGCATTTCTAACAGAATGAAATATCTGAATCAACATTTCTAACAGAATGAAATATCTTAATCAACATTTGTTAAGGAATTAAATATATGAATCAACATTTCTAACAGAATGATATATCTTAATCATCATTTCTAACAAAATGAAATATTTTAATCAATGTTTCTAACAGAATGAAATATCTTAATCAACATTTAACAACAAAAGGGAAAAACTTAACCTACATTCTAACAGATTGAAATATTTAACAAAATGTTTGTTAAAATAGAAAGAAATATTAACCTTTAAAGCTTCCATCTTTTTACCAAGCATCACAGATAGGGCAGCTGATAAATCTGTTACAATAGTTCGGCTATGGACACGTTCAAAGCTCACATGGACATCTTTACCTTGATTCTTTAAATCTGCAGCCTTCTGATAATTCTAAAATAAAAGAAACGGCAAATGTAAACTTATCAAGAAAAAGGATGCTAGTGCTACCATACTAATTCTGCATGATTTCAAAGTTCTTAAAAGGTTGGCTCAACTTATCACTGTCCACATGCAGCCCATATTTGTACAGGATTTATAATAAAATAATTTAGTAAAGTACACTGGTTTATATACATTGTAATAGCTTTCTGTTTTGTCAGTGTAACATTTAAATTATCATCTATTATCTTTATTATGTATTTTGTGAATTGGTTTCATTTCATAATATCTTAGCCTAGAAATGCATAAATTTTGGTCAACTTCAGGCATGGTTGTGCAGGTCCCAGAAATTTTCAAGCAGTCGATGCTATTTTATGTTTCTTTAAGATAAGTTTTGCAGGGGCTATATACCTAAACCATTATCACACAGTCATTTCTTGTATTAATATGAAGCCTACTCTAGTCATCTGAGTGGTCCCACATTTATTCTTTTGTAGGTAATTGGGGGCATTTACAAGACAATTTCATACAGATCAGTTTATAATTTTCGTCGTTTGAGGGTTCACAAGGTTCTACAAACTGAAACAAGGACTCTGGAAGTATCAAGTAATCCACAGAAATTACCGAAATACAACAGGCTTTTTCGTTTTCCTAATTTAGACAAGCCAACAGAGACTTGCAGACGCCCTCCGCTGAAATCCCAAAATAAATATATGACACATATTAATTAATTGCACATGTATCTTTTTGGAAAGTATCATGCAATCAACTGATTACCTACATGTATACTTAACTAACTTAACTAAGCAGAAAATGTTCTCATCATCAAACTTAGTCACGGTAATTGTATAATGTATCTATACTCGGAGTTTCATCGCGTTCACCAAATTAAAACCAAAGTTAACATGTTCCAAAGTCTCAACCAATCAAATTGTTTATCTTTACTTAGCCTTAGTGGAATAAGTGCATGATGGAACTCTGTCAAGACATTCACCTAATAGACACCTACACCAAGTTTGAATATCTGAAGGAGAGATATTGTGTTCCGAAGTCTCGACCAATCAATTTGTTTATTGCTCTGCTTAACCTGAGCAGAAAATTTTCATCATTGAACTTAGACGGGTATTGATGTAATGAAACTATACACCAAGTTTCATCACTATCAGTCAATTAGAAGTTATCGTGCCCCCAAGCGTCAACCAGTCAAATTGCTTATCTCTGCTTACCCTAAGCAGAAAATGTTCATATTCAAACTACACCAAGGGATTCACCTATTAAACAACTACACCAACTACATTCTAGCTCAATTTAGAAGGATAGTTATTGTCCCAAAAAGTGTGACAGACAGACAGACTGCTTTCTTCAAAAGGTGGGGGGACAATAATGCATATAAATTTCATACAGATCGGATGATAACTTTTGGCCTTCATATGTTCACAAGGTTCAACAAGGGCCATAATTCTAGAAGTAATTGATGAAAATTGCTGAAATTCAATAGGCTTCTTCATTTCACTAATCTAAATGAAACATGTATATTTCATACTAATGGAATGATAACTTTTGGCGTTAGAGCGAGTACACTGGTTAACATACATTGTAATAATATTCTGTTTTTATCAGTTTAGAATAGATACATTAAATGTCAAGTCAAGCCAACAGTGCGGTTGATGTCGTCCAACTTAAACCCAAAATAAATAGAGGACACACAAAAATTACTTTCATATTAATGTACATGTATCATTCTGTTTAACCCGAGTAGATAATACTCATTATTGAACAAGGTCAAAGTATTGATCACGTACATGTAATGAAACTATACACCAAGTTTCATCACTGTAACTCAATTTGAATTACCGTTACGGCTAGTTATAGTGTTCCAAAACAAATATCTGATCTCCGCCTAATCAAAACAGAAAATGCTCTACATTGAAGCTAGTCAACGTACAGATGTATTTGTTATATATTTAAAGACATGGAATCATGTTTAAAATCTGACTGCAATTACCAGCTCCACTGCCTCAGGTTGATTTAATTTTAAAAAAAGCACAAAATGTATTTCCATGCATCTCCATTGCATTGGTTATGTATAAATGAAGTTTAGATTTAGTTGAAAACATTGCTTAACAACTTTAAAAGAAAATGTAACAGTTAAGTTCATTTATTAGCTAGTCACAAATATAGCATCATTGTATTATTTTAAAGTTATCAGTACATGACTGTCAGCCTAAACAATTTATTCATAAAAATCAAAATAAAAAACAGCATTGAATTATCAAAATTCTTTAAGAAAATCGCATGCGTACGTTCAATAACAACTTTAAAACAAAATGTAACAGTTTTCTTAATTTATTAGCTACATGTAGTTACAAATATGGCATTATCTGTTTTTAATGGAAGTTATCAGTACATAAACTCCAGGCCTAAACAATTGTTCATAAACATCAAAATAAACCAGCGGCTGCCAGGCAGGATACGCCCACATTTTCGAGAGATGGATAGAGAACAAGCTAAAAAGAAAGTGATTTTTCCTACAATCAAGGGCCATAACTCAGGAAATTACAATTCGATATGCGTAAATATCGAAAGGAACCGAGATCTTTGGGTTATAAACGTACAATTCAAGTTTTAACAAAATCGGATAAAAATTGTGACCTCTATAGGGTCCACAACCTTGATATACATGTACCATACATGTATTTTTACGCTATTTGAGAACGAACAGCGGCCATTTTGTCTGTCAGTTTTGGGCCGATTTTCACGAAATATGAACTCAGCCGTCCTTAGGGTATAACGGTGATATAATAATACGTATTTTAAAATCGGATAAACATTATGACCTCTATAGGGTCCACAAGCAAATAACGTGATTTTTCGTACAATCAGGGGCCATAATTCAGGAAGTTACGGTCCGATATGCACGATTATCAAAAGGAACCGAGATCTTTGGGTTATAAACTTACATTTCAAGTTTCAACAAAATCGGATAAAAATTGTGACCTATATAGTGTCCACAACCTTGATATACCATATTTTTACGCTACTTGAGTACGAGGGGCGGCCATTTTGTCTGTCAATTTTGGGCTGAATTTCACGAAATTCAAACTCAGCCGTCCTTAGGGTGTAACGGTGATATAATAATACGATTTTTTAAATCGGATAAAAATTATGACCTCTATAGGGTCCACAAGCTAAAAACGTGATTTTTCGTACAATCAGGGGCCATAATCCATGAAGTTACGGTCCGATATGCACGATTATCAAAAGGAACCGAGATCTTTGGGTTATAAACTTACATTTCAAGTTTCCATTAAAATCCGATAAAAATTGTGACCTCTATAGTGTCCACAACCTTGATATACCATATTTTTACGCTACTTGAGTACGAGGGGCGGCCATTTTGTCTGTCAATTTTGGGCTGAATTTCACGAAATTCGAACTCAGCCGTCCTTAGGGTGTAACGGCGATATAATGATACGATTTTTTAAATCGGATAAAAATTATGACCGCTATAGGGTCCACAAGCTAAAAACGTGATTTTTCGTACAATCAGGGGCCATAATCCATGAAGTTACAGTCCGATACATGCCAATATCGAAAGGAACCGAGATCTTAGGGTGATAAACCTATATTTCAAGTTTCGTTGAAATCGGATAAAAATTGTGACCTGTAGACTGTTCACAAACAATTGTGGGTGAACAGTCTACAGGTCACAATTTTTATCCGACAGGGGCGACGACAATATACGTCCACATGAAAATGTGGGCGTATAAAAAGAGCATGGAGTTATGGAAATTATCTCAACCAAAACTCCTTAAAGAGAATCAGATGCGTTCGATCAATAATTGTATCAATGGGTCAGAACTTAGAATCTTGATGTCATCACATCCTTCAAAACAACAGATTAAGAAATGAGAATTCTCAAGGGTGCCTCTTACTGTTAGATCGTAGCAAATTGCCAACATTTCAACACAATTACAGCGTGTAATACACTTCTGACTAGTCGTCGTACATGTAAATACTTCTATTGATTTTATACGCTAGCCTATTTTTTTGAATTAGAAATGTCATCCCCAAAGAGTCCTTGCTGAAATCAGTTATAAAGAGCACATCAGAATCACATTCATGTCATTTGTAGTGGGTAATACAATTCCATTTTATGTACTGGGACTGAATCAACATTCAAGACATTTGAAGAATGCAGATGGGATCTAAATCCAATATGGGTATGCATTACCTAGTTACAGCCATGAACTTCATATTACATTATAATTGTCTAACTTATTAGAAATATTAATGTATAGAAAATTGCAGTCAAATTACTTGATATAGTGCGAATTTTTTAATTGTTTGATATTTCAACAAAATGCATGGTAGATTGTTTATTATCTATTATAACTCAGTAAACAACACCAATACATGTATTTAAGTGTCCTGAAAAATCTATTGATGGATTGTTAATATAAATGTATTGGAAATTTCAGTCAGATTACTTGATTCTGTGCAAAGTTTTCAGTGTTTGAAGTTTTGACAAAATGCACTGTACAATGCAGATGTAGATTGTTTATCATTGTAAACCACCCAGTCTCACTAATACATGTAAGTGTCTGGTAAAATCTTTTGTTGGATCTCTTTTTAATCTGACTGGTTTGTTTTCTAATTAAAATGTTAAACAAAATCTTGACCAATCAAATTGCTGATCGCTACTTAGCCCAAGCAGAAAATTCTCATCATCAAACTTAGTCACAGTGTTGGTATAATGAATTTATACTCCAAGTTTCATTACTCACTCTCATCTAATTAGAACCAAAGCTATCATGTTCCAAAGACTCAACCGATCAAACGAGTGGAAAATTCGCATGATTGAACACTGTCAAGGCCAACGCTTACACTGTTGACCACCATTTCCGCCAATTGGGATTAAAATATAATTTCGGCGATAAAATATTTAACCTGGCGGACTTTTGGGTGATAACTCTTTTCTGTAAGGCGATTCTTTATTAACCTTGGGGATATTTTTTTTTTTTTGCTGTGATTTCCAGTCCATTACAGTCTATTGCACTTGGCAGAGTCAGTTCCATGTATCAATCAATCAGGTATCAATAATAGAGCTATCTTCTGTCTATTATTTAATCTTGGATTTGTGTTAATAAATATTTACAGTAAGAGTAGTAATACATGTAAACTAATTAAGAGAGACCAAAGATTTAATTATTTGTCTTCAAATACAAATCGGTGGCTTTGCTGATGGTTTCTATATATAATCAAAATGGCGGATACTATATGAACAATACTCTATTGATTTGTTTGGGGTTATGCCTTCTGTTTGATTTTTTCTTACTGCAATTGCCTATACCGCCAATAAATGAAGCCAGGTTTATTGTTAGAGTTTATAAATGCGTGAATATTCTTGGTGTTTTCGAAATTCAGTTATTATCAAATAATATCATGGCATGGGTCATAAGCGAAGAACTGAACAACCTTCTTCAACGTCTGATAATAATAGAAAAATGTCAGATTATTTTAGTATTCCACGACCAAAATGCGCCAAGACTAAAGGTGATACTCTCGTCCATCTGATTTTATACTCGTGGATGTTAAAGTGATTTTCACTTCCACAATAGCTCTACTAGGCCTACCTCAAAAGTCTGTGGCAGAGAAAAATTTTGAAAAGCGTAAAATTTTATGTGGATTTGGAAAAGGTACATGTAGATCTTTTTGGGTTTAATGGAAATTTTCAAATTCTTGATCCAGCTACCAAAACAATGTTTTGTTAAAAATTCATTCACAACTGATTGTAGCGTACTAAAAAAGCTTTCAAAAAATAGCTTCTGCAAAGCAAACAAGAATTTTGTAAATTGTAACATCGCAATTTTATGTATTAATATTGAAAGTAAAAATGTAATAAAAATTATAGAAAAAAACTAATAGATATTTTCATTTCTGGTGGCGTGGAGAAAATATATGGTTAATAAATTAAAATGAAAAATTGGTGGAAAATAAATGGAACCCAGAGTGAGCACTGTTCAGGGCATTCACCTGATAAACACCTACACCAAGTTTGAACATTCTACCTTAATTAGAAGTACTGTTATTGTGTTCAAAAGTCTCGACCAATCAGATTGAAGTATCTACTTAGCCAAAGCAGAAAATGCTCATCATCGAACTTAGTCAAGATATTGATGTAATGAAACTAAAACTATATGCAAAGTTTCACAACTCTCACTCAATAAGAATCAAAGTAATCAAGCTCCGAAGTCTCAGCCAACCAAATTACTTATCGCTCTGCTTACCCTGAGCAGAAAAAGTTCATTACCGAACTTAGTCAAGGTATTGATATAATAAAACTATACACCAAGTTTCATCACTCTGACAAAGTTATCGTGTCCCAAAGCATCAACCAATCAAAGTTTCATCACTCTCACTTAATTAAAACCAAAATTATCGTGTCCTAATAAAGCATCAACCGATCGAATTGCTACCCTAATGCTCATCTTCAACTCAATCAGGGCATTTGCATTATATACAACTACATCAAGTTGGAACATTCTAGCTCAATCGGAAGGAGAGTTATTGTGTCCGAAAAAGTGTGACTGACCCATTTCGATGAAAGGCAAGGGACAATTGTGGATTAAATCGTGAAGAATTAAATATAGTCAGGCTTTAGTAAATGTAAAAACACTTAGAATTTATACTTACTAAATCAACAATTTGTAATGCAGAAATCATATTTAGCATTTTATCTAAATCATTTCCTAGTTCTATACTCCATTGAGTAACCCTGCAAGAAAAAATTATAAAAATATTTATTAAAATACACGTAGTTTAACATCAAGAGAGAGTGAAAACATTAATCTACCACACTATGAAACAAATGAGAGGAAATTGGATTCAACTTTGTGTCATTTTGCAAAACAAATTTTACCTGGACAGTACTAATAAACCAACTTTGACTATTCTCCTTGTATAGTTATATGTATCTAAATAAATTTTCAGCTCAATGTATTGAGCCATAGGGAAAAGATTGCCCAAAAATTTCTTAATAGGATATGTCTTAAAATTTTATCTGTGAAATGTCTGAGCAAATAAACACAATTTACTGGTACTACATTGTACATGTACATGGTAGCGGCCACCTTACATGGTTATCCAGACTATCAAAGCTTAGTTCTATTAAAATTATCCACTGTACCAACATTTTATTCCATGTGACTGACTGCAATTGTTAAACTAACATGGACATTCACAGTACATTTGTACATGTATCAAAACCTGTGATACAGAAAATTGCATAAAATCTTTTGAAAGGCTTTGATTATATGAAGACATTTGATCTGTTGTCTAATCAAGGGAGGTTGGGTGATCGATCCCTGCATTGGCCGAGAAAGTTCACCCAGATTTTCCGGCGTGATTACCCCTTGTCAGTGATGCAGGACGGAGGGCCTGACAAGGACAGCTGTCTAGTGTACACATTGGCATGCACGTAAAAGATCCCTTGACAGTTGGAATTCGATATAAGAGTAGACCGTAGTGCCGCTGTCCGGGCAAAATTTCCCTCATAGCACACTGTATAGCGTATGCCCATCTTCATTAGCCCAGTTCGGAGCAAAACAGTAGGACATTAAACCCCATTTCATTTCGTCTAATCAAGGTAACAGGTGTCATTATGTTAAAACACAGACCCACTGTACGAGCACGATTGTTTAAAACCATGTCCATTGATGTTACCTTCAACCCAAATCAACAGAATGAAAATAACATCCGACTTTAAAGATGGATTATGTAAAATTTAGACCTATAATAGTTTAATAATACATAATGAAAAAGGAATATATTGAAAATTTCAGTCAAATTACTTTATTCTCAGCGAAGTTCTCACTTTGAAGTTTTGATAAGAATAACATACAGTGGACTCTGTCACATCCGATGTCTGATCACTCCAGATTGCTGTGACATCCGACATGATTTTCATGTCCCGATTTATTTCCTTATTACTTCAGTCAAAAAATCGCTGGTAAATCCGGATTCTGTATGTTCCGGATTACGACATCAATCAGCCGTCTCGTCACATAATTTCCATTGAATCGACACCGTATAATCCGTACTTCAAACGGTGGGTGTGAAGCATCCAATTATCGGTGAGATTAAAACTCAATGGGTGTGAAGCCAGAAAAGATTAACAAGCAATCACCAATCAATTATCGGTGAGATTAAAACTCGCAAGCGCCAGTCTGTGTTGATTACTTTGATAATGTTATAAATTCTTTGTTGATTATTTTACAATTCATAATCTCATGTAAGAGTGCGCTTGGTATTTGATTTTAGTTACTCATGTCAAATACCGCTACATTATATAAAAATTGCCGCGATTGAAGAATCATTATACATGTACATTATACAAGATGTTGTCCAGGACTCCGCCTTACGATATGCTTCCGGTAATCTTAAGCAAACTACTTTAAACGATTACATGCATTGATATTTATAAATATATTGTACGCATGCATTGATATTACATGTAAATGATTTTATGAATATATTGTACGCATGCATTGTTATTGTTAATTATTTAATGTATTAAAATTTTGAAAGTACAGAAAGGTTTATCATTTTTAAAGGGAATAGCATTCTGGTGATTCGAAGCTACAATATAAAAATACTTCCGGTTTTCGAAGTTACAGTATTTCCGGTTATGGAGAAAGCTTGGTATTCCGACACGCTGTGTGATCCGAAATATTGTAACGATCCCGTACGATGTCGGGTGTGACAAGAGTCCACTGTAGTCTCGATTTTCATTGATATCATTTGGAAGTTTTACATATTTTTAATGGTTTTCAAGGAATTCAGTAACCCCATGTAAAAATTCCTTACCCTTAATAAATAGGCCAGTCATTCAAAATTAATTTTCTTGATCAGAATGTTAACGCCTCTTTAAACAATATTTATCGATGAATATTCTTGGAAGTGAAAATCTGTCTAGTAAAGATGGTAAATAAAGTGTAAGAGTAGAAGAATGTGTAGACAAGTGTAATTAATTATTGATTTAAGATGTTCTACTTGCCAGTATAATTACCACCACTATCAAAAAACACATGTTTATCAGTACATGTATATAATCAGTATTATTACTATCAGACATAATAAAAACATATGATTAAACACCGGGGCCCTTATGATGCATGATGTTAAACTCTTTATTTGATCTTTATTCTGTGCCCTTATTCACGAAAACTTAAACTAAGATACAATCGAAATTTTAAGAAATACTGCAATTCGATTGGCTGACATTTAAAATCAATTTGCATATATCCAATTTGCATATTGGTCAGCCAATCGAATTGCAGTATTTCTTAAAATTTCGATTGTATCTTACATGTAGTTTAAGTTTTCGTGAATAAGGGCCCAGAATAAAGATCAAATAAAGAGTTTAACATCATGCAGTGTACTTTTATCAAAAATGTTATAGCTTTCTACTGATTTTACTATGCCATCGTCATGTATCTTAACCCACGGACCGTATATATATGGGCCATGCTTAAACAAATAAAGTAATATTATTTCTTTTTCATGAAAACCAGTCTGATCTTCATGAAGTGTTATATTTAAAGGAGCGAAAAATCTCTATTGATTGGAAATTAAAAATGAATGAAAATGGGTCAAAAAGCACATATTAATGTAATTTTATTGGATATAAACTGATTTACATTCATTTTAAAACACTATTATTGTAATTTCTAATCAGCTGTGTTCGTTGAAATTGAATGGCTGTCGCTCGCGCCTGGTTAGTTTAGTTTACATGGGAAGAACGGTTTGACATTTCACTTACATGTACATGTACACACTGATGTTTAGCATCGTTAATCAAGACACCTCTTTACAAATCGCATTCAAGAGCATCGAGGAGTTTACGGGTTCGAAAATTGTTCACTCTGTCTTAAATATTTAATATCACTACATGTACAATCTATTTCAGGTGCCCATATTTTCACGGTAAGATAACAACATCGCTATTGATTGGAATTGACGAATAATTTGTGTTTGTAATTCCAAGACTCTGGATAATATTGAGTTAGTGCTTTACACTTTTACACCCTGTAATTACATAACAATAATAAGTCTTTACATTATAATACCTGTAATATGACCCCTGATACATGTATATCCAAACTTATGGAAAGACGGTTGCCAGCCAACAAAACACAAGATCACAACACAACAGCCATCTTCCAAACCATTTATACTTGTGAATTTTCTTTAATTCTTTTGTACATGTAGGCATTTAAACTGGGATGATAATAATATGAATTGAAGAATTTTATTTTGTTAATGCTGCATTATATTGTATATAATTGTTCTGTAACTGCGAAATATAATTGTTTCATGTAATCAAAATAGCTGGGGTTTTTTTTGCAGTACATTATCCATGGGCAGATAAAATATTCCAGTTGGCAGATACAAATTGAAAGCCAGTGTGAGGTTTGGCTTAAGAATTATTTTCAATTTCAAATTTCAAATCTACATGCGTAATTCAGTTAAGATGCATGACGCCTTCGCAATTTTATTTAGTTTATTTTAAACTCTAAAAGCATAAATGTAAATATTGTAAATCTTGTTTTCCTACTCTATTGCTTCTAGTAACCCCAGGCAGTCGCCATGGTTGATCTCATAACATTCTAAATTATATTTAAGTGGAGGTATTGATTTTATTTCATGTGCCGAAAGAAATAGGCTTCCCTTTAAAAAGATTGTTTACAATTTTATTTTTTCTAGAAAACACTTCGGGCACTAAAATGTTTTAACACAATTTCACAGTATCCTATTTAAAGTGACAGCAATAGAGCATTTGTTTTAAAATAAACATGCATACACAAGTGGGTCTATTTTCTAGCCCAACCCCTACTTGTCTGCGAGACTGACAAGCAAAGTTTGCCTAGTTGAATGGGATGAATAATAGTTAGAAATCGAGGAAAAATAGGTAAAAACACTACTGTCCGGTATAAATTATACACCATAGAAATACATTTTCAATTTTGTCTCAAAATTACTAAAGTATCAGGACTGTATTGAAGAGACATTAAGCTGCATTCCATTTATTGAGCACCTGTAGTCCAAAGTCATGTACTGCTTAGAAATGCAACTAATACAGTACAAAGTCTGCTATAAAAGTCAAATTATAACCAAAAAGATAACTCTACCAAACATTAAACAAGTTGAAAATTTTGATATTTGAAAAAGTTTGTCCACATCCTGATGAACAATTCCAACGAGAATATGCCAGGCACAGGTAACAATACAGGTCAATTCCAACATGGTACGGAATCAATACAATATGTAGGATTACACAGCATGTCAGAATACTCAAATGCCTCAATACCGGAAGTATTATTTTACTTTTGTCCACGCCCTTAAAGTTAAACCACTTGTGCATAATTCTGTTGATGTCTTCAAACTTAGCGTTAGCGTAAAATCATTTCTTATGGCAGTTAAACTTATCAGCAAAAATGACGGATACTGTAGTACGGCCAATTGAATACTTAACGCCTAATTCCCTCCGTACAGGCACGCTTTGCAGGATGATCACACATATGAATTGACTTGAGAAACTCAAATCAAATACCAAGTGTTCTCTTACACTCTTACAAGATAATCAACAAAGACAGACACGTTTCATGCTCGCAGATAATTGATTGGTGACTGCTTGTTGGTTACCACCCACTGATTAAGGCTGAATTATCCAAAGTTAACTGAACGTAAATCGTATGACGGGACTGCTGATTGATGTCGTAATTTTGAATATTTGGAATCTGGACTGCTCAAAACTCTTTTGGTTGAAGTAATAAGGAAAAAAATCAGGGCATGAAAATGATGACGGATTTTACAGAATGCTGTGGTATTCAGATGTCGGAAGTGACAGAGTCTACTGTATTTAATTTGAAATAAACATAAATTAAATAATGTATACATTTCTCTCCATTCTGAGTAACATGTTGACCTCGCTGATTTGATTCACACACCATGAATTAAAATATAACTTCTGGACTAAAATTTACCGTCTAATAATAGTTATCCATACTTTAAAACTTTTAACATTGTTTACAATATTTCTGACACACTTTAACTTTAAAACTTTTAACATTGTTTACGATATTTCTGACACGTACACTTACATGTGTTATTTGTTATGATTTGCAGAGTAGACTAATAAATTAAATAATGTAGCATCACCTACAGTATTTCAGTTAATGGTTTCCTCTAAAATGCATGTGAATGTTTTCAGATAAAACATCCTGGCATTCTACTAGTTTTAGTATTTCTACAGCTTCTAGGAGGATGCTTAAGTATGTACTATTACCTTGGCTTATCTTCATGTAAGCATCAATACAGGAAAAAGTACAGAAAAATTGAGTTTTAAGTTTAGGGATTTGACTGGCTTATAGACTAGGCTATATGTGTAACTTTTAGTAAACAAAAATGGTTTAATCTTAGTATAGATCAGTTTAAAGTTAAACGGTACTTCAACGACGAGATGGGTTCCTACAATGTACTTGTTTAAAAAAAAATAGTTTATATATAAACAATAACCCTATTCTGTCGGTTTCTCTTTAAATCAACTAACTTTATTATCTCTCCTCCTTTCACTAGGTCAGTCTAGACATAGTCGAAGATCAGAAAGAAGTCTGATGGGATAAAAGTGAAGAACTTCAACTTCCACTTCCTGATAGAATTAGATATCGTAATAATAATACCGATTTCATAGAATGTGCCCATGGCATAAACGTCATTGTTGTGGGGAACACGTTTGTATTCCAATTCATTCAATTCAAAATTTCACTTACTGGTCTAATGTTGGTGGCAGCTTAGCACTTTCACATATCATAAAAACACCAAATAACAGAAAACTAAAATATATTTCAAGAAGCCGATATCTCTTCTTATTGACGGCCATGATGCTGTTCGATATCAGCCTCGTTCTTGGAGCTACTACAGCAGCGCCATCTCGACAGGTGCTCCATTCAGTGGCACCGGAGAAATGGTAATCGATAACTACTCATTAACCACGCAACTCATGTAGCGTGCGTGCTTAGTCAAATTAGGGAAAATGTCGAGTAGGCTACAGAGATGTAGAGATTTCTTACTTATTATAAATGAATTACAGTGTTCACTCATTATTCCAATGTCCATAGCATGTTAAATCCTGCAACAATTTGTCTACGACTAACGGAATAATTCAACTGTGTATTTCTATTTGATTAAATGTAATAAAAGTTAGTTTTGTTTTGTCCTTCCATTCAAATTGATACTGAATCCATTTTACATGGCCATTTAAAGCCTACAAAAATAATTTGACAATTCAATTCTATCACATCTGTCACGGGTCGTGAATTTACCCTAAAATCAGCTATCCGACCTGCTTCAAAACTGAAACAAAACACTGAGTTAATCTGCTCAAGATGTAGGCCTATAATTGATTTGACGAAATATGTCTGTTTTGTGTTTGGATGATTATAATTCTTCTATTTATTATTGCGAATGTTTGGTGCGGGTCATTTACTTTCAAGGGGGATTTGGTGGTTAAACAGTTTGGGAAGACCTTTCGGTATTTCTCGCCAAGCATGGCCATCATTTTGTCAGGTGTGGCTCCCTCGGGTCAGACGGGGAAAGTGTGCAGCCAAGTCGTTCGGATGTGTCGAAAAACAGAAATACAACCGTGTACACATTGGTTTGCTTGTAAAAGAACCTTTGACAGTTGGAAATCGAAGAAGAGCAGGGGACGCCGCTGTCTCATGGACAAACTTCTCCTCCATAGCAATGCATATCTCAGGTCTAACTATTGAAATAAAAATTACCATAACCGATGTTGATCCCGTAATGACTGAAGTATTATTAGATTTACGAGATACCCCATTCCATGCCTGTTTACTTCCATGTCCATATCCAAGCTGATTAATTCTGGACGACCGTTAAAACGTTATTGTTTTATTGAAGTGTAATAAATGAAGTTGTGGTGGGATAGACTTGCCCCTCGGATAGGACTGTTCCTTTAGTAAATATTGCAGAAATGTTTGTCTAAATCTTTGCGAAAATGTGTTATTTCATTAGAAGACGTTAAACACATTTCATTTCTTAAACATCCGCCATAACACGCATGACTTTGTTCAAAGGTGTTTAAGACACACTTTCGTCTTCCTCTAGTCGTGAGAGTGGGAGATTTGGAGGGTCTCTCTTCATGTAAATCCAGCACTCGTGGAAGTATAAATATTAGGCTAACTGTGCAAATATATTAAAAGTGTGTTAAAGCGGCATTATGTAAAATTAGAAAAAGCGCTATAATATTTTTAAAATTTATAATGAAAAGAGAATATTATGTCAAATTATAATCTAGCCTCGATTGTCATTTCTACCGTTGTTGCGATATTAAACAAAGTCACGATTATCCATGTTTACGGTAACCATGGGATATTGGCGTGTACGTAAAAGAACCCTTGACAGTTGGGAAATACTAGGCCATAGCGCTGCTGTCCGGGCAAAATTTTCCTCATAGGACACTGCTTGGCACATGCCTGTCTTCGATAGCCCAGTAGGAGCAGAACAGTAGGACGTTAAACCCCATTTCATTTATTTTCCTGCACCTTGCATTGGATTTTATTATTTTAGTAACGAAATATTGTAGGTGTGTCAAAAATCAGGAAACAAATTGTCAACAAGGACAACGGGCTCACTTGAATTTTACGTATAGTACGGTATTGAAAGATTTATTTACAGCTTGATATGGGGTACATGGAAAATTATGTTTCAAACTGAACTATTTATGGTTCAGCTAACACTATACTTTACAATTCATCTTAAAGCTGGAAATAAATTTCAATTATTGACACCCCAGATGGGATTGTGGATATTTTATATCACTTCTTTGAGCATCTATTGAACAGTGTATTGTTGTAACATGGTATGATTAAATCCTCCTTGATTTGGACAAATCAAATTGGATATATGCAAATTGATTTTACTGGTCAACCAATCGAATTGCAGTATTTCTTAAAATTTCGATTGTATCTTAGTTTAAGTTTTCGTGAATAAGGGCCCAAATGAATTATTCCGGATATTAGCTTACAATTATTCTACATAATGGTCATTTTATTTATCGTTTCTGAGGGGGTGGGGAGTAGCAAGTTATAATTTTTCGAACCCAATAAGATTAATAGATGGGCGACTGCATTACGACCGAGTACTAGGATATCTATGGACTGGGGTCGGGTGTTCGATCCCTGCATTGGCTGAGAAAGTTCATCCAGATTTTCCGGCGTGATTCCCCCTTGTCAGGGATGCAGGACGGAGGGCCTGACAAGGACAGCTGTCTAGTACTTCGGATGAGACGGAAAACCGAGGTCCCGTGTATACATTGGAATGCACGTAAAAGATCCCTTGGCAGTTGGAATTCGATATAAGAGTAGGCGATAGTGCTGCTGCCCGGGCAAACTTTCCCTCATAGCACACTGTATGGCGTATGCCCGTCTTCATTAGCCCAGCATAGGAGCAGAACAGTAGGACGTTAAACCCGATTTCATTTCATTTCATTGCAGAACACTGGTTGACAAAATATACTGAATACGTTAATCAATCTATTGTAAGCTTACTATGCAGCTTGTGTCTATAATTGCATTGTCCTTAACCGTTAGAAATATTATGATGTCCGATAAATATACCTCCTGTAAAACAAATTATGGTCAGGGGAACATACCTTCAAAGAACAAATGATTTATTGTTTCTTTACGTATTATAAAGGTTAATAATGTAATCGTGGGTTATACCTCCCGTTGAGAATAGATCGTTCAAATTACACGCCTGTCTCTTATCTACTGACCTTCTTCATTAGCCCGGTTGGTTCTGATGATACAAATAATCTGGCCTTAAGTGTTGTATACAATATTTGGTAGTCTGTTTTACACTCCCTCATTTAGCAAAGAGCAATAAAAATAAGAAATACCTTTGTTAGTAATGAGGTGTTGATCTGATCTTTCCTATAGTAAATAATTGCTTTCGAAACGTACTAATGAAATGAAATGGGGGTCCTATAGGGGACATTTTGCCCGGACAGCGGCGCTACTACCTTCTCTTATTTCGAATTCTGTACTGCAATGTGTACACGGGTCCTGGATTTGTCGTACCACCCGAACTACTAAGCAGCACTGATAATGGCAAACCACCCAGGAACTTTCTCGGTGTATACCAGGATCGAACACGAAACCCCCGGCTTACTCACTGAGCTATACCACGGCTGCTAGAGATACTAATGTTTTGACGAGACATTAGAATCCATTTCGTCAATAATCATACAGGCACATAGATTGTGTTTTAGGTACAAATTGGGAGAGAAAGTGAAGACTAGACTATTATATCCCTTCTACGTTTCTCGTTCATGTTTTAATGGACACCAAGTCAAACATAACAACTAGGAAGTTGAAAGCTCTTAGCAGAATTTCAATAAAGACACCGAAACAAACAATGGTGAAGCAACATGATAAATCAATTTACAGTTGTTATAAAATAAATTCTATGTTAAATCAGAGAACCAAATAGATACGCAGCTGATGTTTTTCATGCCCGAGTAACCGAACCTATTTAATCGGGTACTAGATTCCAATTCTCCTAATTTTGGGCGAGAATACGTCAAATTGCGACACCGGTTCTCAAATGAAAGGGAGCGGGGTCATTGGGAAATGACAAGCAAAGTCTGTCTAATCGTTCGTGAATACCTGGGCTCCAAACTTGTATACATACGCAATGGTGTGCACGTTAAAGAAATCTTCAAAATTCATAGAAGTCGAAGAAGAGTATATGGTAACTGTAATGGGTTTCAATCTAATGAAAATAATCGAGCGGATCGATCTAATCACCCTTGTTTGATATCTTTTACAACCGTTGCCCCCTCTCGCCTCCGTTAATTAGAGATCTTATGTCAGATTTGGGCCTTTTGTGGCTTCCAAAATAACTACTCGGCCCGTGGATTTGTATTTTTTTAATTTGAAAAAATCATTTGTTTGGTTTAAGAAAGTACACATCCAGGGACGCGTTCCCGTGGTCGAAACGCAAAATAAAGGTAAACACAGGAAATCCAGAGTATAAAGAAAAAAATATTATTTATATAGACATTATGATAATAGCAAAAAGAACACAGGAAATCTAGAATATAAAGAAAAAATATTTATATAGACATTAATGATAATAGCAAATAGAACACAATTTAGTTGTGTTATGTGTTCTCGTGCCTTGTATTTAGCGGATAGCGCTTTATTTTATATGCCCATTAAAGAACATTGTTTTGGGCATGGTATTGTTTCATTCTAGCAGCAATAGGTTTCATACGTAGCTCTGACAATTTCCTTCCCACACACGAAATATTACCATTCGTCAATCGTACATGCTTTCCATTTTCTTTTCTCGTCATATTGACGTCAGGCATTGTCCTTATAATCAATGATGGGAAGCAAACTTATTCCATCGTTGAGCAAATGAAATGGAGAGGTTTAACGCCCTACTTTTCTGCACCACATGAGACAATGAAGGTGCCGTTACATAGCAAACCCACAAAGACACACACGAATGATAGGAAAACATTAAACGATGAAGGACTTGTGTTATACATTAGTTCTGCAAGTCTCATTTCTCTTTGAACTTCACTTAAATCACAATATGGATAACGAGCTCCATCAAACAGACGAGAAAAGAGCTGTGACGTCATATTACATGTTGCTGGGAAAGAGATGGAATAACAAGTACTGATGGAAGAAAATAATCTGAAAAAAGAAAGAAATATAACAACAAAATCTGGTTTTATTTTTAAAAATACATTTGTTATAATAATCCATACACATATCATTGAATATATCTCATAGTCATTTTGAAACTAACAGATAGTTTTCGCATGCTTTCAGATATCCGGAGTTGACTCGGTAGCCAGTTTGGTTCGGATACCTGTGCATTAGACCTAGGTGAACCTGCATCAGTTGCGTATCTATCTGGTTCTATGTTTTCATAAGGAATATGTTTTATAACAGATGGGGATTGATTTATAATTGTCTTTAGAAAACTCTTGACTTGGGAGGCTTTAACAACCCAACGTTTTATTAATACATCTTTGATTTGGTATTCTATTTCCTAAATGTTTACATACATTTCTTATTTACCATTATTTCTTAATTGTAAAAAGGTCAAGTCTAAACAACAATAAGGAATCGGGTACCAGTTCAAACCGCGATTGCCTCAGTGAGTAAGACATTGGATCGCTAACCTGGAGGTCCCGTGTTCGATCCCTGTGTTCACCGAGAAAGATTTCTGACGTGGATCCCACTGATCATTAGTGCAGGACGGAGGGCCTGGCAATGGACAACGTATAGTCGTTCGGATGGGACAAAAAAACAATGTCCCGTGTATACACTGGCGTGCGCGTTAAAGAACCCTTGACAGTAGGAATTAGATAAACTCGTGTTCTGTAGTGCCACTGTCCGGGTAAAATTTTCACCCACGGTACTTTGTATGGAGTATGCCCGTCTTTATTAGCCTAGTCGGTGCAGCGTTATTTACTGATTGCAGCTCCTTGCGTTAACACCGATCGACTGGCTTGGAATCCGCTACTAGTGAATTAGAATACATTTATTCAGTGGCGTCTATCTGATAAAGAAGGCGTTGCCAAGTAGTTCTGATGGCACCAGAAAAGTCGTCTACATCACTAGTTTGCTGTTATGGAAGTCAAATAATATTAGAGACTGGATTTTCAGCATGACGCAGTCTCTAATCAAGAATGGTTCAATCAAATATTGAGTACCTTCTAATTGGGAGACATCCTCGCCAAAAACGTTTATATGCGTCTACCGACAAATTTTCAATTTACACACGTTCAAAAAGAAAAAGAAAATTACATTCACTCTAGTAAGCTAAGAATTCAAACTTACTGACACAAGTTATCCAAAACATTTTTAACCGACCAGTTTTGTGGTGTTTTTTTCATGGTGGATGTCGTTTTCTCAACGCAGTCTCCAACATGGTATAAACTTGAAAAACAAGATTTGTTGGCTGATAAAACTGAAATAATTAAGATATTTAAATAACTATGAAAAATAACCAAGAAAATCGATTGAATGCATAGTCTATAGGTGTGGGGGGGGGGGACCAGCGGTTACGCTGAGGGCACCCTTTCCATCGACACAAAAATTGTATCAATGCCATTCCGTTAGAGAACTCGACCACACAACCCCACGTAAGATTACCTGCAGACTGCATTCTTACCACAACCATTACATGTGCGATTGCAGACTACATTCTCACCACAATTATTACAGCTGTGATTGCATAATTACAGATGTGATTGCAGACTACACACTCACCTCTTCCTTTACAGGTGTGATTGCAGACTAAACACTCACCACAATTATTACAGGTGTGATTACAGACCACACACCTCACCACAACCATTACAGCTGGGATATGAGATTACACACTCACCACAACCATTACAGGTATGATTACAGATCACACACTCGCCACAACCATTACAGCTGGGATATGAGACTACACACTCACCACAACCATTACACTTGTGGTTTGAGATCACACATGCACCACAACCATTACAGCTGTGGTTTGAGATTACACACTCATCACAAACATTACGGGTACGGGATTGATTGGAGACTACACACACACCACAACTATTACAGGGTTGATTACTCACCACATACAGTCGTGATTACAGACTATACACCCACCGCATACAGTCGTGATTACAGACTAAGCATTCACCGCAATCAGAGTCTGGGGGGGGGACAACGTATGTGAGGAAAAACCGAGGTCCCGTGTTCACACTAGCGTGCACGTAGAAAAACCCTTGACAGTAGGAATTCGATGTAAGAGTAGGCCGTATTGCAACGTTTTCCATTATAGCACACTGTAAATGCCCGTCTTCATTAGCCCAGTCGCTGCAGAACAGTAGGACGTTAAACTCCATTCCATACTAAATTTAGGAATGATTACTAAACTGTTTCCCCACAACAGTAAACTAAAATCATATCGAACATATCAATTACTTCTATTCCATAAAAAACACAAGTTGGTGTTAGTAAGACAACCGTTACAGGAATTGCCTACCTTTCTTCATCAACCGCGAAAAAGAAGACGGCCAATTGGTACAATAAAAACGGGAGTTGATTAACCTGGACAACAGACGTTACAGGACTTCACCAAACTAGGTTTCTTAGAGACATTCATACATAATTAAATTTAAAAATAATAAACTTTTTACGTCTTCAGCTGACATTTAGGACATTGGGCATGGTATTTTCGTCTCGCTTATCAATTTTCTCAATTGCTACATGATTGTATGCTACCATATAGTGGTAACCAATTACAGCCGAGAAGATTGGATTTCAGGAGTAAAGTTGGATTGTGGGGATATGTGCATTATTCTTTTTGAGGCCACGGAGTCAATCAAGGTCGAGCATAAAATGCCACGTGGTCTATCTCGGGAAACCATCATGACGTTTACTCCTAATAACGTCTTTCCCGGCGATAGTGCCGCTGCCCGGGCAAAATTTCCGTCATAGCACACTGTATGGCATATGCCCGTCTTCATTAGCCCAGTTCGGAGCAGAACAGTAGGACGTTAAATCCCATTTCATTTCATTTTGTCTTTCCCGGACCCATCCTTTCTAGACATTTTAGTCGAGTGTATTAAAGGGACTATCCCTTATTTGAACAGTCTCAAAAATAAAAGTCTGAGTATGTATGAAATTTAAGCGCCAAAATATAGAGGAATGGTGTATTGACCTTATCTCAAAATTTCAGCTCAAAATTTTGAGTCGTTTGGACGTGACCGTCAAAACTGCTTATCCGGACACGTAACCCTTTTAAGATTTCCGGTCAATTTTTTCGCTGGGAGACCTGATAATCGATTCCCGTTCCTATAGAGGTCTATACAGTGAATGAACCAAATGCTGTACTTGATAACGAAAGGTAAATTTCAGCTATACATTATTTTTATACAAAAAATGTCTGGTTTTATCTAGACACCGCATAATACAGCTTGGGACACTGGTCACCATTAACAGATGAAGACTGACGGGTTTCAGTTATTTGAAAACTTATCACAAATATTGAGTTAGTTGCTCGGCCCTTAGGAAGAGGACTTTAAGGGATTTTAAAACATAATTAAACAGTTTTATTCTCCAAAAAGTTATCGGGATTAGCCCTTTAAAGCTTATGGAGGACAAGCTATGGCATTTGTATTAAAGCCCACAGAAACTATCCATTGCCATGTTAATTGACATTAGATTAACAATTAGACTAAAAATATTTAACTCACTGTTTAAGTTTTCGCAAAAATAATTAAAATTTGTTCTCAATTTATGAACATCAACCATCAAAGTCATCATCTGGCGCTGCTCAGTGTGATTAGCGCAATTATTGATTACGTCTTCAATACAGACTATCGCTGATGATTTTCCTCCTCTGAAAATATAACAAATAAGCCAAATAAACTTTTATAGCGGATTAAAGATAAGATCCATAAGTGATCAAGAAATAAATCAAAATAGACATCTCTGATACATTAGCTTTCTCAAAATTACTTAAAAAATCTTTCCAGATTTATTTCTAAAGATGGAATTTTGAATAGGATATACTTACGTACAGAAGCCACTGTTATCAATGCCATTAGCAATTATCGTTCCGAGAGTCTGGCCCAGATTATACATGCCTGATTCTTCTATACATTTCTGTATTTGTGAATCAACATGCTCTGGGCATTTGCTGGCTTGGATATCCACTAAATAAACAAACAAACAGTGACTGATAATTTGAAATGAAATGAAATGAAATGGGGTTTAACGTCCTACTGTTCTGCTCCTATGTTGGGCTAATGAAGACGGGCATACGCCATACAGTGTGCTATGAGGGAAATTTTGCCCGGGCAGCGGCACTACGGCCTACTCTTATATCGAATTCCAACTGTCAAGGGATCTTTTACGTGCATGCCAATGTATACACAGGACCTCGGTTTTCGTCTCAGGACTAGACAGCTGTCCTTGTCAGGCCCTCCGTCCTGCATCACTGACAAGGGGGAACCACGCCGGAAAATCTGGATGAACTTTCTCGGCCAATGCAGGGATCGAACACCCGACCTCCAGGCTAGTGAGCCAGCGTCTTACCCACTTAGCCACGTGATCCCCCTGATAATTTGAAGATTTTAATTTTCTAAATTAATATATGGTCTATTTTTATGCCAGTAGAACATTTACATGCATGGGTCTTTACAAATAAAAGGTAACTAGAGTGCACGACAAAAACCCACGAGGTTACGCAGTCGACCCTACTCGTCGTAACGTCCAAAGCCAGGATCGAACCTATGATTTGCACAGATAACTGGCCTTATTATCTACATTGTGCACGTTAACCCCCCCCCCCTCCCGCTCACACATCGTGCACTACCTCTGCAAATACATACAAAGAAGATCCTTGTAATATTTTCGATAATTATAAGTTCTAATTTGTAGGATAATTCAGCTCCTATTATACATATTAAGGTACATCCAGGGCGGTCTTTAGAATATTTAAGACGACAAGGTCAGGGTAATGTACAGATTAAAATTAATTTGTCTTAACTGGGACACTTGTGGCATTCCATTGCAGAAAATTATTTAAAATCAATTGTTAGTCAATGTTATTGTGGATGCACCTGAGGGAAAGCAGATTCAATCAAAAAATTACATAAAAATATTAATCTGATACCGAACACTTGAGGAGAGAATGGTTAATTATATAAATATATACATTTATTAGGTTGTCACGGTGTCAAATTTCTTTTTAGATTGTAGGGTTTTCTGATGTGGAGTAGGGTCATTGATGTCACTCGCTCACACTTGATGAAACTTTGCCTAACAATGGTGATTCGGTCCAAAAATCAATGATGGCTTAGATCCAAATTTCATCACTACTACCATAAATCTTGATTTTAAATTTGCAATTTGGATTTGGGACGCCTACCCAGCCCCCCCCCCCCTCCCGGCCGCTCACAAGTATGACAGCCCTGCTGGGGTACACCGTTAGCTAGTCAGCAAATCTCGGACATTTTACAAAAAAACTTTGCATAAAAACTTACCTTGAAAAAGGAAGATAAAGAAAACAATCTTCATAGTTGACATCTGTCTGGAAACACCGAAGGTACCAAACCAGTTATAAACAGCCCTGATCACCATATCCGTTACTGAGAACCGCGCTAATATAACCTCGTGCTAATACGGCATGTCTTATTAGGGACTGAGTAATCTTTCGTCTTTTTCTGATATTAGTCGTTTGCTGATCTGAGAAAACTGGCTATCAGCTAATCAGAGAGGACAATTTTAATGGCAGATGTCAAGCACGGTACATATCCAGAAGGAATAACCTTTTCGATAATAATAATCATGAAAGTTTGCTGCCAGAACCACGAGAACTAAAATAACAAGACATAAGAATTGTATCCAGTGGCTAATTATATGGAAAACGTCTTCAGTTTCTACACTGCTTAAAGTGCTAGGAATAGAGATATGGGGTTTACTGCCAACTCTGCATAAACTAGGTCATTACGCGACTGTCATATCGTATACATGTACTTTTATTTCAATTATTCGCTTGCGCGGAAATCTTTAGCAGCCGGGGAAAAACCGGGGCACCCGAACAGAAGAAAATGTCACATATACAAACGTGAGTATAAATTCGTAACACTGAAATCTATAACAGGCCAAATGAAACAGAGCACGCGTTTTAGACACCTCGTCCGACCGACCCTCTGCCTAGAATTGGAGTAGGCCCACAAACCATTAATATATGCCCCTATGCTTCACACCAAATATGTTCACCCTTTCACAATCTAAATGACACCAAAATTGAAGCCTCTGTATCGTTTAGGAGGTAAAAGGCAGATGATGTAACATCAGAAAAAAAGGTATAGCTTCTTGTAACTCTGGAACAAATGGTCGAGGAACAGTGAATATTGATAGTGTTCTTCTACTCATGACAAAAATGCTTCACACCCATTTTGAAAAAATAATCTGTTAAAAATTATAGCATCTATCGCGTCCACATAGATTACGTTCGTTAAGAATTGGGGCTTATACTGCGTTCACAAGATTTGGGACAAAGGGTGGGGAGGGGCGGGTATATAACTCCGGAATGGAAAGCCTCTGAGGGCTCGCGATCCCCAGTGTTGCACAAGTATTGTCAAATAAGGTTTTAAACTAGCCATTTGTTGACAGACCAACGTACAAGGTGACAACATAATACGCCCACTCTGATAAAATAAATTTCTTATTTGAAATAGATGTTTTTTCACCCCAGTCACATATATCCAAGGAACCGAGAGAGAGAGAGAGAGAGAGAGAGAGATCTGGGGTTAACGTACACTCGACACAAACTAGGTCATTTCGGGACTAACACATGGTTCAATTTTATTTCAATAATTAGTTGAAAACCCACGATGTTGGACAGGCCACCCTACTCCTTGCCACGTACAACCGAATCAACGACAGTGTGCCTATTGTAGCTCCATCGGTCTTTTTGTCAGAAGTGGAAAGCGGACATATCGTTCCAGCGTACGTATGACCCATGCATCTTTTCTTACTACATATTTTGGAACAGCCTTGTGATCGTCTAGTATCTGTAATTGTCTTCTTTTCTTCCTTTTCACGTTGTGTAGTCTCTTCTTACTATCTCAGTAGTTAAGACCGTATCTTCTCATTAGTTTAAAAGAGGTTTGTCTTACCAGGAATAACAATTCAACAGTTCAGTACTACATTTTATAGGGGATCACGTGGCTAAGTGAGTAAGACGCTAGCTCGCTAGCCTGGAGGTTGGGTGTTCGATCCCTGCATTGGCCGAGAAAGTTCATCCAGATTTTCCGGCGTGGTTCTCCCTTGTCAGTGATGCAGGACGGAGGGGCTGACAAGGAAAGCTGTCTAGTCGTTCGGATGGGACGAAAAAACGAGGTCCGGTGTACACATTGGCGTGCACGTAAAAGATCCCTTGGCAGTTGGAATTCGATATAAGAGTAGGCCGTAGTGCCGCTGTCCGGGCAAAATTTCCCCCATAGCACACTGTATGGCGTATGCCCGTCTTCATTAGCCCAGGTTAGGAGCAGAACAGTAGGACGTTAAACCCCATTTCATTTCATTTCATTTCTACATTTTATATAAAGCACTGAGTTACGTAGATTACAAGCATAATAGATTACATTAGCATACTTACAGCATGGCTGGGAGCAAGCAGACAGACAGCCATAGTTATAAATGCTCAATTTCCCACCTTTTAGATTTAAGAATTGTGTAAGTATTCAATTGACTTGACCTCTTATTTTCATGTATTTGACAAGAGCAGTCTATTGCAGGTCTTTCTTTATGCCTGAAATGTTATATAAATTATAAATTAGACATTAACTAACTTATCCGGAAGGGGGGGGGGGGCTAATGGACCATTGGTAATGGTTAGCACGTGCACGCCATATCATAAAGTCCGTCATTGAGTCAACTGGCGTGGTTTCGATTCCCCGGTACGTCGTACATGTACGTGACAAGGAGTAGGGTCGCCTGTCCAACCTCGTGGGTTTTCTCCGGGTCCTCCGGTTTCCCCCCACTGCTAAAGACCCCTACGCGCAAGCGAATTATGGAAATAAAATTGAACCATGTGTTAGTCCCGAAATGACCTACGGTTAAAACCCATATCTCTCTCTCTCTCTCTCTTAATTAATTTCGATGCTATAATCTTATGTGTCTGATTTTCATTTGATTTGAATCCAATCTGCTGCTCAGCGCTTATTGATGGTTAAATCCAAAAATGGATAACCGACACTATGTTTTCTATCGTACCGACTTTAGTAATGGTGACCGAGACTAGGCCTAACATTCAATCGCTAATATCGGGGTTCAGGGTGGAGCAATTTGACTAAATTTTTCAGCATATTCCCTTTACATTATCTAGTTTTTAACTATTATAGTGAGAACTGCCAGCTCTTTATCTAATCTTCAAGACACATTATGTAAATGAAGATAGTTGTATTTGAAATGGTGTAATGTTTTTACTACATCAAATGTTCTTTGTTCTTTTGTACTATTTCCATTTTGCTTTAATGATATGTACGCAGCTCTTGAATATTATGGCATATTGATACCATAAAATCTGATCTTATCTTAGAATCCCAAAGTTTTGTATTTATAGCAAGAGCCGCAGTTGCTTGGTGAGAAGACCGTGGACCTTAAGACGTTGGTTCACTACCATAGAGATTCCGTGTTCGATCCTGGTAGTTAGCGGAGAAAGTTCATCTGGGTTTTCCGGCCTGGTTCCCTCTTGTCACTTGTGCAGGACGGAAGGCCTGGTAAAGGACAAGGTATAGTCGCTCGGATGGGACGAAAAACTGAGAGCCTGTGTACACATTGGCAAACACACAAAAGAACCCTTGGTACTTGGAATTCCCTCATAGAACACGGTGTAGCGCTAGTTACTTCAGTAACGAAAATATGAGAGCAGCAGGCAGGGCAGGCTCTCATATTTTCGTTACTAAAGTAACTAGGTGTAGCGCATGCCCGTCTTAATTAGCACAGTCCGTGCAGAACAGAAGGACGTTAAACCCCATTTCACTTCTGCATTTTAGAGTTAAGGCTGGGTTTAGCTTTTCGTTTCGGGTCTAAAAATACCTGTCTTGCCAGTTCTTCGTGTCTGTGGTGACTTTTTATTGCGCCTCGGCAAACATATAATTTATAAACTATATATAATAGATTGCATTATAAAATGGTATAATTTGCGACGTTGTGCTAAGAAAAGGCTGTGAGATATAATTAGAGCCTGAACTTTTATTGGAAATGTTATTGCTGTATGGCATAGTATAGTATTTCATTTGTTTTTATTTTCAGTGATTTTAACAAATTCCATATCAACGAGACATGACTGAAAATATTATACAAACATAAAATATCTGGCATAAAGTAATTCAGATATTTCAAACACTTAAGCCATAGTGTATAACCGGGTTTCGCAATATTTAAACATAGATCAGGACTTGTCAAACCAGTAGTAAGGTTGTCTTCTAAACTGTGAACAAATCCCCACAGGCCAATGTTAAAAAAATATATATGAACTCTACACTAAGCTTTAAAAACAAAATTGCGAATGGAATAAACAGCATAATATTTGGAATTTACGATGCGAAAATTTTTAAATTTCATATATAGGATTCTTCTTTATGCCACTGATTTTAATAAATTTAAAGATTTCATAATTTGAAAGTGGATAACTCCTTATCTCCTACCAATAGATTCCATTTCAAAGTTTTTACTGTAGCGTGAACCGAAATACAACTTTCTGAAATACGTTAATCTGAAAATTTTGAAATATAAATCAGCAAAACGAGTTACAAATTTACGATCAAAAGGTTGTAAAACATTCCATCAAAAGCGTTGTCCCATATGTTGACAAGCTTTCATGAATTTGGACGTAAATAGGGAAACAAGGAGATAACTGCAAAATCATTATGAAATTCTATAGTGTTTGTAATGTGGTGAAGGGCGTTCCCAGGAAAAGTTGGATAGATGATGGACAATAAATGCCCATATATAAAACAATGAAAAGAAATAGCAAGCGACAGTCATGCAAGTAAGCCCACATTTTGCAATGGATGGAAAAAGAACAGGGGAAATCAATGCGGTTCGCCCTCACATGAAATCAGTGCTACACACAAAATTTGAATGAATCCGCTAAAAACTGTAGTCTATCACATACCGGTACAGGTTTTTTGGCAAAGGGGGTAACTAAGGAATGGAAGGCTAATGAATGCTGAATATCGATAGGGTTCGTCCTCTTATGAACCTAATGTTTCACACAAAATCTGCAAAAAAATTGTGGCATCTTTTGCATTCACAAAGTTTTCAGCTAATGGGGCATAACTCTGGAACTAAAGGTTGTAAAACACTGATTATCGATAGTGTTCTTCCTCTCATGACACCAATGCTTCAAACCAAATTTGGGGTTGGGGGTTAGGGGTTGGATGGCCGAATGGTTAGCACGTGCGTGCGTGCGTGCTGTATTATACGGCCTGTCATTGAGTCAACTGGCGTGGTTTTGAATCCCCGGTTGTACGTGACAAGGAGTAGGGTCGCCTGTCCAACCTCGTGGGTTTTCTGCGGGTCCTCCGGTTTCCTCCCACTGCTAAAGACCCCTACGCGCAAGCGAATTATTGAAATAAAATTTAACCATGTTAGTCCCGAAATGACCTAGTTTGTGTCGAGTGGACATTAAACCCCATTTCTCTCTCTCTCAAACCAAATTTAAAATATATCTGTTAAAAAAAATAGCCTCAATTGTGTTCACAAGGTTTTTGGGATAGGCAGCAAAACTCCTGAACGGTAGGTCCAATGCACAACAAAATCAATCTCATCCATAAACTTTGTACATATTTCACATGTTGCCTAAAAGGCATGAGGTCTCAAAACTCCAGCACAGAAGGTCTAATGCACAGCACCGTTGCACTCATTTATGATCTTTTCATTCTTAACACAAATTTAACATTTCATTTAAATCAGACAAAAACTGTCACCTCTGGAGGATCCGCAAACTTTGTACATATTTCACATTTGGCGTAAAGAGTAGGGGGCATATTCTGGCATGTGCACGTTTTTACACTATTTGTGTAAAGGGAAGTGGCCATTTTGACAAGAAGTTTCGGTTCAACTATCACAAAATTCATGTTCAACCGTAACTAAGGTGTAACAGTGATATATTTGAATGTTTTTTAAAATCAAATAAAAATTGACCTCTATAGATTGTCCACAAGGTAAAAACAGGGGGCATATGAAGTTACAGTATGATGCATGCCAATATAAAAAAAACCCCAAGATCTCTGGGATATAAATCTGTATTTCAGGTTTCATCAAAATCAGATAAAATTGTCACCCGTAGACCAAGGGCAGGTCTATTAGGGGGGCGCACCCGGTCTGGATTATAATTCATTATATTAGAACCAGATTCTTCGGGGGGAGGCCATCTGGACCCCCTTGTTTGGCGCTTTCGACTTCAGCGCTCGCAGCGTGTGTCACCCCTATCCATGGTCTTTGGATCCGCACTTGCAGAGTGTCCACAAACAAAATGTGAATTGACAAAATTGATGGGTGGTCAGGGGCGACGACATAATACGTTCACATTAAAATTTAGGCGTATAAAAACAATAGCCATATTATTTCAACAGTTTATTCCAAATGTAAGTTAACACAGAGAAACAGGATATATGTATAAATCACGCCAATAAAAATAACACTTGTTACATTTGTTCAGGTTATAAATTTTTATTCACATGGATAGTCAATTTATGAGAATAAGCTGAACAACTAATGCAGAACCTATCTAATAAGAAATATTGATGTCATACAGAATTTATATTACAGAAAACGATAAGCATCAGTGGCATAATTAGGGGTAAGGGGACAAGACGACCCGGAGCTAATTATTAGGGAAAAAAGGAACGACTTTGGGCTGTTTTAAACAACCAAAGTAATTAAAATTTCCAGTACCCCGGTACCTGCTCCTTTTGGAAATCCTACATATGCCACTGCTAAACATATTCTGCATTCTGATTACAGATTTTCAAATTAGTACCAACCGCTAATCTAGGTCTGCTAAATAACAATAAAACATAGTTTTGCCTTACAACATGTACTTTTCTACAATATATTTGTGCAGGTGTTTTTGTGGATAGATTAAATAGATTCCTTTCTAGACATATTGTATATATTATATCTATATACTATTATATCAAATTACATAACAATAGACTCTTGTAACAATCACATTATAACTAACTACAAATGGTCAATATATAGAACTAATAGTCAGCAACTAATTATACTAGAGAGGTAGCTTTAGACCATAAACATAGCTTTACATACTTGTAGACTAAATACCGATTAACAATACCCTTTCCTAATACCCACTCCTTAAGTTGAAAGTTCTTAATATAATATACTATTTCCATGTCAATAACTCAAGACTAATTCAAGATGCATTATGTAAGAGCTAAATCTACCTATTGAAAGTCTGGCTTCAAATGTTATATAAATTATTATTTAGAAATCTATTTTATTCACTGTCTTGTCCATTGGATGGCTAAGGTATTAAATGGATTGGATCATCTGTGCCATATAATCAGTTAATGTTAAAATGGATAACCAAGACTATAATAGCAAAGGTACTTGACAACCAAGACTATTTAGACTAAAAGTTGTTAAAACTTCAGACATTCATGACTTCAATTATCTATTTTTGAAATATCATATACAGCAAAAATGACCAACTTCATGACTTCAATTATCTATTTTTGAAATATCATATACAGCAAAAATGACCAACTCTTTATCTAAAACTTACATAATGCATCTTTGAACAAATTTCTTTATTTTATTTCATTTTCATTATTAGATTATTATATTATCTCTACAAAAACCAACAATTACACATATTTAAATAAATAAACAATAATGAATAGTATTATGATATATATTTTCAATATACTCTTACTATTTACATAACAGTCAAATTATACAACAATTTAATAAATAAAAGATAACAACTGGTAGACCTTTTTCAATAGCATGCTGTCATATTAAATAGAATATAGAGGTGAGTGATGGGAAGACTAGGAGATAGCATAGCTAAAGCAATACATCACTCAGTAATTGGTCTTCAAACAAACAAACAATAATAAGCACACACAGCAAAGCACAAACATATTTGAGACAGGTTCATATAAAAGCATTATAAAAATCATTCAGGAATTAAAGCATGCAAATTTTAAAAAAAAACTACATAGCAAAAGCATTATAAATATTTTGTGTAAATTACTATTACAAATAAAACTTAAAATATTTTATATTGTGTGACATTAATTGCTCAAAATTTAAATTGATATAAAGGTCAGGGAAATCTTATTAACGATTACCTTTCAGGACCTTTAACAGATACACTGTTCTTAAGGGCTATTCCATTTTTTGAATTTTATTCAGTTAGAAAGTTTCCAATTCCATCACAAGCAGGGGCTATCTTTCAAATTTGCACCAAATTTTTGTCCGTTTAAATGACTTTGATCTCTCTGAACCCAAATTTTGCAGTTACTAGAAGACTGCTCCGATTGTCAGTCGGGAACATTTCGAATGAATGAAATTGCACATGGAATTGAGTCCTGTCAGTTATCTTTGCAATAACAGATGTGGTGTAAGCAAAATAATTGTGATGAAATCAACACTCTAAGTTATGGTGATTAGTTAAGATAGTATCGCATTCAGTTGGTGCATGTCTTGTCCCAAATTCCTGTGTTTACGTGACGGACACATTTCGAATGGTAGACAGAATTCAGTTCTGGAACCTTTAATCAAGTAATCTCCAAATGTTTGAAATTGCAAATCTATTGGAGAGGAAATTGTAAAAGCTGGTATATGTAAATAAATATATATGATGTCAGAGAATTGAGCATACAACTAATGGCTCTTACCCATAATGATACCTATAGTATGACTTGACAGTGTGTATATCACCAAGGCCCAGTGATGAATCAAGACAGAAGAGACTCTTCAAACATCTGAATATCATGATTTAAAACAGTAAAATCACGGCTTATATTTCTTAGTTTTTATTCTGTAACGATGTGACATCAGTGGCTTGTATTTAATAGATTGTGTTCTATAGTGATGTAACATCAATAAACATGGAAATAAATAACAAACATGGATAACACTTAATATGTCTAATGTCAGAATTATTGGCTGCGATTAAAAGCAGACATTTCGATATACATATTCAAACATGTCTAATTTATTCATACGTTGTACAAATTATCAAATGGTTTGATCGGATGCTAGTCATGAAACTTGCCAGAATAAAAATATGGATAAATAAGCATTATTATATATTGAGCAATTATATAACAGGCAAGTATAAGCTAGAGTAGGATGTCCCCAGTTATCATACTATATAAATTATTATCACAATAAATATGCATATATCTGAACATTTTTCTAATAAATTATTGCTACAGAGTACACAGAACTAACAATGAATGGCACAAATGAATAATAATATGCTCTGTAAATATGTAATTCATCGATGTTTGGAAGAAAAAAATGCGTTTCAACAGTACAATTACATTCTACCTGGCCCACGTTCTGCATTTGACTTGTGGATTCTTGGTGAACCATCAGCAGATTGAATCCCATTCATTTTGAATAGATCTAGGACAGAGATGGCCAACCCAGGGAGGATTAGAAGTGGTGTATTACATCCCTGTGATAATAATAAAGTAAGGCAGTCAGCCTAGTTCTTATTTTTAGCAATTTTATTATTTCGTATACCGGTACATCATTTTTAGCAAATACTATCTTCTTTCCCATTAATCTGTTTTCAATTAAAAAAAATATTTAATAAATCTTGAGTAGGAAAGATGGACGTTCGTTCATTGAATTAGATGGGCTTATAAGAGTTGTAGTGCACATCTGATTCCAAGTGTGAACAAATTGATGCATGGTACCGGTATGTAAAAAGTTAGTCACCTCTGATCTAGGGCAACAAGCAGAATGTAGCCATACTGTATACCATGGAAAGTATTTAGTGACAAGCGAAATAAGGAATTATGACTGCTTTAAGTCATCCAAAGATATAATATTTGTACAATTCTGTCTATCACAATAACACTAACAGCATTTCTTATAACTTCTTCAGTACTTCCGCTATGCCTCAGATTCACATTCAGCACCTTCAATGCGCCGTTCGTCTCCATCGCCCAAATTTTCTCGAACCGGTTGATTGCTATATTCAAATACTGAGGAGCCGGTCTCTGATGGGTCCGTGTTAGCCAGTAATAGAAATTTGCCGTCTGGACTTAATGGTAGGGATTCGCAATCTGAATCACTCAACTCTAACTGCTCTAGATTTTCTAATGGTAATTTCTAAAATGAACAGAAAATCAGATTTTTATTTCAAGTTTAGTTAATATTTTTGAACTAGGAACTGGACCCTAAGTGCTAGTCATTTTGTTGTCCTTCTTGGGGGCAATGCATTCTATGAAAAAAGCTGAAGGTTCTGCCAATTCATGTACTAACGACATGAAACTTGGCATGCTTGTTCCTTGCTAATTGTGCAATTTTTGACATGACATCACAATTCCATGCATACTAAACTTAGGCTGCCTGTCTACAGTTAGCTGGCGCTGTTTGAGAACAGGCACGAAGCTAGTTGACCAACATTTAAAGTCCTAAATCGACGATTTTAGTCGAAAACACTGAATATACATTGAGAATTTTAAGAACTTTTTATAACGAAGTAGAACCACATTACAATGCAGTATACTAATTTTTGGATATGGCGGCCATTCAGGGCAGAGATATATTCTTGAAGTATGAAGTAGATGAATGTCTGTGTGCTGAATGAATTCCATAATAGCACTGGTCCATAGTATGTTCGTACTTTTTAATGTAAATACCGAAACTCTTAAGCAACCATAATGATAACACAAATCAAAGTATGTGTAATAATATTATCACAAAAAAAATTAAACCGACTTGCGAAACTGACCTTATCTTCGTTGACTTTGGGTTTAACGATACCAGCCTTGGCATTTCTCTTTGCCTAGGAAGAAAGAATGATAAATAAAAAAAATTGAAATAGGTAGGTAAATATTTAATATGAGAGAAGGGAGAGACAGAACTTAACTTGTGTGTTAGCTCTGTTATACCAGGAACTTCCTAACACTGTTTACCATGTCATGTTTATTTCTTTGGTTGAAGTTATATCCTTCAATAATCTTCAGTTTCAGAGTGAAAGTGAATATTGCAAAATAGTATTTATTTCTTAATTATATAATCAACTTACCATTAATGCTTCAAATGCCATTCTAGTAGCTGTACCAATAGATTTACAAATCTGTTAATAGAAATGTAACATATTTAAAAAAAATTCCAGAATAATCTCCTATAGTATAAAGACAAATTCATTTACCAAAATCTTTTTGTAATAATCTTTCTTATATAATGAATATTAAAAGTTTAACTTCTTAAAGGAGAAATCCCAGATATAATATTTCAATGTTAATTCTTTGTGGCTCCTAAGAACTCTTTATTCTAGTCCCCAGTAACTATCTTAAACTCATGAGTGATGCTTTTTCAAAGTAATACCAAAGCTACTACCTTGACCATTTCTTAATACATTAAATGAAATCTGAAGATCTTTCTTATAAAATAATTTACTTATAATAATGGATACAGACACCAGTATTAATATATATTACCTCTTCAGATGAATTATTACTTTCAAAAACATGACAAGCAAAGGACAGATTATTTTTAGCACCACCAACAATTCTTGTTCTGGTTATAAAACCAAAATATCTGACAAAAAATAAATAAATGTTTATTATAAATATTTGGAGTGTAATAACATATTAGTCTGTTAAGAATATTTCTATTGTAAAAACCATTATAAATGTTTATTATAAATATTTGTAGCTTCAAAACCTATTATAAATGTGTATTATAAATATTTGTAGTGTAAAAACTTATCAGTCTGTTAAAAAATATTTGTAGTGTAAAAACCCTATCAGTCTGTTAAGAATATTTGTAGTGTAAAAACCCTATCAGTCTGTTAAGAATATTTGTAGTGTAAAAACCTATCAGTCTGTTAAGAATATTTGAAGTGTAAAAACCTATCAGTCTGTGAAGAATATCTGTAGTGTAAAAACCTATCAGTCTCTTAAGAATATTTGTAGTGTAAAAACCTATCAGTCTCTTAAGAATATTTGTAGTGTAAAAACCTATCAGTCTCTTAAGAATATTTGTAGTGTAAAAAAACATTATAAATGTTGTGAGATGCAATGGAAATGCAGAACTTTTATGAATGTAATTCTTGTTTGAATGATACACTGAATGGTAACAACAAAGATAAAGACAATAACATACAAAGATGATGCTTGCACGATCATATAAATGCTGCCAGCTTCTGTACTATTGCTACTATGAGGGGTCCACACTGGTTCAGCAGTGCTGACATTACCTGAGTGCGTGCCCTAGCATAGGCGCAACTCCAGACAAACAGTCAAAAATATATATACAGATTATAAATATTCATGTGCCTTACTTAAATGGAAATACATGTTTATTCTACATTTTGTTACATTTATAAAGTTACACTGATACAGTTACTAGACATTTATATGAGGATTGTACTTCTGAACTTGTATTACAAATGTATACATTTGTTTCATCAATTCACTTCATACATGCACAAATTGTTTGAAACATAAGGGTATGTTATTACCTACCGTTCATTCTCTGGATGTCTTGACCAAAATGAGATATCCTGAAGAGCAAATTCCACTCTAACTGCATTATTGGAAGGATCTAATAATCTCATCCCTTCATTAGATACAATAAACTTAGATTCTGTCATTTTAAATACATTATGTATTGCTCGGGCTGCCATGATTTGTCTGATAGTATCATGTACTAGTGGTTCACCTATAAACAACACAAAAAGCTTTACATAAAGACTGCTTTAAAATCAAATTATCTTATTTGACTCTGACATTTTAACTAAATTCTTTGCTATGGGTGTGGTTTAAATCTGCCCCTCTCTATTCAGAAATAATGTCTTAATTTGTCTAAACTGACATTTCTTTTTTTTTTTAAAGGCAAAAATAACCTTTGTTCCATCCCATCAATTAACTACCGTCCATACCAAAATTACATCTTTTGAGTCAAATTTAAAAGTTAAAAATTCATGTATTTTTACCCCAGATCCCAACAATCATTGCCTGTATATTTATAATCAAATCTATATTTATCACTATTATATTACCTCTATCTGCTTTCACTTCCATAGAACCGAGAAAACGTACAGTAAATACTTGACTAAATGCTGCATTATCAAACTTAACGTCAAACACTTCACCAGATGATTGATCAAATGGGTTAATACGCCTACAAAATATACTTGTCGTTATGCAAATTTAAGACTTTATGTACTATAACTAAAATATATCAAATTATCTTTTATATTTAAATATTATAAATCTAATATAAAATCATATATTACATAATATAAAATTTAGTTCTTGAGAATAGAGCATGGTTATGAATTTCTATGTTAAATCTAAAAATTCCAAAATAGATAATTGAACTTAATTGAACTAGTAGCAAGTACGTAATCAAACGAGATGGCTACTAATATATAAACAAATAACAATATACATAACATGCAATTTACTATATTCATTTATACATACATCAACATGTTGATAAAAGTAGTACATACAATTTACTTATTTGATTTACGATACATAAGGCCACAGATAAAAAAAAAAAATTCTGGTTCTCAGAGACTCACTTAGAGAGCCGCATGACCCGTTGAAATAAAACAACAAATTGAAATTACTAAGGTGCTGGGATCTTCCATTATCGTTGATGCAGGATCAAGGTCTGGTGTACATGGTGTGCACGTAACAGATCCCCCCTTTTTTCTTTCAAAGGATTTCCTGAGAACCAGCTAGAATATGGCCTAACTTTGCACTAACTATACTTGTATATTGTCTGTCTTAAAAGTATAATTACAGCTCTAAATATTCTATATTTTGATTTACAACTGAAGGCAGCTTAGAAATAATAGCAAAAGAAAGTATTAATTATATAATCATCTGTATAAGGAGAGACATAGCCTTGAACTAAAACTGTTTTAACCTCAGGCATTATAGATCAACAGTTAATGCGACACATTAAGATTGGTTACCTCTGGCATAAGATTCAAAGCTATTAGTATTAAAGATGTTTTTATAAGACACTAATTGGTTATTATTTTATGTAGTAAATACTAACTTTGGAGGACCTGACATTGGTGATTGAGGCCCCCTATTTTCCTGTGATGGAGATACCAAATCAAATTGAATAGGAGTATCTAAGACAAGAGTATTCTCCCCTTGCGTGGCAGCAGCACCAGTTGTGGTAGCAGACGTACTGACTGATGATGAGCGTGAACCATTCTCACTATTAAATTTTCAACCAAATAAATTAAAATGAAAATAATAAATAACATGACATATTGAGACAAACATTCGTATTTGATGATAAAATAAAAAATAATTTCAAATTATAAAATAAAGTGCCATGCATTACATAAATATACTTATACAAAGTAGCCAAATTCTAAATGCCTTAAATTTTATGTATGATCCCTAGTGGTTGGCTAGCAGACAATGATCTGAACATCCATAGGGATTAAATAGGTGAGTATATGGTGTAATTTAAAAAGGCAATGTGACAGAAGAAGAATAACAATATTCATTTTTTAAAGCTAACAAAAATAAGGAATGAAAAATGTTTCTTAATATATGTAACCGAAACTGATTGGTTGTTTACAACAGACGAATAGAAATCAAATCTAACCAATTTCTTCATCTATGAAAAGACTTTCTGGATTGATGTTTGGATATTAATATGAGTATCTCATGTACTAGTAGGTGAAAATTATTTTAAACTGACTTTAAAGTGGAGTGAAATCACTAGAAACTGATGTAAATGTCAAAGGGTATATACCTGTTTCAATGAGATGACGTTTGGAGTTTGACGATGATCATGCCAGCACAGAAAGGCATCTAGAATCTGGGCTTACTTATTTTTACTGTACGTCATGCCACATATACTATCAAATGATTCACATAAAGTATTTTACTATTGGACATTGCCCAAAATAGATACTATATCTAGTTTACTTTAATTGGCATTATCTAACAATATAGAATATTTGATGTGGTATATAAATATATTATATAAATGTACCTGAGTGTTGTTGGACTAGGTATTGACTGATTGTCTGCTGATTGACTTTTCTCTAAACTTGGTGTTCTGTCCTGTAATATATATATATATATATATATATATATATATATATATATATATATATATATATATATATATATATATATATATATATATAAACATCCATAATATTAAACTTATATTGTTGATTTCATTGTTTATTTTGCTAAAATCGGATTACATTAAATTTCTAATTAAATTTGAAAGTAAACTAGTAGTCTAATGGATTTTAAGGTCTATAAGTGGTGTTGTTTCAATTCTTAGCTTAGTAGGGTAGTAGCGTTTAGTAGGAGTGGGCAACCTTGATTTGTTCTCTCTGGGTCATCCAGTTTCCTCCTACTGCTAAAGACCCCAAAATTAAATAATCTATTAATTACACACATCGTTATGTGTGCTGGTACAGATGTAGTTGGTACTATTGATTATTTAACTTACCTTTCGTTTTGGTGGAGTTTTACCTCCTCTAACGTACCCACTATCTCTAACTATATTATTTATAGCAGCAATCCACTAAAAATACAATATATTAATAAATCTATACTAATATTTGTGAAGTTTGTCTGTCTGTTTGTCTGTCTGTTCGAGGTTGGCGGATACACTAGGTCTGCCCCGAGTCTGAAATTTGGGGTATAGGGGTAGCCCGGACCGGGGAGTAACATAGGCCAGGTGGCGTTAGTCTACCACTTCTGGTTTCGGGGTTATGACCCCCGAGCGAAGCCGGGCATTCTTCTAGTACAACATAAGAAGGAATCATAGAATGACTGTTTACTGCATTGTAACAGTATGTTTTTGCTTTTTTATTACAATTAGTTAAAAATACTTGTTTGGTTCAAAATAAAATGTAGCCTTCCATATTGGTGCCAACATGCCATAAATCATTTTATGGCATTTCCATTTTTGCAGTTTCTTGAAGAATTTCAATTCATTTATCATTAAACTTATTATTGTTACCTCTTCTCTTTCTCTGTGATTCTCAGCTTGTAAAACGACAGTCCTGAAACACATTATTACATTAAGATATATTATTACATTAAAACACATCATTAAATAACACATTATGGTATTAAAACACATTATTACATTAACATATATATCAATACATTAACTTATATATCAATACATTAACATATATATATATCAATACATTACAATATTAACCAGCGGCTGCCAGGCAGGATACGCCCACATTTTCGAGAGATGGATAGAGAACAAGCTAACAAGAAAGTGATTTTTCCTACTATCAAGGGCCATAATTCAGGAAATTACAATTCAATATGCGCGAATATCGAAAGGAACCGAAATCTTTGGGTTATAAACTTACATTTCAAGTTTCAACAAAATCAGATAAGAATTGTGACCTCTATAGGGTCCACAACCTTGATATACCATATTCTTACGCTATTTGAGAACGAATGGCGGCCATTTTGTCTGTCAATTTTAGGCCGATTTTCACGAAATTCGAACTCAGTCGTCCTTAGGGTGAAACATATAATATTGCTATTCAATATAACATATATAACATATAACATATAATAATACGGGTTTTTATATCGGATAAAAATTATGACTTCTATAGGGTCCCCAAGCTAAAAACGCGATTTTTCGTACAATCAGGGGCCATAATTCAGGAAGTTATGGTCCAAAATGCGCGAATATCGAAAGGAACCGAGATCTTTGGGTTATAAACTTTCATTTCAAGTTTCAACAAAATCGGATATTTTGAAATAATTAGAGTCTAATAGTTCAGACTGCACTGATTATAATATTGTACCTCAACTATGACCACAAACAGAAAGCGAATGACATGAAATGGGGTTTAACATTTTACTTTCCTTCCCAACTGATTAGATTATTACAGACTTACTTTTTGGATGAATGCGCTACTATTTGAAATACAAATCTTCTATCATCATATTCTGATATTTCAGCTATTAATCCTTCTTCATTTAAATCCACTACTAAACTTCCTGCAAACTGTAAATATAAGAGAATAAGCCGTATATCAGCAGTGTAAAATCTAAAACACAGATGGGAGTTTGTCAGGCCCAGTTACTGCTGATACACAGCTAAAAAAAAATTCCATTGTGAACTATGTCCTGCATAGGCGTACGGGGAAATTTTTGACTGGGGGGGGGGGGCGGTAGTATGTTACATAATGATAATAAATTCGCTGTTAAATTGGACACACTCAAGAACACAATATTTTTTTTATACAACTTTTACAAAGTACAATTGTGTGCCCAAATTTTCCCAGCATTTGGTGCCCAAAATGGGGGGGGGCGGCTGCTCATACGCCTATGATGTCCTGTATCATAGTCTGAAGCTTTAAGAGTCCCAAATTGTTTAAGCCTACATCGGTTATGAGTTATGATTTATGTTGTTCTAGGGTAGTCCCACCTGTATATAGTAAATTCACTCAAAACTCGACATAAACATGCTTTTGAAAATCAAAGTTGGCAAAAAGAATTGGAGGGCGGGGATCAAGCCTTGCCTAGGACAGAAAATATTTTGGCACATCATTGACTGTACCACATTTACATGATTTAATAATTGAATGTATTCTGGGTTCTTCCTTATGACCATTGAACAATTTCTGCAAATTTGAACATAATGATGGTATATTAAATGTGACCATACCCAAATCAACAGATATAATATTCATATTGCTATTTATTGTGTTTGATGAATTTATTTAAAAGAAAAAAGTTATCAAGAAATCAATGTGTTAATTGGGATTTTTTTGTTCCCTAAGAAAAAATAAAGAATAGAGTTTAAATTATTATTACGTAATGAAAAAATGAAATCATATCTGGTGAATAATGAAAAAACAAAGATATTCTTATTCATCTTTTGAATACACTCAGCGAACACAAACTAATCTGTGACATACATCCACAAACAAAGACAGCCCATGCTAACATGACATTGTGATTCAACATTGTATTAATTATATCCATTCAAATGCTACCCCTAATCAAAGAATGTGTCTGTGACGTTATCAAAGCCACCACATCTTTCAGTCTTTAATGTGGGTATACTGTTCTAGAAAGTTTTTAAAAGTAGGTTTTAAGTAGCTATCACCATTATTTAACTGGACTAACTCCTAAATCCCACCTCATATATATATAATATATATATAAAAATAAAATTGATCTGTTTTTAATTTATGTAGATTTTCTTCAATGGAGTGTATTGTAGGTAATTAGGTATTATAGCTCAGGTTATCAAATGGATATATACTGTACGTGTAATTGACTGAATGGTAGTGGGTGGTCAGTGTCCTAACAGTACTTTTTTTCATAATTTTTTATAGTTTAAATAACATAAAATCAGATTTGTAGTTTTACTAGAATTTAAAAAAAAAAATATTTTAAATTAATTCTTAATTCAAAAAATACATCTTGAAAAATTAATAATTCAGAAATAATCTTCAATGAGTCGTAACAAAAGTCATCCAAATTTAAAATGACTAGATCTCTTTGATTTCAGTCAAAAATAAAATTGTTGATATGTTTTGTGGGATGACAATTTGAACATCTTTAGACAAAGCCAGTGTTTAGTTATAACTGATTTTGTGTTGCTGTATCGACACAGTTAAGTCAAAAATTAAACTAAAATTAGTGAAACAAAAATGTACTTGTCCCAACACAAATCAACCTTTTTCAACACTTTATTTTGACCTTTAGGACATTTAGCCCGTTTCCTGTAAGTTTAACCTTTTTATAACCGGGCATTTTTCAATAATAGGTACATTATAGTGCTATATAATATTTGTGATGAAAAGATTATAGATACGGATCAGAATATGGGTGTGTCATTTAAAATGATAAAGACGTGGTGATGTGAGGAATAATTTTATAATGAAAAATACAATGCCCTTACTTTAAAGTTCTAGGTAAAAATCTTTATCAAATACATACACAACCAATTAGTCAAACATCTGACAAATATTGGGATGCCAAGACTGTAGACATCATACTCTTACATATTATTTTCATAAAATATAACAATAACATTTGTCCATCTAGCAATTTTATAAATTATAATGATAATGTCCATAACATTTGTACATCTAGCAATTTTATAAATTATAATAAAAAATGGCTATTGATAATATCCATAATGTTTGTCCATCTTGTATTTTTCATAAAACATAACAATATTTCAAACTGTCTATAAGGTTTGTCCCAGGCTTTTTTATAAAAATATGATAATATTGGTTATTGGTTAGTACAATACAGTAGAATGGAAGGTAAGGTAGAACGTGGGTCAAGTTATTAAACAATCTTACTAAAATCAGATCTTTAATTCATTCCTTGGAGTCTTTTTATATATATCTCAAGACTGATTAATAGAAAATATCTATTGATAATTCTGATTGTAAAGTCTTGGAGATAAATTCAGCAATGCTCCTTTAAAAGACTAAAGATGTGATTTTAACAAGACATACAGCCTACAAAACAAACATTTAATTACAACCAACTCAGAACATCACTGAATAATAGCCATGTTTGTCAGGTGCTGCAATGTATGCTGTAGTTGTACTTTAATGGAAATCAAACTTCAGAGATAATTTAATTTTAGATTATCAGGATTATCATCAATGGATATATTTTAGAAGACTTTTTAATATCATATTCATTATACAGGAAATCAAATACAAATCTTATTTTACCTAAGATAATAGTACATCAGTATTTATTTCAAATATTGTACAAGATATTATTACATTAATATCTACTTTCAATATTGTATCTAAGATACCAGTACATCAATGTTTACTTTAAATACTGTGCCTATATAAGATACCAGTACATCATTGTTTACTTTCAATATTGTACCTAAGATACCAGTACATCAATGTTTACTTTAAATATTATACCTAAGGTACTAGTACCTCAAACTTTACTGCAAATAATGTACCTAAGGTACATCAATGTTTATTTTAAATACTGTATCTAAGGTACTAGTATGTCAATCTTTACTTCAAATATTGTACCTAAGGTACAAATACATCAATCTTTACTTCAAATATTGTACCTAAGGTACAAGTACATCAATTTTACTTCAAATATTGTACCTAAGATACAAGTACATCAATTTTTACTTCAAATAATATACCTAGGTTAATCTTTACTTTAAATATATCAATGGGTAATAAACAAGTTTATAAACCTACCATAACTGATGAACCTATTGAATTCGACTACAAATATTTAATTTTAAAGTTCAGTTAATTCATTTTAAGATTGAAGATATGATCGATCTTTTAAAACATTCTTTTCCATAAATTGACTATAAAATTTGTTCTACAATTATTTGAAATGAAAAATAAAAATATTTTTAACATTGAACTGTTTTCTAGTGACATTAACAATTGAGAAACAATGGTTATATATTACTTACATCTTTGTTATATTTTCTGGCCTATATAAAGTACAGAGTGGAATAGAAGATAGAGAGAAGGATGAATTAATATAATACATAAGAAACATGATGAAACATGTAATAATCTATACTCAATGAAGAGTATAGCGGTTTTGGTTATAACCTTGTCTGATTGTGAATATATTTGAAATGGATTCTGATATATCAACCATGCTTTTAGTATAACTAGACTCCAATCACCAAGGTTAATAAATAAAAAAAAAAGATAAAAGAATGAAATATTATATCTATAAGCCATATAAAGAAAATATTCTGGTTTTCAGATACCGCCGCATGATTTGTTTTTATTTCAAAAAATCAAAATTAAAAATATCCTCTCATCCATATTTTTCACGGTAAAGGAAAATAATTTAATTAAATGTTTCTAGCTTAAACAAAAACTTAACTTTGAACCCAATTATTTAGTATGCAGCTTTGATGTTAAGATTAATGCAGAACCTTGAAATGTGATCTGTTTTCATTAGCCCAGTTGGTGCACGAGAGTATCATGTTAAATCCCATTTTATCTGAATTGTAGTGTTTGTAAGAAGTCATTTAGAGTGAATCTTTGACATAATAAAACCACAAACCTTCTACCCATATAAGTTTCTTTGGAAGGATTGTCCAATAACCAGAATATCTTTTTTGTATGTCCAAAACTGAACAACATATCCCATTATAAGCTCAAGGAGAAATCTATTATTAAGTTGATAAATCTATATAGATAGGTAAGTTGCAAACAGTTACTAAATAAATAAAAGGTTGCTAGATATGTTAGATAATACATAGATAATTGTTTATATATCCTACCTCTTCTTTAGACTGACTCATTAGATTACCACCTTGTGTAAAATAATAACAACGATCCCATTTGGATCCTAATATAGCCTGTTTACTGAAATATTATAAAACAATACTCTATGTAAGTTTCAATCTTTTGGGATTTGTTAAAAACTTTAAAATATTTCTTTCGCAACCCTGGTCTTGGAGAGGGAAAAAAAGCTTAATGACTAATCAACCCAACTAAGTAATTAAGGTATTAATATCTTATGGGGATGTGGTGGCAAACTGAACAGCGTAAATATTTGCTTGGCTGCTACAGTCACTGAAGGGATGACATTGGAACAAGTTAATTAGCTTTCAATATTAACTTTTTTTTCTCCTCTGCAAATTAAATTCTAAAATAATTTTTTAAATTATCAAGAAAAAAAATAAATATCTGGATAAAAAATATTTCCTACTCAGTCTAAATGGGTACATAAAATAGTACGCGAAGGCATAAATTGAGTAAAAGGCACCACGATGTGATGTCTACGTATGAATCACATGAAATCATAAAGGTCAGACATCTTACACAGAGTTAAAAGATTGGTGTGGTGGGTGTTTAATTGTCATTAAGAGTGTTCTGAATTGGTGGAATTACAATTGAGTCAAAAGCATTTGAATCATGTCACAGTTCTTCTTGTCCTGATAATAGATTTAGGGTATAGGGTAGTGTGAGTAGAATTATGACATAATCTAACTTTTCAACTCAGCTCACATATTTCATTAGATTGATTAGGTCACATAAAAAGTATTCTGTTTCTCAGATACCGCCCCGTCATCAAAACAAGTTAATCTAGATGAAGTCGCAGAATTATTCGGACGTTATTTCAAAATCTTACTTATTTTTTTGTTTTTCTTATTAAGAGTAAAATAAATATTAAATCTATAAATTTGTGTGTTTCTTAAATATGGTAAACTAGCTAGAATTTTGACAAAATAAAACAAAAAACACCCTTCTGCATCAATTTTTTAAAAGGATTATCTGAGAATCAGAATATATTGTTTGTGTGGCCTGAAGTTCAATTCTGGAAATTTCAAATTCTGAGAATTCCAACTGTATATCATGCATATAGGACTCTTTAGAACAGGCAGGAAACTGGAAAAACCAGACAACATACATGAAGTTTGGTAAATGTGATTCTAATTCTATCATGTGAAGTCTTGTTTGCTTCGATGAAAAAGTATGAGTATAATTCACAAGACTAACAACTCCCAAATGAAGATTTGGGTAAACATTTGAAAGTCGAATATGTGCACCAGGGGCGTAGCTAGAATTTTTTCAATGCAGTAGACGAAAAGTGCCCACCCCCTTAAAAAGTGTCACCTGCTACGCTGCTGTAGTGCACCCAAAAAAATATGAATGATAGAAAAGAAATACTTATAGTATCACACCTTCTTTGGTACAGATATCCAGATTTTTGAGCAAGCGATGTATTAGGAGGGATATATGGCATATCAATAGGAGGTTCTGGATGATAAAGATGAACACTCTGTTTCTCTATTGAATCAATTAATTCTACCGTCTTCTGGGTTTCTACAGATAACTCTTGATGTACACTTAAAAAAATTACATATATATAACATTACACACAAAGAACAAAAAAGAGAACATTAGCAGGAAAAAAGTCTCAAATTTCATTACTACAATTTCATGTAAAATTATTTTCATATTGTCATTATAAATGAGTTTCATGAAATATGGGTCTTAATATTGTATGTTTCTGCACCCACATGGTGCTTTAAGGGAAATTGTGCACAGACAGCAATGTTTCCTCCTAGTCCTACACTTCTTTGAATTCCAACTGCCAAGGGTTCTTTACGTGTATGCCAATGTGCAGACAGGACTTCGTTTTTTTCGTGCAATCAGAATGACTAGATACTATTCTGTGCCAGGCCCTCAGTACTGAATCACTAAGAAGGGAAACCAAGCTGGAAAATCCAGAGGTACTTCACCTGCCAACCCTAGGATTGATCCCAGTAGCCTGAGCAGAAAATATGATCTAAAATGCTTTCTTTTGAACAATGTATTTTAATTTAACCATTTTTAACTTTTCTTTACCAGTATTCATATTTTGGAAATAGCCCAGGGTTGTGTGATTTAGCATATGGGCCAAGGATATAGATAATTATAACACAGGGCAGAAGGCTGAAAAATTGATCTGGGTTTATGTTCCAAAAATGCAAATATTGCAAAATGTCACTATCTAAAAAGACATAATGACTGATTCTAACCTTAATACACTTGCATTTATATTTCCTAAGAAATCCTCTATCTCTGGTTTCATAACAGCATCTGTACCCATTTGGAAGAAAGCTCTCTGTGCATGTAAATAACCCATGACTGGTTCCAATAGAAAACATTTCCTTTTATATTGTAGAGCATTAAGACAGGAATAATAATGTAGAGAGGTCTAAAAGTAAAGAGAAAGACATTCAAATATAATTTGTTACATTTACATATTCCAACAGAAAAGAGGTATTCCTTTGACTTTTGACCAAAATGTCTTGCCGCTTAGGATCTTCAAGCCCAGTTCTGCAATTTGGTGATTAAAGTGTGCCTAGTCATTCGGAACAAACAAGGTAGTCGGAAATTGATGATGAGTTGACAAAAATGTAGCTATTCAGACAAACTTATTAATTTTTTTTTAAGACAATAATTTTAATTTCATATTTTATTATTCAAATTATGGAGGGTGGACTAGATGTCCCAATTAACATTCCAATTAAGAGTAATCAACCTGGTGAAATTTCTTTCTCATTGTATATAACTCTTCGTTAGTTTCAATCCTTGCTTTCTCATTTTCCTTCTTTTTCGCTGATAATTTCATATATTTTCCTAAAGCTTGTTCATGTTCTGAAATAAAATTAATAATTGACAAACAAAACTGAATGAAAAATATAACTTTTTTTTAAGCGGATCTATCTTTCTTAACCATAATAAATTTTGAGAATGTATCAGAATAAATTCATTAATCCATATCGAGCATGAAAATCAGCAAACAGAAAATATGTATTACTAGCAGGGGGTCATAACTCCGAAACCAGAAGTGGTAGACTAACGCCACCTGGCCTATGTAACTCCCCGGTCGGAGCTACCCCTATACCCCAAATTTCAGACTCGGGGCAGACCTAGTGTAGCCGCCAACCCTGCTTCGCACGAGGGTCATAACTCCGAAACTGGAAGTGGTAGACTAACGCCACCTGGCCTATGCTACTCCCCGGTCCGAGCTGCCCCTATACCCTAAATTTCAGACTCGGGGCAGACCTAGTGTAGCCGCCAACCCCAAACAGACAGACAAACGACAGTCACAAATATTAATATAGATGGTAAATGAGTTGGCCTCTGAGATATTAACCTTAATTTCTCAAATTCAGATCTAATCAAGATTTTTCATTAAGGTTTTTTACAAATAACTATTTTTGTTTTTAAACAGGTGATGTGTTTATTTGTAGGGTGTAAATAATTAAATAAGAACTTTAAGTGATTTTCCAAAGTATGCTATAGTTGCTGTGGTATCGGGGTCTGACTATATAATTATATAACACAATTCTTACCATGAGAAGAAATCTGGTACATTTCATACATTGTGCTCACTTCTGTAAAGAAAATATTTCAAACCCAATTCAAAATAACACTAAAAATATCAAGATAGCTTGCCAGGCAAAGTAACGTATGCCCACATATCAGATTTTTTATCTCATGATTTTTCGAACTCCATAGAAATGTAAATGTACTAATATTAATAATCATAAGTTTGGTGCCATAACTCAAGAAGTATTTTTCTAAAAAAAATACACTAAAATCGATAAGAACCATCCTTACAATTCTTCATGAAAATCTGAAGAAAATCGTTAGAATCATTATGAGTATACTGTATAGTAGTAGAAATTTATCAACAACGGTATCAGTCAAGGGTCACAACTCTTGAAATGCTTTTGTGAAAATACTCAGAAGTATGTGTATATCAGGCCTTAAATATCGACTGCATGAGGAGGGGCTTTAATATATGATCTTTCTTATTTATTAAATAATACAAACCTTCTATATCAGCTTGGACAAATTTATTTATAGGGTACATCATTGTTTCTGAATACTGTGATGCTAACACTTGTTGTATAGAACTAATCTGAAACAAAATACAGAAATCAGAGGATAAATGTATAACTAATGTTTAATATCAAATGCAAGAAAGGAGAATTCATACATATACTTTCAATTCTTGAATTCAAACTATTGGGACTCATCTTTGATAGACAAGTGGGAACCATATTTGGTTAGTTTTGATTTGAGTTCATTTACTTACATCGTCTATATAGCTGGCAAACTGCTTTAATGTAGATGTTAGAATACTGTCTTCACTTTCTAGAGGGAATTTCTGAAATATTAAAAATAAATCATGTAGAACAATTAAAGTATCATTATGCACTTGTTTATATTGTAAATCCCAGATTCATCAAATACCACGTACATGTACACCAACTAAAAATTATTAAATCTATTTCATATTTATGACTATGTAAAGTTTCTAGCAAATAATATTTTGACTTCTTTTTTATGTGATCTGACTAGAATTGGGACTTTATGTTACTAAGAAATGAATAAATATTATATAAAATAATGTAGGTCTATGTATGTACATGTAACTTACATGTGCTTCATATGCTCTTAGCTGTTGTGCTAAACCTTGTGTTGCTGCACATAATTCATTCTAATAAAAAAAGGAGCATAATAATTATGTGAGGATCCGAATATCAGTTAGGGGGCAGTAATGGTACAATATGATATTTGCATCCCGATTCATAAGCAGGTTGCAACGTCAACTGTAGTAGGCGATCTAAATCTACTTTAAAGTCAAAATTGTGAGATTTTTCTTATTGCCAAAATAGTTTAGCAATTAAATGGACAGTAACTCTTTGAATTGATGCACAGCCATTAATTTCGATAGGGTAAATGACTCTATGGAATCGTGTCTCTATGGAATCATGTCTACACGACTAGTTGAAGTAGCTTGCTAACTCTAAAAAATAAAAATCTGATCTGTACAGATGGACCAATGGTGTTTATATTTTTTATACATTCTGATAGGCATAGAAATGTAACATAGTCTGGTTTACCTGTGCTGACATAATTCTTTGACAGCATGCTTGTAGACCTCCTGTGTATTTCTTCAATACAAAAGCATCTTTTTCAAACACAGATAGTAGATTTCTGGTCTAAAAAATTAACAAAAGTCATAAGAAAAACCTATGATTATTAAAACAGAATTATAATCAATCACCACTGAAATCAGATATTTGATTTATAGTGAATTACTCGCAGTTGACATCTTATTCAGGGTCACATTTAAAACCAATGTGTAGCGGGAGTGTTCTAGCACAGGAGTCTGACCTTCTATTCGTATATGCATACACCATGTCCAATCAGACAATATCTTTTTTATTATATTATTTTCTGGTTGGACATGGTGTATGCATATATATATACGGATAGAAAGTCAGACTCTGTTGCTTATAGGCATAGGCATCCATATAAATAAATTGAATTGTCAGTTTCATAAATATGTTCACTACCCAAAGCCCCATATAATAAATATGTGCCTTCAATTAAAAGTATTTATTAAAGTAGAATCTTCCTGCAGCATACTTTGCTATAAGACCATAATTCAATTAAGAGATCTCATCAATTTGTTTAAACTACACAAAACAAATATGTCCCGTCCTTGTCCCACATATTTGGAAAGTTGAATCTTAAATTCCTGGTAAATATCTTAAATTCATTTAGTGGCAAAATCTGTGTACTAACTTCTTTCTGGCAGCAGACGACACGAAGACAAATTGAAATTTAGGTAGCCTAACCACACAAGGGGGAAAAAAAAAATTCTTTGAAAAAAACTTAGAATCTTAGTCATATTTTGCTTTACTTACCTTTTACAACTAAAGCAGACTAATTTTTTCAAAAATTATATTTGTTTCCCCTGGTATTAAAATACTTAATTTCATGTCGCCGATATTCTTAAATTTGTGCATTAGTCTCTTTTTAGACTACAATGGGAGGTATTGGCAAAAGGGTGCCTATTTTTATCAGCGAGTGATGCAGGATTGAGGGCCTGACAAGGACAGCTATCTACTCTAGTCGTTCGATAGTTGGGATTCAATATAAGAGTAGCCCGTAGTGTCGCTTTCGGGTCAAAATTTCCCTCATAGCACACTGTATGGCGTATGCCTGTCTTCATTAGCCCAGTTCGGAGCAGAACAGTAGGACGTTAAGCCCCATTTCATTTCATTTTTATCAGCGTGTTGTCAGACATAGATTAACTGACTCTAGCGAGGTACTGTAAGCAAGGTCTTATTTTTTACATTCACATGGACTGACATGGGATTGTATAGCTGTAACAAAATTTACAGTAAAATTGATGGGGACGAAAAAAAAAAAAAATAGATATAGATAAATAATGAAGAGGTAAAAATGATACGCTTGAATTACATGAACATTCATCTTTCAAAATATGTGCATTTTTGTTTTGTTTTAGAGTTGTTCAGGAGATGTATAATTAACGATTCTATCCCCCTCTCGGGAGTGCCTATTTCTTTATAGCCCTGGTTGAAATCTGTCAATCTACAGCTCTGAGCTTGCCATTGAGATTGAGTTATGTATTTATGTAGCTTTGATCACTGCATAGCTAACTGACCATTTGATAATGGCACAAAGCACTTGACATATGAATTTTAGAGTTTGAGTCATGATGTCATTTAATCATAGGCCATTCTGATTCATGAAGATAAATATGTCAAATGTCTGAATGAAGGCACTCCCCTCAAAAAATTAAAATTTAATAATCTATTATTTTTCTATTCAATTATACCTGGGGACTATCCTCCAATGCATCCTCAAGATGCAATTTTTCAATGTCTGGCATCTTACTGGGGCTCGAAATAAATTCTTATTAAATTGCAACCTTGCAAAAAAATGAATTAACGGCGAAAGTTTCACCAACTTGAAACTAGACAGCCATTTTAGCACCTGCAGACAGTTATAGGACCGCAGTTGTTGTGATGAAGCTTTCGGAAATTTCATTGGAAATAATTGTTTATCTTTTTTCACAGATAAAAAAACTGACTTTATAAAATTGAAAATTAATATTCTATCATTAAATATAATACTTTCAAGTAATGCTTATTAACAAAACAGTAAATTTATTATTAAACTTGCAAAAAAACCCAATGTCATTGTCACTTAGCTGGTTAAAGGGATCTAACTCTTGTTTCCATGTTCATTTTGAGCCGGGTCAATGATATCTAAATAGTATTTTTTTAATAACGACATATTTTAGATTTAGATTTACCCTTATTATGGTCATATTCTAATGAACTAAGAAAGTTAAATGTAATAAATATGTGTATTAGTTGCTAAGAAAAAAACACCCAATTATACAAAGGTGCTGCATTGTGCCTTCTGATTCACCTGTACGATTTAGCAAGAAATGTGACATTTTAATAACTCCATTTTTTTTCTTGTTTAAATATATGTTTGGTTAAGATCGCAAGGTGTGATGTAAGTATATTTGATGACAAATTTATTAAAGGTGATAAGCTTTCTAATGTTTGTACTCTTGTTAATTTCGCCCTTAAAGGGAGAGAAATGAGGTTTAATGTCCACTCGACACAAACTATTTCTATTTGGGGCTAACAAATGGTTAAACTTTATTTCAATAATTCACTTGTGCATACAGGTCTTTAGCAGTGGGAGGAAACCCACAAGGTTGGACAGGCAACCCTACTCCTTGTCACATACAAGCAGGGAAATGAAACCACACCAACTGACTCAATGACAGACCCTCTGATCCAATGCGCACCCGTTAACCATTTGGTACCCGCCTTTTGTTCACAGGGATATCAATATGTTTTGATAAGGGAAACCCTCACTAGATATCTGATTCCTGACTCAATGACAGACCATTCTAATCCAACATGCTTGCGTTAACCATTTGGCGCCCCCCCCCCCCTTGTTCAATGGATATCAATAGTTTTTATACCTTGACAAGGGGGAAACCCCCACAAGATATCTGATTGATTCTTTCTTTCTTCTATAAAGCCTATAAATACCTAAGAACTATATATAACACCTTCCTGTTTATCTGTATTTTGTTTCCAGTTTAAATATATAGGACAGAGTTCTCCTCCATAATATCCTACTAGTTTATCATCTGTAGCTCATGCACTTTTAATATACTAGTACTCTATGTATCTGTATTCATGGTATCATGCATGATACTAAGCATGCTTTTCTAGAACACCTGATACCATACTTTGTCTTCATAGACAGACCGTCCAGCAGGTTGAAGGGGTATGCAATAGTAAATGACAATGTACGGAAATTGAAACATGTTTATTACAAATAAATGTAGTGGACCAAGATAATTTATGATGAATGAGGAGAATTCTATGTATATATATGATAACAGTAAGTAAAGAAATGTCTTATTATTCAAATATTGATAACACGGCTTAGTTTCTGTACACGATTCAATAAAATATCTCCTTGTTTGATGGTAGACTGAAAAAGAAAGAAAAGACAAATAAATATGGCTGTATATTTATTATCTTTTATTTACATAAGTTATATTTGTTGAAGACTAACCGATTTATTACATAATTACAGTTAGCCATTGTCAAGAAATTATGTCTTAAGACATACAAAAAGATTCAAAGTGGTGTCATTATGATTAAATTTTTTACCACTGGACAAACTATCTTACAATAACAATATTGTAATTTTAAAGTCGTATTTACAGTAGTTTCTTGTTTTAATCTATCAAACAATTAATTAACACCAAGCTAAAATATACTGTCATAATAGTGATTTCACATTTGGCATCAAAATTTAGTTGCTCGTGAAATTGTGGATGCACCAATAGATATCTGCATCAAATATGGTTGAATAATAATTGATACAAATAATTTCCATCTTCAAAAATCAACCAGATAAGAGCAAATACTATAATAAATAGGAAGAAAAAACAAGTACAAGCTTGCTATGGATGAGGAACTGAATATGGCATCATCGCTGCCAACTTGGAATTGTGACATCATATCAAAAATCAAAGTCTGTCAAATGATGCACAATTGTCCAAGGAATAAGCATGCCAAGTGTTATGTTGACCGTATGTACTTTAATTAGCAGAGTCAAAGACCTTTTTTTTTTTAAAGAGTGTACCCCCTAAAAAGAACAAGATGAGTATAGTAGTGCATGGGGCCTAATTCCTGGTCCAATAAGATGTTTTACTTTATCAGTGTATAAGAACTAGAAAGAATCTATATATACCTGATATTGCCAGTTTTTACTGTCAGGTCGGTTAGTTTCTACGATACCACCAACTTTATCTACTTTACAATGTAATCGTCCTGCAGCTATAAAGCGTGCTAATTCTCTGAAAATGCAAAAGATATATAGTCAGAGTTCAATTAATGACAACAATGTATACACATTAACATGAAATGTTTGCCATTGACAAAAATACAGTATATCGCCTAAATGTAACACATATGTCCTAGCTACTACGGAAAGAAAGTGCCAGGGCAGTGGTTGTCTACTTTTATTGTAACTATATTTTAGCAAGAATCTTGTCTATTCTTGTTACTGTTTTACGCTAATTTTGGCTATCCAAGAAACAAGACATTTTTCTTAACGTTTTGAGAAAGTGAATTTTAACTTCAAAGTGTGAATCCCAATGTGTTAGAGTTATTTTTTCAGGCATATACATGTAATCCACTCCATTTCTGAAAGATATTCATAACTGAATTCAGATTCTTTAGCTTTAAAAGTAAGTTAACAACAGAATAAGCTGTCTTGTTCTAAAACATACTGGATTCAGTAAATAATTTGCAGTGCTACTGAATCTGAGGAAGTAACTCTTATAAATTTGATTACTAGCTATACTTACTGATCTATAAATTCTACTGTTACACCAAAAGCACCTGCCATATATTCTAATGTTAAACTACGATATGATTCCAACAGCTGGGCATAGGCTAGAATTCTCATTTCTCGTACATAATATCTATAATGTGGTACAATCAATCTATCTGCTTTCATTAAATCTTCTACTTCAGCTAAATCCAAATAAATATAAAATAATAAACATGATTATATTAATATTTCACTTAATTATTATTTTCCATGAAACAGACAATAAATTATTTGGAGAATATGCTGAAGGTTTTGATCGCAAATTTACGCCAATTGCGTTGGAAATATAAGCTTGGTGATTTTTTTTGTGACAACTTTATACTGTATGGTTATTCTCTTTTACCTATGGCAAAGGTTTTGTTTTCATAAAGTTTCTAAGTGTAGTTTATTTTCATGCAGTTTAAAGATACATTATGGGAGATTAGATAAAGAGCTGGCAGTTCTCAAAATAATAATAGTTAAAAACTAGATAATGTAAAGGGAATTTGCTGAAAAATTCAGTCAAATTGATCCACTCTGAACCGAGAATTTAGTGATTGAATTTTTGGCCTAGCCCCCATCATCATTAATAAAGTCAGTACGATAAAAAACATAGTCTTTATGACATCGAGAGTTGATTATGGTCTGGATAAGTTAATTAATGTCTTAATTAATAATTTAGATAACTTTTAAGGCCTAAAGAAAGACCTGAAATAGACCGATTCAGCTCTTGCATAATGAATATTTAAGTGTTCTGTTGTGCATGCTCAGTCAATAGTCACAAAATTACATACTATAAATAGGTTATCCATAATAGGTTTATCCGTTGTCTATATATGAATCTAGGATTAGTGTTTTAAGTAAGAGTAGAATCAGCGGCTTCTATTTCTATATAAAATCAAAATCGCTTGTTTGGGATTATTGGGTTATGCCTTTTCTCGTCAGTTATCTAAAGAGCACTTTGAAGTCATCCTCTTGTTCACTTTTAATAAAGTAAATGATTATTGGCCATCTTGTGCCGTTGGACTTAAACTCTCTTACTATGATTTATCCATGACTATCTTCAAAATATTGTTTAAAATGTTCATCAACAATAGAAAACTTACACAATGACCTGAAGAATTCTTCGTATCTACAATCATATATAGAGAAGAGATATTGTCGTATTTTAGGTAGACTGTGTAATACTTCTAATATTTCAGAACCTTTCACTACCTACAAAAAAAATCAAAAGTATAAATATTCAAATCATTTCATATGATATACATATAGTTAATGCTTCATTCTTTATTTCCATTTTAATTGCCGCGCATTTGTAAACAGTTTCATATGAATAAAAATATAGTACCATCGATTGTAAAGGAGAGACATTTTAGGTCCGTAATACAGCATCAGTCGTTCGATGAAAGATTAATCTTATACAAAAACAACTACTACACTTACTTTTACACATAAAGCAGCATCAGTATTTTGATGAAAGATTAATCTTTATACAAAATAAAATGCAACTACTAAACTTACCTTTTCCCTTAAGACTGGTCGTTCCAAGGCAATAACACTACAAAGCACTGTATATGTGACAAATTTTTGATAATCCATCAATTCATATGATGTGAATGTTGCAACTGTGTCCAGAAATAGATTAGCAGCTGTTTTAAATTCTCTAATAGACATACTGTATACACCACGATAGACTTTTAATCTGTTCCTTCTATCCCAATCACCACCTTCATCAATTAAACTATAAATATAGGATGAAAAGAGAAGAGATAAGTATCAAACATGTACACAACAATATTTAGACTTCTGAGTTATCACCCTTGGTAGAGCTTGAATTTTGGGAGGTAAACATTCTCAGTCTGGCTCTACATTTTGTTTATCAGAGTGATGAGAATGGGGTTTTACGCCCACTCAACACATACTAGTTCATTACATGACTAAATTATGGTATAATTCCATATGATCCAAAGAGCACGTTAGACCACTCAAACAACCACCCTACCACCTTTATTTATTGGCCAAATAACATAATTCACAAGGAGATTATTGTAAAGATAGGTTTCATTATTTTCGATCGCTACTATCTACAAGGACTTGACAATGCTCCTGGCTTTGACAGCTCTATATTATACCTGTGAAAATTTAAAAATGTTGACAAACCTCTGTGCTTTTTCTAGATTTTTGGTGATCAAATCATGATCCATATAAAAAAGTCCAAGTCGAATAAGATGAAAGACTAGATCTAATCTATAACCTAAAGACACAGTTTTCTCGTATGTTTTACGAAATTGACTTAGTGCTGCCTCCTGAAATACATAAATAAAAGATAAGATTCAAAATCACATGGATCAAAAAACAATTAGGTAAAAAAAAAAAAACCTTCTAAATACAGTCTATAAAATCATAAATAGTTTTTTAATTACTTGTAAGGCATTTTTTGAATGGGTTGTGTTTAAATTAGATTGTGTCTATTCCTCAATAGTCAGCACTGGCTGTGGATGCAGAATTTATACCGATCACACATTACATGTATGTCTTTTTAGCAAACACCATTTTACAAATAGAGTTGACACACAGTCATAGTATATATATATATTCAGTTTCAGCCATAGCTAAATTGTTTATGAAAATGGTATTAGGCCTTTATTAGACCTTACATGACTAAAATTGATTCTGGTTTGTGTGGGGAAGAAAATGTATTTGCTGTAATTGCCGTAAAGTTCAGTGGTGTTATTTTTGTACAGTCGAAATAAAGTTTCTGAATTTAGGTTCAGTGGTCACCATGGGTGAACGGATTATCATTGCGGTAATCTATTAAATAGCCCGAGCAAAGTCCACTTAGTCAACGGTAATATGTCCACTGAGGGTAATTTGCGCTCAACATATACATTTATATTTCGTAGATTAAATGCACATGTCCATGAATTTCCATTTTCGAATGTCACCAGTCCTATTGCAAGTCAAAAGGGTAGACAGGTGTACACACCTTGTCACCAACTTTACACAAAAATTCTGCTTTCTTTAACATTGAGTCTCTTATTTCTGTTTCTCCCATGTTCTTTTCAGCATCCTCAATTTCTGCATCTAGTTTCTTGAGTTCAGCTTCATTTGCCGATTTCATGTCTTTCAACAGTTTGGTATCAACTTTCCATCCCAAATCCTTACACACTTCCTCATACCATGTGGCCATACCTATTAATTAAAATGATGATTATGATGAAGCTTAACCATAAAGCTGTGATAATAACTTGAACATCTTATATTCAGAGACCATAAATGATCAAAGACAAGTCATAAACTATCAAAAAGGTTACATTATGACTAAATTCATAATAATAGCTTTAAAATGGGTTCTCAATGGATACGGTACAACAAATAGTCACCAGAACAGATCCATTGGGATACTAATATGTTACAGGCATTGCCTGAGTAGTGTGAAGCTGATTGTTACCAAATACAAAACCTTCATAATTAAACTTATCAAGTGATGTTAAAATAGTCAAAAGGGATCTAAAATTCTCTTTTCTCCCCTTCTGCATTGCGATCTTTGTTCACTTTTGGGTGTAGAATTGCAAAAAACGGGATGAATATAATTGTCTGCCAGGTTTTGGTGAATATTCACGATTTTGAGATAGAAGGATACAATAGTTAAGAGGTTGGTTAGGTCTGGTGTGACGTCGGTGAATGGTTGCCTTGATAGACGAAAATAATGGAAAAAAGTGGCTACGGCTCGTGTCATATGGTTTAAGCTTATGTACATACGGACAGAAATTCAGACTCCTGTAGTTAGACAACTATCGGTAATTATAAGTAGTGACTCAGTGAGCAAGTCAAATACATGTATCGTTAATATACATGTGCAGTGGTTGCTACAATTTCGAATTTTAATTTTTTTTTTTAATTGCATGACAGGCAAAAAAAGCCTATTTTTTCACACAAGGATTACAGATTTATTTCCTTCACGCTTGAAGTTTTAGGTTGTATGGCAGAATTTACTACCGTAAGCAATTCTACTGCATGAGTGAGCTCTCGTTGAAATTGGACACTTTGCAGTATATCTCAATGCTTTTTTTAGCTATGGTATGTTCTCATAACTAAGACAAGACCATTCTTATCTACATGTACACTAGACCTAGTGTTGTTACTTTAGTAATTGTGTCTGATCGGACTATACGTTCTTTCACTGTTATTGTCCATCCCTAATAATTTTTACACCACCTTGGTTCACGGCTATGCTTGGCCAATATTCAATATCTAGGAATGGAATGTTACCATAAACAAATATTCCTGCTGTACTTCGATTAACCGACTAAACTGTCAGTATTGATACGGTACCAGTAAAGTTTTTATATTTAAGAATTACATAAAACCGATTAATACATATATAATTGAAGCATAGCAAAAATTTTCGTTTATGCATGGTAACATTCCGTTACTAGATTTTGAATATTGGATAAGCATATGCTGTGTTATTTCCATATTACATGTCATTAAAGTCGGACAGTAACAGTGAAAGGACATTATAGTCCGATCAGACACCGTTACTAGTCTAAAGTAACTATAGTACATAGGCCTAGTCTCTGTTGTTGTTCTTAGTGTTTAACGTCAGCTTCCACCAAAGGTGATATTGCAGACATGTTGTCTTATCTTCATTTTTATTATCTTAGCGCACACGTAGCCCGGGTCTTTCCTGTGGGAGGAAACCCACGAGGTTGAGATGGTGCCCCTATCTCCAAGCCACATATGCTCACACCTGAGATCGAAACCACAACCCAGAGGTGGGTGACAGGCCAGTTAGATGTCGAAGAGTGAGACTCTAGACCATCAGGCCATCTCGGTAGCATGTCATTTCGGTCTGTGTCATTTCAGACTCAGTTTGATGACGGTTCAGACTTTACTTGACGACTTTTCGGACTCGGTCTGGCGACATTTCGGACTCGGATGAATACTTAAAAGACTGTTGAACATTTGTGTGATATATTTGTAACAGCTGGGGATTTTTTTGTGTTTTTTTTCGTTTTATTTGAGTCCGATAGTTGTTTTGTTTTATTTAATTGATCGGCTATTCTCGAGACCGCTAATAAAAAGACAACACTGATTTTACACTGCTTGTTCTATTTAGTTTTGTTTCATCGGCGAGTATTGAACTTGACAATATACAATATTGTTGAAAATTTGTGTATATTTAGTAATACTGCTAATGTTTTTATAATTGTGAAAGCCTAAATAATTGTCTTTTACGTAAGTCGGAATAATTGAATCAACATATGGCCGCCATTATTGCTGATTGACAACTCACGTTTTTCCTCGTCCACTAAAGAACTGTAATGTTTCTTTGCGCATACTATAATAATATAGGGATTATCGGTTAATCAGCTTTAATTATCCACTTTGATCGTTGCCATTTCTAAAATTTTCCAGAAAGAGTTTTCTTTGTACGCACTAATTTATCGATTGGTACTTCTATCTATGGCCAGCTTGTCAAGGAATGCATGTAAACGTGTAGCTTCTGGATCATTTTGAAATAAATTCTACCGCATATTATCCTTTTTAAAAAAAATTAATTACTTTTAGGGGAAACGATGACAGTTGTGTTCAACCTTTCTTTTCAACTTATTCCCGAGTTCGAAACGTCACCTGCCCGAGTCCGAAATGTCGCGGCCATATATTTTTTGGTCGGAAATGATGTGGGTCCGAAATGATGTGGGACCGAAATGACATGTAATATTGTTATCGCCATCCCAACCCCCCAGGGCCAGTCCTAGTCTACTTAAATCTAAGTTATTTTATAATCATATGACCAGATCTGATGTCCCCACTCCAGCTAGTGAAATAGAATGAGTGTGTGCTTCACAAACTATTCCTTGTGAAAAATCGCGCATGCTTAAAGGGACAATAACACTCTTGCTGACTTGAAAGCTCCAGAAAATAAATAATATCTCTATCTAAGTACTACATGTTTAATGTCCTACCTGTTGTGTAAATTATCCATTACATTCTATTTTACTTGTCCAGAGGGTTCGAAAATATTTTAAAATCGAAGTTTCATTTGAAAAGGTTAACGTTAGACGTTTCAAACCATTATTTTGAATTTTTCAAAATTTTTAAATAAGGTGTGTTAAGATGAAATTTGTATCATCAATTAATTGAAATATTCTAAAATAGTACAATTTGTTGACCAGAATAAAGATTGGGACATATTATTCAGTTACAACAAAAGTGGTATTGAGCCTTTAAAAAGACATGAATTGGGTCAGGAAACGCGTAAAACATTCTGGCCGAGAGAGCTTCATGACAAATCAAAATTGAATAATGACAACAGCAAAAATATCAATACGACCAAAACAATCACCGAAATTGGTCGGTAATGCTTCCAAAACTTACTATCGGATTTGATAGCATCCAAAAGTGTCTTCTTGAGTTCACTGTCATTCTTATGTTTATCTGTTCCGAGTAAATATTTCCACTGAGAATACTCTAAATTTGGATTTTTTGCTAACCCTTCTTCTTCCAAATTTTCCACCGGCATGTTGCTTGAGTGACGTCACAAAATCCACTGCGGAACTGTAAAATTTTGGTTGCCGAGAAACGAAACGAAATTGAACAATAGCAGACGATTTTTTTACTAACCGGCAATGACCAACGACCCCATCCCCGAAGCGCCATTTATTAAAGCGCAAACAAGGGCATATCAATCTGACCCCCCACCCCAATCTGTTTTACAGACCTAATGCGACATCCGTCTTTTATCTCTGTCCAAGATGACTGACCTTTAAAAGGTCAGACCGCTGTGGTTCTAAGGGTGACGTCACATCACAATGTTTACCAACAAAACAAGATGGCATCGATAACGCCAAAAAAGATTACTTCTGTGGCTTGTTTTGTTGTTTTAAAACAAACACGAGCAGGTCAATCATATTAGACGGTAAAAAATGTACTTCTGAAAGAATTCAGAGTAAACAAACAGAAAAAAACGTCAAATTGATGGTCACACGTGCGTTGTTTACATCGAACGTAGTAATATGAACAGGTACGGGCAGAATTATATCGTTTTACCCATTTTACGCCTCCGCGTACTATTTTCTGTACCTTTTTACACTAAATATGGAATATTTTTTATCAAGATATAAATCAAACACCTTTATTTATTTTTCTAATACTAAAAAAAAAAAAATGTTTCAGAATTTAATATGTCGAAAGAAAAAAGTTAATATTTTGTAGTCATTAAGTCGCATCGATGTCATCCTTATCAGTGATTGTAGCGGCCAAGCGAATATTCACTGCGGATCTGTGTGCCCCCAACCACCCACCCAACCACCCAACCACCCCAACTTCGGGGCCTACGGGATATTAAAACATTTTTCATATAAAGTCTATAAAGGGCAAATGTTAGACAGGCCTCTTGGCCTAATTTTCAACCCTTTGAAAATAAAGTTATTATTACCGGTATTTAATTATTATTATTATTATTATTTATTATTATTGTCATCATCATCAAAGAGACACGTATGGTGGACTAGAGATGGAATGAATCCCGATAGTTAGAGTAAATTTCTATGGTTGGCTCTATGAAAGACCAAACAGCTCTTTATTCAGTGTTCTCAATTCTTAGTTCTTAATTCATAGTCCTTAATTCTTATTTCTTCATTTGTAGGCCTACACTACAATTGGAAGGCCTATCTTAACATCAATATTTGTTTTATAAATCAGACATTTGTCATATCAGATTAGGATCATTCCATGTCAAGTGAACAGAGCTTGTAAAGTGACCCCCTCAGAAAATTATGAAAAAAATATATGTTATCAAAGGATCGCCTACATAATTAGGCCTATGTAAAACTGCAAAGTTATATGACTCAAGCATTACTATTGACTGAGATATGACCATTGGAATCGGGGTACCCGTTCACAAGTAGGCTACGTATATATGAATGTGCAAGAAAATATTTTCCAATTTTGAAAAGGTAGAGCCTATTGGCCTTTGGACCTTATAGTAGCCTAATGGGATGCATATCTTGTAGTCCCTATTTCGTGTTATGGCACATATTTTGACGTTAAATACTCCATTTATATTTACATACCTTTAACAAAGATCAAATTTGCACGGTACTAAACTTTATTGAATGAGGGGAAGGGGGTGGGGTATTTAAAGGAGCTAAATCGCTATTCTATGGCACCAAGAAATGGACACAAATAGGTCGCAAGTCGCAACACATATTATAATAATGTATTATGAAGGTATATATAAATTGAGTGAGAAACAAAATCTGTTATAAAACTTCAGACAAATATATCGATTTTCTAAACGAATTACCCCTGCCGGAGAACAACCAGCGGCTGCCAGGTAGGATACGCCCACATTTTGCAAGAGATGGATTGAGAAGAAACTAAAAACAAAAACGATTTTTTGTACTGTAATCAGGTGCCATAATCCAGAAAGTTGTTGTCTGAAATGCGCAAATATCAAAAGGGACTAAGATTTTTGGAATATAAAGATATGTTTTAAGTTTCATCAAAATTGTGACCTCTATAGAGGGTCCATAACTTTCGTATTACATACTTATACACAATTTGCGTACAAAGAGCGGCGATTTTGCCGGACAGTTTCATTTCGATTTTCCCGAAATTGAATTCAATCTTCATTATGGTGGAATGGTGATATATCTAAACGGTTTTTAAAATCGGAAAAAAATGTGACCTCTAGAGAATCCACTTGTAAGCTAAACATGCGATTTTTCGACTAATCAGGGGTCATAATCCAGGAAGTTACGTGTGATTATCAAAAGAAATCAAGATCTTTATGATAAAAAACATATGTTTAAAGTTTCATCCAAATCGGATAAAAACTGTGGCCTCTAGAGGGCCCACAACCTTGATATACCGTATTTTTACACTCTTCGTGTAAAAGGAGCGGCCATTATATCCGTCAATTTTAGTCCGATTTTCACGGATAAAAATTGTGACCTCTATGGGGACAACAAGCTCAAAACGCGATTTTTTGTACAATCAAGGGAAATAATTCAGGAAGGTACGATCCGATATGCGCGAATATCGAAAGGAACCAAGATCTTTGGGATATAAACATGCTTTCCAAGTTTCATCAAAATCGGATGAAAATTGTGACCTCTAGAAGGTCCATAACCTTGATAAACCATATTTTTTACACTATTTGCGTACAAGGAACAGCCATTTTGTCCGGCAGTTTTGGTCCGATTTTCACGAAATTCGAACTCAACCATCATTTATGTGTAACGGTGATATACTAAAACGTTTTTTTTAAATCCGATAAAATTGTGACCTCTAGAGGGACCACAAGGTAAAAACGCGATGTTTCGTATAATCAGGGGGGCATAATTTAGGAAGTTACGATCCGATATGCGCGAATATCGAAAGGCACCAAGATCTTGGGGTTATAAACATGCATCTCAAGTTTCATCAAAATCGGATCAAAATTGTGACCTCTAGAGTGTTCACAAGCTAAAAACGTGATTTTTCGTACATTAGGGGCCATAATCCATGAAGTTATGGTCCGATACAAGCCAATATCGAAAGGAACCGAGATCTTTGGGAGATAGACACATATTTCAAGTTTCGTTAAAATCGGATAAAAATTGTGACGTGAAGACTGTCCACAAACAAATTGTGGACGGGCGGACAGGGGCGACGGCATAATACGTCCACATGAAAATGAGGGCGTATACAAAAGTACTTAAAGGAGCTAAATCACTAATATTTGGGACCTTGAAGTTGACACAAATTGTTCGCAGCTCATATAATAATGTAATATCAATGTATATAAACTGATTTACATTCAATCATTTCTGTTTTTACTGTAATTTCTAATCAGTTATGTTCGGCGAAATACGGCAGAAGTCTCAATCGAATGGCAATCTCTAGCGTCGGGTTATTCCAGTCTACACTGATGGTTTTTATTGCACATGCTCTCCAGATAAGAATATGGCATCACCGTTTGACATGAATTGTGGAATATGTCTAGCCTCATTCTTCGAGTCCCTGGTTATAAATGGCTCTGAAATGCAATCGTGTACCAACGGTAAAATGTTTATTTTGTCTTAAATATTGGATATCAGAAGTCTACCTTTTCCCGGTAAATTCACAACATTAATGTTGATTTGAATTGACAAATAATTCGTGTTTTCAACGTGTAAGACTTTGGAAAATATTGAGTTACAGACTTAGCTACTTTAACTAAGTTTGATTGTAAAGCAAGTAAATTCTATGGCCTTTCAAAAATACATAAATGCGATCTAAGCTTTAGGACAATAAAGCCGGAATGTCTTATTTAACTGATATTCTTTTAAACCCTCTTGCTCCCAAAGTTAAATCTTATATAAAGGATGACATTAACATCCTTAATCAACTGCCTCATGAAATTAACGATAATGAAATACATGTATTTGTAACATTAGATATCTGTAGTTTCTATAGTAATATCTCGCATGATTTGTGCCTGGAGACAGTCAATTATTGGATAGATAGATTATCTCTACTTCTACATATAAATCCCCGTTTTTAAAAGACGTTTATTCTAAAAGCTGTCGATACTATTCTCAGTACAGGAAAAACACTTTCGAATTTGGAAAGCGTAATTTTGTACAAATTAGAGTCTGTGCCATGGGCTCGGTTTGTTCACCAGGTCTTAGCGTCGTAATACAATTTTTAGAAGAACACTTATATACAATAAATGAAAACAGATTTGGTATTAACTATAGAAATTACATCGAAGAGACATTTAAAACGTATTTAGACGACGTGTTTCTCATTTGGAAAACCAGTCTTGGCCAATTAGCAGATTTGCACAAACCATTAAATGATCTAGGACTGGACAATATTTGAAATATACGTTCACATTCCTGCAAAAAGTTTCGCCCCCCCCCCCCCCGTTGCTCTGAGCTAGTTACGGCCCTGTTGATATGTTACTTCTATTATGAATGATGAATGTGGACGTATATTGCCGTCGCCCCCCCCCCCCCCTCCTCTCTCTCTCTCTCTCTCTCTCTCTGTATGTATGTGTGTGTGTGTGTGTGTGTGTGTGTGTGGGGGGGGGGGTTGCGTGTGTCTGTGTGTCGCCTACACGTCTCAATTCTTAACAGAACCTTTTGAAAGTCTGCATACCACCAAGGATGACCCCTATTGTTTTTGACCGACCCCCAGGGGCAAAGCCACAACCATTTTTTTTGTGTGTGTCTCTGTGTTGCCTACAGGCGACAATTCTTAATGGACGGATTGTCTTGGAAATTGGCATAGGGGCCTATGTACATACTGTATTCCTTATATCCTAATACTAATTAATGCTAAAAATTTAGTTTACGTTCTTGTGTGTAATTGCAATTGTTTTACATAGGCGAATGCGGTACTGAACTGCGTGCACGTATCCGAGTACACAGACAATAAAGTATATAAATTAATCCTGTTTTGAATGTCTCTAAACATTTAAAAACTTGTGCTAAAAAATTTGAATATCAAATGTAGTATTTTGCCTTCTTAAAGTCAAATTTGACGATATCGTTCTAAGAAGAAACATGGAATTGCATTTCACTGACAAGTTCTTA